AGAAGTCACTTGGTGAGTTTCATGAAAATGACAAAGAGCACCAAAGAATGATGGACCATGAAGAACTAAACAGGACAACTCGCTTTTAAATCCTGGCACATTTAAAGACCGACCTAAAATCTCTTCTATAACCTCTCATACTTTACGAATAACAATCACATTAGCTGGGTTTCCACTATAGGACTTCCAGGAAATTTCTGGGAGGGAAGAAGGTGACAGGAAAAATACAATGGCTTAGTTCTCTCATCTGTTGCGTTTCCATACAAAATCAGCCCTTTCTGGACTTTGCTAAGACATATCACGACCGTTTTGGGAGTGAGTGACGTCACTGATCAGAACCAAAATGGCATCCACGAACATTACATTAAACGTACTACTTTGTCAAATTATACCGTAATTTGATCCATTCAGGGAATGGAGAGAACAGTTGTTCAACGTAAAAAGCGTCTCTCAAAGACCGTTTTTTCCCCAGCGTTCTGTAGGGAGACCACTAAGCAGTCAAGAATACGAAGTCTGGGGGTGTGACTTGGTGTTCTGCCATAATTTTTGGTGTTGGGAGTTTTGAAACGACAATTTTAAAGCATCGTGAACACAGCTTATTCTTTATCTTCCACTCTCCTTCACTAGCAGCACTTCCTATTATACAAAGGCCATCTGTTTGGCGACATCTGCCGATTTACTACTGACAACCAATCAGCATGAGTTAACCACAAGTCCCACCCCAGTCACTCAACCGGACCATTTCTGAGTACATACCCTAGTTCAGGTACTTAGTTGGTCCCTGAAATGTCCCGACTTTCAGGTCGGGTTGATGAAATGTAGACGCGCATACCGTGAAGGTCCAGTAAAACTACCCAGAAGCTCCAGTAGTGGAAATGGGCCCATCGAGAGTGTCTATGGTCACAAAGAGAACTTTTTTAAAAGTGGTCCAGTACCAGCTGCAAGTATTTAGACTGCTGTCATTCAGGATAATAGACATTACTGCAACAAGCCCTTAAAATGAGACAGGTTTGCTTGTGACAAACGATTTAAAGCCGAAAGCTTTTTTTTTTCTTCAAATGAAAAAATCTGGCCTCAGGCTAAAGGGGTAAAACTAACTATAAAAACATCTTAATGAATACATAAAGCTTTAAGCAGCCAACGCAGGTGAAATTAACACACAGATAAATCTGAGTAACAGGTGGTTCCGGAAGAATGAAAGTGCAAAAAGCTACATACAGAAAATTTGCACCCGTGTGGCCCAAAGTGCTAAAAATATTTACATTTTATCACTTAAGTCTAACTTAAGCGACTGCAGAGTTCGTCTCCACGATTACCGCGATGACCCACATCACTTACTACTAGACGCACATGTCACTTCTACATCTCACCTCCGCTTTGCAGACAAGCCTGATGTTCTTATGGTTTATCAGGGTAAATAAATAAATTAATGTGGGGGTAATATTTTAATTTTTGCCTGAAGAAAACCATGTTTATAATAGCCAGGAACTTTCAGAGCCCATCTTATGAATGTTTTTAACATGTATTATATAAAGCTGCATTTGTCTGTCTGCTCCTCTTTGCTTAAACTCTCGTAATCATTTCATATTTCTATGTAAACTCTTGCAAACTTGTAAAATTGTCAGGAAAGTTGGCAAAAGGAGGATCTTCTAAATGTGCGAACCAAATTTGCATAAATTCAGATGTGGACGTGAGGCTCATCCAGTAGATTTTTGGAAAAATACGTTTTGTGCTTGACATCCTGCGATTAGTTCTTGTTTTAGCTGAAACCACGGAAGAAGAGGATGACTGGGTCCTGAGGGAAGAAGAGCAGGATGAAGATGAGGTGAAAGGAATATAGAGATGGAGTGGAGTGAGGGCATGCAAAAAGACTCCATCAGTCACCACCTGCATGCTTTGAGAAGTCAAAAAGCAGGCAGTCCATTTTTTTTATAACCTTGTGATGTTAGAATCTGTAAATAATTACTAAAGAGCCAGAAACAGTCAGCAACAACATTTCCCTCTCTCACCGCTCAAACGAGTTACCATGCACATTTAATATTTTGACATGAGCTATCTGAAGAAAAGTGTGCATAAGAATGAGCAAATTAAAGCAACAAAGGTTAAAAAACAGATTCATTTGCACCCCTTTCTTGTCATTAAGATGAGAAATCTATCAAAAAGGACGAAGCTGGGGTCATTTTGTGAACCTGGCCTCACTTGAGCTAACACACGTCATAAACATTTATGTCATTTCAATTATTTTAATTTTTAGATCATACTGACAAAAAATAAATTAAAAAAACTTGAAATCCAAGCACACAAACGGATTCTGTCAGTTGGAGGGTTTATTCTGGGTTTTTTTTAACTCAGTTCTTCATTGGCTAAAAACTAGTTTTCAGTAACACCAGTTGTAAATTTTAACCTTGAAAATTTCTCACAACTAAAAACATGTTGTGTAACTCACCAGAACAAATGTGTGTCCCTGCAGGCTTAAATAAAATGTTGACTAAGCCATTCTTCATAGTCACTGCTGTTTTTTCTTGTGCAACTTTCACCAGATGCGTGTTAAGAGCTGGGTGTTTACAGCCCTAAAACCTTCTTACTTTCTGTATTGAATGATCATTATTACGTTTCTACCTCTTAAATGTTTGTGATCCATCGAGTATGAAAACACAAAGTAAAAATGGCCATCAAACCAAAACAGGTGCCCCGATTACGATTTACTAGTTTCTAATTACATTTTGAATCCCTGAGGCTGAGGCAAACAGCAAGCCAGCCACTTGCCAGACAAAAAGTTATTCTGAGCCTGTTTTTTTCTTCCTTCTCACAATTAAATATGGAGGGGGTAGTGTTGGGCATCTGTCAACAACTTCCACAGCTTCCCGCCACAGCTGATCAATCAGTCCCATATCTGAACCTCACCAGCACTGACCCGCTGGCTAGAACTGACATTAATCCTAAATCTTCCAGTCAGTGCAGAGGAATGACATGGTGCAGCGTGGTGGTGTGAGTAAATGCTGATACAGGCTCTAACAAGCAAAGGTGCTGATGCTAATGAGCGAATCTGTGGCTCTCTAACGAGCCTGCATCATTTCATGCCCTAATTTACAATGAGCTGTGTCTCAGGGGTGCAGGATAATGAGCTGGACCGGGATTCCCAGGGCAGCAGCTTGTGTAACCCATCTCATGCAGAGGACCGGGGGGGGAGGGGGGGCACTCGCTCCCAACCAGCGTGAGAGTTTGTAGCAAACAGAACAGGGACATGTTCCACGTCTGTAGGAGGAGGCGGGAAGAGAGGTGAGTACATGTCATCCCTGCTTGATATGATTGTTTGTACACACCAATCATTGAATCGCTGCGTGAGAAAAGTGAGAAAAGCTTGTGTTCTCTGTGACAGACTGACCTCGGGCAACAAGAGCACTCAGAGATCGAGGAAACGGAGAAGCAAATCATGGTGGGCAGGGGAGAAGCAGCAGCTTTCAATGGGAAATGCTGGACTTGACCTGGATTTCAAAACATACACAAAACATCACAGAGACAATTCTATTTTCTTACATTTTTGTGCCTTGCTCGTAATTTTTTTACAGTGCATCTTCTTTTATTTACCCTAATTATTAAAAAGTAAAAGCCTGGCTCCTGCTGCACTCTGACATTAACAAATGTGGAGCTCAGTGACCTCAGTGTCGAGAACATCCACCAAAGGTAGGCGGCGCGCCCCCACCTCTTACTGCTGCGTCTGCATTAGTCAAGCTCAGATGGGCTTTTCCGCCATGAGTAGCAGAGCATGACATGCGTTCAACAATGGCAGGCAGATGACGAGCTGGCTCCATTTGACGACGACCTCTGCTGAAGCAGCCGTTTTTTATGTGGGCAGCCTGACTCATTATGGGTGCACAGGTGGCCCAGGATCTAATGAGCTGCATTTAGTTCGGTTTTCATGTGCAGAAAAATGCAAAGACTTTAAAAACAAGCTAGTCTTCTCTGAGTTTCTAAATAAAACAGAATGCAAAAATGAGGGGGAAGTTTGTTCCCAGAGTTAGTGGAGCCAGAAAATCTGACTTTAAAATAAAGCTAACATTTAGTTTAAGCCACATTTTGATTTGTTTGTTAAAATAATAAATTGTTATTCGATTTCACTCAATAAGCAGTTTTCTGTTTTCTTTGAACAATTAACTTTAGAGAAATACCTGCTTCATTGAGTGCTTCTGGTGGCGTTTATAATCACCCGTAACTATTAACACTGCCCCCCTCTGGCAGCATTCATCTTTTTATTGACTCAGACGCTTGCTAGAGACCAACCTGGAGCATGCAAGAAAGATAGAAATTACCTAACCCTGCCAAAATAAAAGTAGGTTTCAAATCAAAGTCCGAAGGAAAAAAAGTCCACATTTTGAACACAGTTCATCACCATTTCAACTGTACGCGATCTATTAATCGCTCACCACTGAGCACCATTTGAACGTTTGACCTTCTGCCACGGCTCGTGACATTACGATGACATTTAGAGTAATCCGTGCCTCGGTCCTTAATCCCAGTGGCCGTTGACCGCCATCACCCTTCCTGAGCTCCCTTACATGTCCACACACAAATGGGCAAAGACAAGGAGACAAACATGGCTCTGATGCTCAGACGAAAGGATCACAGGGGGCTAAAAATAGTCCAACGATAATAGCTTACCAATTAAACTGAAGTACCAACACCTGAAAATGACTATGCATATCATAAATGTAGCGGGTGATGGATAAAAAAAATAAAAACCCACTAGGCCATTTAGCAAGATGTAAGATATAACAAAATTTTCTCTTTTTTTTCCCAGCTTTTTGTTGTGAAAAGCTTGTTCATTTTCCAGCAGATGTTCTAAAACTCTGAATCTCTGTGTCCTCTTTCTGATCGGCCATTCATCCTTTCTGAAGCTGCAGGAGAATAATGCTGCTTTGTTTGCAAGACCACTTTACCTGTCGCAGTCAAAGAAAGTTTCAAATGGACAAAAGGCAGATAAAAAGTGATGAAATCAAGGGTACAAGATGACAACCCATTTATTTAGTAATACATTCTGCAAACTAGAAATTTTATTCAAACTTCAATGGCTAAAAAAAAGAAAGAAAAAAAAGGACAGAATGAGAAAATTTTAGAAGCAGGGAGAAAAATGCATCTATTCACAAGCAAGGAATGCAATTTGTTCAATCGACAATGCAAATAATACAATTTAGTTCAGGGAACAAAGCTTTTTTTTCTTTTTTTTTTTTACATTTTTTCTGCCATTCCTTTGGAGCTAGAACATAATACAAAATATACAGTTATTGAACTTTGTAAAGTCACTCACAGCGGCCTCTGAGAAGCATTTGAATCAACATTGACAATACTTAACTACTGCACTCTAAAGCTATTCTTGTATGTAATCATAAATAGAGCAGGAACATTGATGTATGTATGCACATCTTGAATGCTTACAAGGTTACCATGTTAAAACACTTGCATTTGCTGAAACGTATGACATCATTTGCAGTGGAAATTAAACAAGCTGTTAAAACCAGGATTGGATACAGTGACATGGGGAGGAGGGGAACCTTGTGACAGCCAGGACAAAAATCACTGTTGATAGTTTAAGTACCATAAAAAAATAAAATAAAATAAAAACTGATCTCCACCTGCGGGGGTGCGCTTTGTTGGGCAGGGGCATTAGGGGGCAACACGAGATTGGGTAAGGCAAATCGGTGAGCTTATTTATGAGCTGAAAAAGATCAGCAAAGTGAGGCTCAGGTCACCCTGCAAGGGGATGAATAACCACCACTGCTAAGGGTCACACAGTTAACGCCACAACTGAGGTACATCGATGTGTACAATGAGGGCGCAAGCATTTAAAATCTCTTACGTCTGCTAAGTAGTCCTCCATACAAGAATATACATGATGCAATCCAGGCAACCAAAGGTAACTCTGTTAATAGCTTTTTTATTATATTTTTTCTACAATAATTTGAAAAGAAGCTGATTAGACAGATGATCAGTGCACATGACAATTGTCACAACAGTCAGCTACGACAATAAATCCACTAACATGATTATTATTAATCATCTTGCAGCATGTTTTTGGGAAAACTCAGGTTCTGATTTTCATGTGGATGCGAGTCTGGGACCCATGTGCAGATATCATATAGTGGACTGGCGCTGCCTATTGGAGCTGGCGTAGCAGCGGGCCGCCTTCTTGGATGGGTTCCCATTCGCCCCCAGTGCACTTATTTCTACTGAGGGAGACGTTTACCCAACTAAAACATATATTTAAATTAGCTTTTTTTTTTTAAACAAAACCAGACATGTGGTATGGCATGATAATTAAAAATTATTTAAAAAAATAAAATAAATTTTAATCCCAACTGGTAGGCTAGAAAAGTCAACAGCAATCCAACGTGAGCTGTTTTCAATGGTACGCCGGTTGTTGCAATCGTAGGCTGCCCAACAAATAGGCATAGTTCCTCACTGTGCTGACTTCAGTTGGGTTTGAAGAGTGAGAAACCCACCCATTATGGCGGTGATGCTGTTACACCCTCCGGCGCCCAATGGGGCATCTACGTTTTCACGTCTATGCCCATAAGCACCACTGCAGACCACATACACCTTCCACAGAAGACGGCACTTCCTGCTGCACAACAATGGCCCTCAACTGCTCAGGGTACGGTTGGGATTCATGAAAAAGAGACTCAATCTCAAAACAGCACAGGATGCTCTGCCAGAGTCAGACTCTAGTATAAAAATCAAGCGAGCGGCTTTAAAGTTGTGGCTGATTGGTGTTTTTTTTCCTCACACAATTCCTGTTTCTAAAACCCTGAATTCTCCTTTCAAACGATGAGAGCCAAGAGAGTGCCTCATATGTAGAGAAACGAGTAAAAACACCACTGGAGGGGTTTCATTAGGCAGCTTTTGGGATCAAGCTGATAGTGTTCCTACATAACAAAACAAACTGTCATTTGCAGTAGCTTCCTTAACTTTTTATTAGCTTCAGCACAATTTAACACTACATGAGCACAAGTTTATACTCTTGAAATAAATTGACTGCTTAAAAAAAAGACAAACACTTTTCTATGGAGAATATGAGGTATATTAAGTTCATGAAGAAATGCTCTGAATTTTTCTTTGTTCATTTTTAAACAGGAGTATGAGGATGTTCATATAAACGAAGGATATTTAAAAATTTCAATTAGTTGCAAAAAAACCCAAATAATGTAGGTAATGTTTACAATAATTCCTATGAGGTCATTTTTGCACAATAAAAAGCTCATTTCTGTTATTTTGTAAAAGAGTCTTTTAGGGATAGGGGCAACTAACCAGCACATCTTTAAAATGACCAAAAATGTACTCTATGGGTATAATTTTTGGATGTCACCCAACATTAAAAAAAACACGTTAGTTTCGGTTTCAAAGGTGGAGTCTGAAATGTCGCTTTCAGTCATTAATACCTACCAGGTTTACACCAAGGAGCTAATTTCTGACAACCATTAGATAGGAGACATCTAGTGCACCTAAATACGAGCTTTGCATGGCAACATAAAAAGCTACTTAATACCAAAGAAAATAAACCAGCACTTCTGCTCAGAGATGGCAAATACATGGTGTGAGTACATCACCGTTAAGAAGTCTGATTATTAATTTATTTAGTTTCTCTAATGGGGGGTGGGGGGGGGGGGGGGGGTTAGCCACATATTACTTCAGAAAATCTTTTAGGTTTTGTTGGGACGACCGGTTAAAGGTACTCTATGGAGTCCCGGCTGAAAAGAAAATATACATTCAACAGTTCTTAGACAAAAAGGCCAAACTTTTACTAAACAAATGCAACGTTTCCAAATGCCACCATTCTCCTTTTTCACCTTGTTTCACATCTAATAGTACTTCAACCCTCCTCTGCCACACTGACCTGCTACAACTTGTTGATATTCACATTAGCGCCCCCTGCAGTAAGTTTCCTGATAAAGCACTTGTCCTGCAAGTTTATCTTTGTGCTCAGGAGCTTCAAAAATGTTTTTTTAACCAAAACTAAAAGCAAAAACACCACAGAGCACCTTTAAACACAGATCAACAAAATCTGAATATATAGATATTACAATTTTTCTTTTAAATGGTGGGATAAAGTGTTTATTTCCTCAAACAAAAAGGGTCTTTGGCATTTTGCCATCCAAGCACACCAGAAAGCAGCTTTAAGATTAAAGAAAGGTAGTCTCTCCTTTAGTTTTAAACAAGCCACCAACCAGCTAGGATTGTCTTTTGATAAGGATCATAAATTTAGTACATTATGGTTTTACATTAAAGATGGGCTAACACCCAACATTAAAAATCAAACTAGAATCGCGTTGTGTCGCGGCCAAACCAAAAACCAAAAATAAAGTAAAATAAAACTCAAACAAACTTATTTATTCCTCAAAAAAAAAATTTTTTTTAAAAGGGTCAGAATTATTTACATACACAAGTTCCCATAACAATACAAGATGGGCAGGAAAGTAAACCAGAATAAAGGGAGAAAAAACATGTCCTATTCAAGAATTGTATGTTAAATACAGATTTAGTAAGTGATCAGGTTTTCAGGAGGAATAGTATCAAAGTTAACCCACAAATCACACACTATAGCAGCAAACCTGTGCTGTGGAGAATGATGTGGCGGGGGGAGATTAGTAGACACAACCCTAAAGAGAATCAAAAGGTCCGACGCAACCAGGAGAATGCAGGTTTACTCTTGGTCTAAATGTCCGGATCGAGACGATCGTCTTGAAAAAATGGCCTAAGAGCCAATAGTGTCTACAAAGTTAGTCAATTCTGTTAAAATATTCAGTGATTAAAAGAAAACATGATGAGTAGGAACTTAAACTGTATATTTGTACCATTTACAAATGGATCTTAGAACACAAAATGGCTTAAGACTGTAATAAAGCTGAAAATGCAGATTTTTTTGTTGAAAAAAGATCATATGGCACCTACAGAGGTCTAGCTGTACATAAAAAAAGGAAATCTAATTTGTTTAAAATATGATACAATTTATGAGGAAATTGGTCAACAGCTGCAAACCACTGTACACCACTGGTAAATTCAACTCTATGTGCCAACTCAGATTAATGTAAGGTTCCATCACAATAACAGCATCTGGGTTTACCATCATTTAAAGCCGTTTTGGGTTAGAAGCAGTGAAAACCTTTGTTAAGGTGGTGAAAGGAGAGAGGGTTCTTTTAAACCCAGTTTGAACCACCTGGATCTGCCTTTCCACTAGTGTGTGTGTGTGTGTGTGTGTGTGTGTGTGTGTGTGTGTGTGTGTGTGTGTGTGTGTGTGTGTGTGTGTGCGTGCGTGCGCACGCACACAAAAACAGATGCACATAATTATATTTGCACAACCATGCTTAAAGGGGTCTCAACATAAAACAAGAACAAGACTTTCTACCTCATCCTGTCAAACTGCCATCGCATGTTCAGAGAATCACATGCAAAGTAAAATAGTTAAAAACAATCAGGTGTGGAGGGAAATGTGGATTTATGCTTTGATGTAGAGAGCTTACTGTGCTGTCAACTATACAATTTACCCGTTTCTGAAAAGAGCATAGACTAACTGGGAGAGGGAAAATAAACCACAAAGTGTTAAAATGGTTAAAGCGCGGAGACATTGTGCCTGGAGGACAAGCGGTAATATTCACTGAATAAACATTTGTTTGAATTCCAGAAGAGCAGGAAAAGGCAGATAGTGCATAAAAGTTATTTTTTTTCTCATTTCTTTCTTATTTTTTAATGTTTTTTTTTTACTTAAAATCAAGCTGCATTAAATACAGGCTGTTTGTACAGGACAATTGCACTTCACAAAAACAAAAATATACAAACACACAAGGAGATGTGAATCAAATTAATTACAGCAACAAAAAAAAACTATAATATTCAAGCGGATTATTTAACAAAAACAAACCTTGTAGACTCACTTGCTTTACTTTAGAGGGGACTTTAAGGAGGGCGAACAAAAAGGGGAGACAAGACAGTGGGGATCCTGAACTCCAGAGTGGACCGGTGCTGCACTATTCCAGGTTTGTGTGCATGCAACTCCTCCTCCTCCTGCTCCTCCTCCCATGAATTCCCTTCTTAGAAACCAAAAGCTCAGAGAGACGGAGAGACAGACTGCTGAGCTGAGCTGCTGTGGGTCTTGAGAGGATGGTGGTTTGTAAACTCTATGCTGTGTTAGTGGTAGGAGGTTGTGTTACCACATGTCGTCTGTGGATGCAGAGTCCTTGATAAGAAAGAAGAGGAAGGAAAAACCCTTCAGACTGTGGCTTCAAACCCACTGGATCCCCATCAAGAACTGCACAGGTTTCAGGTTGTCTGACACAATCGGACATGGGATAAGAATCCCACCCCTCTCCCCAGAAATGTGTAATCTAGTGCTAGCAGTTGATAATCTACAAAATTATGAAAATTATCACACACCGTTTAATCAAATCGACCAGATGCAAAAAAAGTCACGAGACAAACACTTCCGAATGCACAATAAGATTCATACATAACATCAAGTACAAAAACAATTTAGACAAATGTGTGTGTTCTATTTAGTTAGACCGCTGAATCATTTAGCAAATTATGAAAAACAAAAAAGAAAAGTGTTTCCTCTGATTTTATTTTAGAATTTATCCATTCTTTTTAGTAAACAAACTATAGACTTTTGTTGTCTTTAGAAATAATATTTCAGGTTAGACACCACTGTCTTCAGATGAACGCTTTACTGTGTTTTGTGTGAGGCGGATGCCTGGAGAGATTTGTTTAGCAGCAGATACCCTGAGGGGCAACATAAAAACAGCATGAGAGGTTTCCATCTAGGTCTCTTTCTGTACTTAAATTGCATCACCGTGATTGGGTTGCTCAGAACAATTGTCCACACGTTGCCTTATAGGGTACAGCTTCTTCTCAATGATTGTCTTCTCTTTGTTGTTAAGCACACATGTGGGTGAGGGGTGAAGTCAAAGGATCTTTTTTTTAGCTGTGACTAGTCCTGGTTCAGAGATGATCATTTCCCATAGGAATATACTATGTAACACCAAACAGACGTTACAGGAAACATTTTGCTGGATTAACTTACAGCCACTAAAAACTGTGTTCCGGATTATACCCGGCATGCTTTTTGTACCGCATTTGTGTTCATGTTTTATTCCTCACAGATGAATATATATCTGACTTGTTACGAGCCAATAGCTACATCTCTTAAGGCTGATCTACACTTACGGAGTCGCGCACACGCATTGACGGAGAGGTTTTCCCTTCAGACTTCTCCATCACCTAGGGAGCGTTGGAAAGCAATTCCCTGCCAGGTTATGTTTCCCGAAAGACTAGATTGATTCAAAACAATCAAATGCAACATTTTTTGCAATCATTTTTGGGACAATTTGAAATTTTACACCTAAATATTCATATATTTACTACATCAATAACATTGACATAACTGAATGTTGAATCCAAATAAAACAGATGTATTGAAAATAAATTATAAATATATGCAAAATAAAAAAAATATTTAAGCTAAATACACTTATTGGCCACTTTAATGGGTAAATCTTGCTAGTACCGGGTTGAACCCCCTTTTGTCTTCAGAACTGCTTTAATCCTTCATAGATTCAAGAAAGTACTAGAAACAATCCTCAGAGACTTTTGTCCATATTGACATGATAGCAGTAGCTGCAGATTTCTCGACTGCACATCCATGATGCAACTCTCCCGTTCCACCACATCTCAAAGGTGCTCTATTGGATTCAGATGTGGAGCCATTTGAGTACAGTGAACTCATTGTCATGTTCAAGAAACCAGTCTGAGATGACTCGAGCTTCATGACATGGCGCATTATCCTGCTGGGAGTAGCCATCAAAAGATGGGTACACTGTGGTCCTAAAGGGGTGGACATGGTCAGCAACAATACTCAGGTAGGCTGTAGCATTGCAACAATTATCAATTATTACTAAGGGGCCCAAAGTGTGCCAAGAAAACGCCCCCTACACATTACACCACCATCACCAACCTGAAGAGTTTATACATGGTAGGATGGATCTATGCTTTCATGTTGTTGATGCCAAATTCTGACCCTGCCATCCGAATGTTGCAGCAGAAATCGAGACTCTTCAGACCAGGCAACATTTTTCCATTTTTTTATTGTCCAATTTTTGAGTCTGTGCAAATTATAGCCTCAGTTTCCTGTTCTTAGCTGTTGTGTGTTCAGAGATACTTTTCCGCATACCTTGGTTGAAATGAGTGGTTATTTGAGTTAGTTGATTAGTAAGTGCATTAAGGACCAGTTGGACAGATGCACCCAATAAAGTGGCCAGTGAGTGTATATATAAAGAGTTTTTATGAAAAAAATAAAATAAACAGTACAAAAAAAAAAACAAAAAAAAACTATGCTTTCATGATGTAGATCTTTATTCACAAAAGTGTGTCCGGTGTTCTACTGCAACTATAACTCTCCTATGAAGGACCTTCTCTTTTCCAAATTTTTAGCCATCTTTGTGGACAATGTAAAGAAATAAGGAGCCCAAGTCATGCCCACCTACTTCCAGACCACGGGTCCTCAGAAGAATAAAAAAAAAAGAATTCAAGTCAATGGTGCTATAAAAGCTATTTTTCAATCCTGTTTCTTATGTGCCACAGATTTCACAAATGATGTCCATGAATTTTAAAGACACATTTGATGCCAAATAAGTGTCTATTTTTGAATGGGGGTAAAAGTTATTTTAGGTTTTGAGTGAAAATACATCCAGGACTACAAAGGCGCATCACCACATTGACGTCATCGAGCCAGACACGGAGATGAGCAAAGGAAATTGGTTCTAAGTTTAGAAAACCATGAATCCTTCTTACAGGAGGAAAGAACCACCATAAATCTTGCCATGTGGTAAATAGCAACTACGCAGTGGAAGAAGAGATTCTGTGATGATGTCATATATGAGACGTGCCAACGTCTGATTTGTAGTCATGGTAATTACGAAGTTTTACATACATCTCAAAGTATGTGACAGGCGTGGTGGAAACACACATTACTTTTCAATAGAACTGAAGTACAACATATGCGTAATTCAGAGCGTAAGGCAAAGCAAGTTAGAAAATAGCTCTTTTGGCCCCACTGACTGGCATTAATTTTTTTGTTCTTACGATGACCCATGAGCCGACCAAATGGGGAGGAGACTTAGGCTACGTTCACACTGAAGGCTTTGATGCTCAATTCCGATTTTTTGAGTAAATACATTTTTTTGTGTGGCTGTTCACACTATGACTGAAATGCGACATCAAACTCTCCAGTGTGAACGCTTCACGGCCCCAAAGCGACCCGCATGTGCAGAAGACAAGAAGTCACACTCAGTGGAGCCTTAGACTTTCATTTGTCTAATTTTGAAAACAAAACTTTTGTACCAGTTTTGACACACTTGTCCCAAATAGTTATTCTATAGCAATGATTTGCTTTAACATTAATTAGGTGCGCACCGATTGCAGTTTTTGGCCGATCACCAATCAGGAAAAATAACAGATCGGGGCCAATAGATCGGCGCACCCCTAGTAGTAAACAATAAGAACGACTGAATAAAATGAAAATTTCAACATGAAACATCAAAAAGTAATAAAGATTTTTTTTAGATCTGCTAAAAATTAAAATAAAGATTTGTTTTGTTGCTCTCTGGCTTCCATCTCCGTGAAACTCAGGTGCAGAGTTATCCGAGACACATTGTTGGAATCATCAAGACATTAGCTTCCAAATTAGTGGATAAAATGTGTGTACAATGTAATTTTTAGCAGCATTAGACAGAAATGTGGCAAAAACGCACACACTGTGGTGCTGCATGAAGAGAGATTTTTGATTTTTATTTATTTTTCAGTTGTGAGACTGAAGAACTGCACATCAAACCAGGCGATCAATAACATTGGAGCACCACAGGGGACTGTACTCACACCATTCCTTTTCACCCTGTACACCTCAGACTTCCAGTATAAATCAGATACCAGTCATCTACAGAAATACTAAGATGACTCTGCAGTTGTCGGGTGTATCAGAGATGGACAGGAAGCTGAGTACAGAGAGCTGGTGGAGCGCTTTGTGGCATGGTGTGGAAACAATCATCTGACCTTGAATGTGAACAAAACAAAGGAGATGATTTTAGAATTAAGAAGAAACAGGGTGGAGTCAAACACCGTTTCCATCATGGGACAAGAAGTGGAGGTGGTTGAGGAATACAAATACCTTGGAGTTCACCTGGACAACAGACTGGACTGGAGAAAGAACAGCGAAGCCATTTACAAGAAGGGACACAGCAGACTGCACTTCTTGAGGACGCTTAGGTCCTTCAGTGTCTGTAGCAAGATGCTGCAGATCTTCTACAAGTCTGTTGTTGAGAGTGTAATCTCTTCAGCCATCGTCTGTTGGGGTAGTAGCATCAGAAGCAGGGACCTGAAAAGGCTCAATAGCCTAATAACAAAGGCTGGTTCTGTTCTGGGGATGACTGTGGAACCACTGGAGGAGATAATGCAAAGAAGGATTCTCCAGACAATCAAGAAAATGATGGACAACCCTGAGCATTCTCTTCACAAGACTGTCCGACAACGGAAGAGTGTCTTCAGTCAGAGGCTTCTTCAGTTTCGCTGCAACACTGACCGCTACTGGAGATCCTTCCTGCCAACAGCCATTGTAATATACAATAACTCTTTGATGACTTGATCATTATTATTATTCTGAGCTACTACAGCAATCAATTTCCCTCTGGGATTAATAAAGTATTTTTGAATTTGAATTTAATTGAATGTTTGGGACACGTAAAAAAGGTTTGCATGGTCTTGTAACCAAGATTCTACAGTTTGTTGTTAGAGCGTGATGATATTTACTGATAATTATGGCATGAATCTTGCTGCTTAACTTTAACGAATGAAGCCCAAAGGGTTAATGAAAGTGGCTCCCTAACCAATCACAAGCTTGCCGTTTCTGTCACTTTCAACAAATCGTTAAAAAGTTGGGCACGTCTCAGACACGAATTCTACACTACAAAAAATTCAGCAAGACAGAGCAGGTATGATCAAAAAGTTTTCAAAACACGCCCCAAAGGACTCCAAAGATGTTTTCAACTTAAGCAGAACCAGACAGGACTAACAAGTTGGAGTGTAGCGATAATATTCAGGGCAAGAAACACAAAAGAGCTAATTAGTTTCAGCAGTCACTAAAAAAATCCTTAAAATACAAAACAAGGTTGAGGTACAGATAATTATTTTATAACCATCAAGTATGACTAACAAAATGGGACAATTGATAACTATAAATAAACAATAGTATACTTCTTAAGGGGAATTAAATTCTTTAAATTATCCACAATGAGTATGAGCAAGAGGGCACGATAACCAAAACTATAACAGCTATTTTTGTCCAAATATTTTACAAAAATCAATGTTTATTAAGCGGTTTCAAAACAACAAATGCATTAAATTATGTTGAAGTTTTCTGATACATTAACTATTCATGGATGTTTTTGATACAATTATTCATACAGCTTGTGACAGTTTTATGCCATGTGGGCTGTGTTGTAGGGCTGAACGATTAATTGCATATGCAATTAAATTGCGATGTGACAAAAGGAGATTTTCTAATCGCTAAGGCTGCGATTTGACTGGCAGCGAGTGGTTAATATGCTAATATACAATGAAAAATCCATAGGGATGCTAATGCTAATATTGCTGATTACATTCTTACAAAATATGAATTAGGAACGAGCCAAATGATTGCATTTGGAGTCTAATGAAAAGTAAAAACTGCCATTAATCAAACAAGTACAGACAGATATTTTAGTAAAGCTAGAAAACTGTAAAGAGACTGCAACTCCACTGAGTTTTGGTTAGCTTTTTTTTTTTTTTTTTTTTTTTGCTTTCGTTAGTTGAAAAATGAGAAAAGCCCCTTGAGAAAATAATCGTGAATTAAATTGCAATTGTAATATGGAAGAAAAAAAACACAATTAGATTATTTTCCAAAATTGTTCTGCCCTATTGTGTTAGCAGCCTGGCAAACCATTCTCCAGTATATATGTAAATATATAGTCTAGCCACGAGCCATTGAATCTATCCAGTCATGGGGCAGAATCTATAGTTGTCTTTCAAAGCGTCTCCACATGCAATTGGACAGTGCTAGTACCAATCTGCGCAACTAACCACGATGTATTCATCGCTACAGATGTCAGTCAAAAGTTGATGCCAAAGCCTTTTCAAACGAGCGCCGTTTTTCAGCCCATGTCATCTTTGGAGATTTTCTTCATCACGGCTCTGGTGGCAAGTCCACCCAACAAACATAAGTGCACTCTATTGGCTGGACAGATCAGGTTAATGGTAGACCTTCTGAGGCTATAATGGAGGATGGCTAGACCAACTTGCAGAGCTAAATTGTTGCTATTGCAACAGTTGAGTCAAATTTACAAAAAATGAATAAAATACTGCAACTCTTGTAAAGTATACTAATGCCCTCTATTCTCATTTGTAAATATTAACACAAGCTTAAATTCAATTCAAGAAGACAAAGGCAATCTCTCCTACAATTGTTTAAGAATTATTTAGAATTTGAACCCTGCAGGTCCCATGATACCATGCAGAAATCTTCCAGATGTGGAAGTTGTACCATGGTCACAGGTCAAAGCCAGCAGCCAAATAAACTTAGATAAGGGGTGTTCTGTCCCAGTCCTCCCCATCCTGCATGTTTTCACACAGAATCTAAAATACATTTTTGCGGTCGTTCGAAACAAAGTGCTTTCTTGGCATCAAAATGTGTCTTTAAAATTCAAGGATCTTAAATCCATGCAACATAGCAAACAAGATCAGAAAATTACAAATCCACTCATAGACTCCCAATCTTTTGTTTGGCAGTGGGAGGACCCATGGTGCAGAAGTAGATAGGCATTACTTAAGCTCCCTACATACCTGTGTTTTCCCTTCTCTTGCAAGTCAAAATGTCGACTGGCTTTCAGAATGAACAGCCATGTTTGCATGATTGTCCATTGTTTTCGTATGGAAGCAGGAATAGGAACGAAGCTCTCTGCATTATGTTGCACTGCCATGTTTGTCCAGTAGCTTCACTGACCAAAGAGAGATTTTGTTTCACACAATCCACCACCAACTTTGTTCATAAAGATCTAAAAAGTGTGGTTTGAAAAGATTAAACTAACAGTAATGGAACTTGGCCAATAAAAATAAAGCCGTTGGCATTATCAGAGGTGTCGTGTAACTCAGGTTACACCCACAGAGACTAAACTTCATGAGCAAAGTCTGCTTCACTAGAAAGAAAAGACTTGGCACATGTCCAAGAATAAAAGAAGACTGTTGCACAATAAACTGTACAAATAGATTATCATAAGGCTATGATCCGTTGATTTTATTTTATTTTTTAAACAAACTTTTCTTTTGCTTAGCTACTCTGTACCTCCACAGGTACACTTACGTAGTTGTATTTGCCTTCAGGCATTACTTTCTGAATTACCAAATAAAAATTAGGATGTGTCAAAATGAAGGAAACCACTTCCAGCCATTAGTGTCTATGGTCCATCACATGGGGTTAAAAGGATTCCCATCAAGACCCTATAGCCTATGGCTTGGGAAGCCATTGCTTGAGCGCTAGTTAGCAGTGGAAGACTCAGAACTTAGACCAATTCTTATTTGCTTACGTTTGGTAAAAATACTGGTGGTAACAATATTTTCATTTCTATGCAATTATTCTTTGCTATACTTAACCATGAAGACAGAAAACAATAACGGATAGTAATAACTGATACTGGATGACAGTTTTTACTCTTTATAACTAAGTTAGGAAAAAACAAGGGGTACCGAGTGAAATGTGATTGGCTGGTATGTTGTAAAAAACCTTGGAGGGCTGTAGAACCCGACAAGGTGTTTTATCAAATACGGGCCCATTTACCAGTTATCGTGTTAGTTTCTTAAGCAATTGAAAGTTTCACTTAGACACTTTAAATTTTATATAGAAAGTTTAAATAAGGAGTAAATATTAAGTCAGGTGATATTAAATTGATAACATTATCAAAATAATAAAGAAATGTGAGCTATTTAACTAAAACTAGAAAAGTAAGCAACTGAACATTTTTGTTGCCGACCTCAGGATTAAAATCATAAATGATTCTGCATTACCCCCAATAGTTTTATTTGGCTTTTTGAATTCATACACATGCAAAGTATTTTCGTTGCTTGTCACACATCAAAACCATGCATTCTACAAATAAAGCAGACCAAAAACAACCCAAAGAAACAGCCAGATACTTACAGTGTCATCACTTCGGTATGGGTTAAGTTTGTTGTAGAATGCCTCAATAACACTTCGTCTGAGCACAAGAACAAAAGTAGAAATAAATTATAGTGCTAAAGAAAATTACATCAATGGTTGTGATTTTAAAAGCAATAATTGGAGAAATAAAAATAATCACACGTCTTAAAAAAAAGTGACTCAGCACAAGTACAAGGGCCACTTACTTGCTCGCCAGTTCTCCTCCAGGAGGAAGATTGGGGATACTCTCAGAAGCTAACGTCCGCATAACATGAACCAAATCTGGGGCAACCGGACCTCCTTGTTTTTTGAGTATCTCTGCGAATGAGGAAAAAAAAACTAATGGTAAATTTATAAAAATAAATGCTTGAAATGTGTTTCCCTGGATTCTTCTATTTAAATCTTGCTACATGTATTTATGTATACATAAATTTAATTGCACACGTCACACATCAAAAATTGCTGGGCTGGTAAAACTTTTACCACTTTGTAATGTTGCCATTCCCTCTCACAACTAAAGTGCATTCGAGCATTTAGGATAAGAAGCAAGCATCCGAGTTGTGATTTCTTCCTGCAATCAAATATTAAAAGTGTGCAGTGGTACAGGGTTGTTGTCGCCTTTCTTCATACATTTTCCACATGTTGGAGACAGGTCAGGGCTGCAGTCAGGTTAGTCAAGGAATCTGGCTCTCTTTTTTCCTTACCCATTTTCTTTGTACCATGTTGAAACTGTGGTTTTGCACTGACTTGTTGAAAAATGCATGGACATACCTGGGAATGATCTCATCTTGATCAGACAGAATTTAGTGGACCTGAAGATCTTTTTAGGTTTGACATCCAGAGATGCATTACCACCATTTCTAACCTTAAAGATGAGACTGAAGTCCTTTTGTTTACCAAAGGTTTGGTCAAACAGCCTTAGGATACAATGACAACTCAAATATTCAACTTGAACTTTGGTTTCAGGGTCGTGGTTTGATCATTTCCCAGCAGGGCAATGAAACAAAAAAACATATGAATAACTAATAAAAGCATAAAAAACACCCAAAAATGTTTTATTGGCCCCAAACTGATGATGTAACAGTTAGGACATTAAAATACTCTAAACAATACAAATAGACAAAGACAAAACAAAGATGATCCATTTATGACTTGGAATGGCTTCAGGGTTTAAATTCCCTTATTTTGGCCCATGGACACAATCACACTTTCAGGCTCTGTCCACACGTAGCCGGGGATCTGCCAAAACGTAGATATTTTTCTACGTTTTAGCCTGTCATCCACATGAAAACTGTTTTTTCACACGAAAACGGATCTTTTTAAAAACTCCGGCCAAAGTGAAGATCTGCATTTTCACCGTTTTGGGTGTCTGCGTGTGGACAGACAAAACCGGAGTTTTAAGGTCTGCAATGTCACTTTCCGTGACAAAAAAATGCTGACATCACGTGTGCGACCTGTGTTTACACTAGCCGACAGCATGGATGCCCTCAGAGCTGCGCTCGCTTTATCAATTGTCCAAGCGCTTTTTGCTTGTTTGTTTTTGCAAGCGGAATTACTGCTTCTTGCGGAAGACCACAGACGAAGGACGAGGTTAAGAACGGGGAAGTACTGCCACCTACAGGTCTGGCATGTCCTTAACAACGTATTTATCTGGGTACGTGTGGACAGAGTTTTTTTTAAACGAGGTGGTGTGGATGCAAGTTTTTGGAGGGGCGGATATTTGTTTTAAAAAAAAAACCCGGCTACGTGTGGACTAGTTCTCAGTTTATGAATATACAAATTACCCGAGTTAACAAAGAAATGTGCAAACATATTTATTGGGAGTGCTCAGCTTTATATTAATTTTGTGCAACATGGTCTGTCCTGAACAGTGGTAAATCTACAACATGCATTTTGTGCTGGACATGAATATTCAGACCACATGGTTTGCCACAGATTTCCAAATTTTGGCGATCTTGGAGCAAAAATGAATATGAAGTCCTCTTTCACTTACGTGATGTAACCTTTCACATTTTCTGTCATGACTAAACATTTATATTGAATAAACCCGTTTATAGAAAGCTGCTTTAAAATGTCACATGGTTTTAAAAACAAGAAAATCTGAACAGATTTGCCTCTGATAAGCAGCACTTAAACATATATACCTATCTAAACTTGCTTTTCCTACCTGCTTAAAAGTTAAAATAAAAATGTTCTGCACAAGAAACAAAAAAAGCATTTCTTCATCTCCTACCTTCTACTCTGGCCTCAAGATATTTGTCCAGCTCCGCCTCCTGTTGCACTGCCTCTGGAGATACCTTTGGGGCTCCAGGAAAGCAGATTAACACAACACTCATATTGTCACGGCTTCCCTATGGAGAAAAAAGAAATCAACCAATTAAGCAACTCAACCACAGGAGTTGGTACAGATATGAGCAGGTCTTGTGGAAATACCATACCTTGTACAAGCAGGTGTCAACAATTTCATTGCTGACTTTTTCAAGATCATCTGTAACCTCTAGCCTTGACCGCACAAAGTCACAGAGTTCCTCATTGGCCATGACGTCCCAGATACCATCACAAGCTAGTATAATGAATTCATCTTGCTCGTCAGATCTTTCTATTGCGTACACTTCAGGTTCTGGAGAAACAAGCTGCTCTGTTGGGCCTTTGCCAAGCACACACTTGTAGTCAAAGTCTCCTAGAGCTCTAGACACAGCTAGAGAGCCGTTAACTCGCTGGATCATGACTGAGCCGCCGGCATTCTGGATTCTTTCCTTTTCAAGTGGATTGTTGGGTTTGTGATCCTGTGTGAAGAAGTGCACAGCTCCCCCTCTGCTGAGGAGACCCCGTGAGTCACCACAATTGATGAAGTAGATATAATTCGGAGAAATCATCACCCCTACTGCAGTTGAGCCACTGCGGTCGACACCATGCTTCTTCTCTGATACGCTTCGCATGTGTTCATCAAACTGCAAGAATCCAGTGCGAATCCCATTCCTCACGCTATCGACGCTGTTTTCCTCCTGTAGAGCACTCTGGAAGTCTGAGTTGCTAGTGATGTGTTCCAGAAGGTGCTCACAGCAGTACTTGGCCACCTGAGAGCCAGCATGCCCATCATAAACAGCAAAGAACGACCAAGGGTCGAGACCGTGAGGAAGACCAACTACTGCTGTGTGTGCATCCTCCATCTCAACCCTCCAACCCTGCATGCTGCTCAGCCCATACCTTAGGTTGTTGCCCTCCCCATGGGAATTATATTTTTCCATCTTTGGTTTGTCCAGAAATGCCCCCATTGTGTCCCTTTATAAACCTGTAACACAAAATAGAACTTGTGTTGATTAAAGAATGCATGTTTAATGAGGTCATCAGACTCTATTGGTATAAATGTTATATTTTAGCATGATCAACCACCAAAATATCAACACTGAGCTGTATAATGTACTTTATCTTTCAGAACTAAAATGACATACTGTTGCATGTGCGTCTTACCCCTTCTCTCCACTGGATGTGAAAACGGCACAAATCGTAATAATGGCGCTTTACCCGTGGGCTCCCTTCCAACCGGGATCAATTCTGACGCGAAACGGGAGCGAAAAACTCCACACAGCTGATCCCGTTCCCATTGTCACAAAATCGAGAGAGAATTGCACCACTACGCGTGACTTCAGAAGTCCACACAATAAAAAGCAAGGAGAAAAAAAGTTCTATTTACATCAGCTACAGAAGTTTCACAGGAAATGATGTACAGCATGTGGCTTTTATTTTGAAGGTTTCCTGATGTTTTACACTGATTTCATGATCGACTACTTCCTGTCTAGCCAAATCCAAAGTGAGGAATTTGATGTGTTTTATAAGCATAGCTCATGAAAAAGTCTTGAAGCAAAATGATTGCGTTGCTTCGCTTCTGGGATACGTCCAAAACGTCACACTTGGCTGTTAGTGGAAAGGAACTTGTTCCCAATGACGACATCTATTCGCCGTGTAGTAAATTCCTCGGCCATCTTGCAACGCTTTCACATCCAGTGGAAAGAAGGGGTTTCTGCCGGTACAGTATTGGTGCAAATAGTGACTAAGTAAACATTTTTGTGACCAATTAAAGGACAAATTTGTTGTCATTCAAAGCCCTGGAACAATCTATCGTAAATAGTCCTATACTTTTAGCATGTCCCCATACTAACACACGCACCCACACAATTATTTTAGCAAGACAAAGGGCTCTTACAAAGCCAAACATCCCATTAGTATGCTCAAGTTAGCAGATACCAATTTCTTTTAATTTTCACATTCTTATAAAATACACCAACAAAAGACTGTCAAACTAAAATATGTGTATAAATATAATGTAATAACCACTGTACTGGCAGTACCTATAGAAGACAACAGTGGTGCAAATACAAACATACAGCTGCAATGTTTGCAGTTCAGTAAAAATACACACACCATAGTTTTGGTGTGGTGCTGAGGTGAAGCTGGATTTACAAAGAAAGCATGGCCAAAGCAAAACCAGCCACATCTAATGCTTACATATTACTCAAAGGACACAGCAGTTCAGCAATTTACATGCAAAGCACACACAGCTAGTGTAAAGCTGGTGTAACATAACCTACTCGTGTAAAAGAGGTTGTTTTCAGCAAAAAAAAAAAAAAAAATACAACAACAACAAGAAGATATATAGAATTTAAACATGTAGGATGTTACTTTATGTTTGTAAAGAAAACTAGAACTGGAAACAATGTGAATCACCAAGTCAGACATAACAGATCTACATCTGGCAATAAAATTGAAATAAGTGAACCTGTACCAAAAATAGCAAAAACATGTGAACTGACAAACACCTCTCATGCATCAGTTGAGTTGAAACAGACTGCACACCTTCCATTAATTTGTGGCACAAGATTAGTATCTCGGGGCTGAGTTCAGGCCCCTGCACCAGTCTAAAAATAGTAGACCTGTGGGCACATTATGGCTACTTATTAGGAACGTCACTGGTGATTATCTAATAGTCAAACGTGCAAGTAACCAAAGTGTATAGGGCAAGTTTAACATCCAACGCACATTTATGTATGATGTAACACCAAAACATCTGACCTTCGCTATTCTAAACAGCATGTAAATACCTTCTCGGTTTAATGTGAGACATATACCTGACTGATCAGTTTCCCGATAACCGTTACAAAACATAAGATCTTTCGAATACTAGCGTTGTAATGAATTAGTGGGCATCATGGACATGCTCAGTCAGGACCACTTAGGCTGCTGGATTAGAGGAGAGGGCTTGGATTGAGCTAAAACTAGATTTTAATTTAATATATATCGAAATAGCCTTGCTTCTTTGCGGGCTTTGACCCTTGTCTCTTACTGCTAACTTTGACAGGCTTTCATTGCTGTTATGTTGAGGTTAGCAAGTCGGCCTTCCTAATTCTGTTGATACGCTAATTTAGCGAAGACAGCTAACTGCCCAGCTGTTTCCAGCAATTTCTGGTTAACCACATAAACATTCCACTTACCCAATATCCAATACACCAGTTGACTGATACACAATTATGCGAAAGGTACCGAGGGTCCGTGGTTCACAGCAGAAAGTGAACAACGACGAAACACGGCTTTGCGGTGGCTAAGCTAAGCTGGCTAGCCTGTTGGCTAGCAATGAGCGGTCGTCACTCGACTCAGTGCATACAAATTGGGTGAATGCGGAGGTCCCTCGTTTCGTCCTCCCGTTATGCATTACATTATCATAGCCGAGCAAAAGAATACTCTAATTTCTTCTCTTTTTAGGGGGGAGAGGCGAAGCTTTGAGCAGCAAAGCCAGGGGGATGCAGTAATGTCTACCCCAGGCTCTCCACTTGACAGCTTGACAGCTAATGTTAGCTTCTGAGGAGCCACAGAGGCGAGACCCGGATGTTACTGGCTGCGTATATTCGAAAACATGACATCATTGCTGAAGAGCTGTGGCTGCGCGGGCTGTGGCAGACCGTTGTAACATGTTTTTGAACCACACTTCAGTCACTAATTACTTCTTACCCATCTAGGTATTTGCTAAACTGTACTACCTGGAACAAAATTTTTAATTTAAATGTAGTCTAAAATGTAGATATGAAAATTGGAAAGGTAACTGACTTGTATAGCACCTTCCATGGTTCTAGGTTCCTAACTCTTTTATTAGTTCATCAGTAATAATCGGAAATTATTTGTGTATATTGGGAATTTTAGAAAAAGGAAATCAACTTCCACAAACTGTTTTCCAATGGGGTCTTGGTAATGCAAATGTTACTGATTTTGACATGCTGCTCTTGCAAATTTTCTCATTCTTATTATTGTGAAGAATTTTAAAGAGCACGTCACTCCCTACCAGAGTATTGCTCCACTTCCTGTTTGAAAATGCAATAAATGCTGTTGCCTAGCAGACCGAGAGGATGGAGTCGCTAACAATTACACACACACAGGCTCACAATGACATTCTGACATCATATGGTACCAACTAACGTTCTAGGGTACCTCTTAGATAATAGCGATGGCAGATTTAAATTCAAATACAGTGTAGAGCTTTTACCTGATAATGGAACAACACTGACAGTTTTAGGCAGAAAATTTTAATTTTAACTAAAATGCACTAAAGTGCAAAACTATTGACTACATGTGTCTGCAGCACGATTAGACACGCATTTATATAGTTTATTGGGAGGGGGTGGGGGAGGGGGGCTGATTTGGGGGTGACTTGCTCTTTAAATCTTTAATCTGATCAATAGAATTGTTTAAAGTAAATAACTTACTGTTCAAACCACTGTCTTAGTTAATAAGCCAGAAAAGTTGAAAAACCAGTGGAGTACAAACCGTTGGAGGAATGGCCCAAAAATCTCCAAGTTTAATTAATTAATTAATCCAACAATTTCTGTTTATTGTTATTATTATTTTAAAAGTAAGACAAGGATTTTTGTTGTGATTATTTTATCTGGTCAAAATAACACATTAAATATGTGTCCAGTATTTTACCTAAAAGAAAATGGCATTTATTTTTTACTGGAAATTCTAAATCACTAACTCTTTTGCAGCTGCAAAATAAATAAAAACGAATCTTTTTTTTATTATTTCTTTTTTATTATTTATTTAAAAAGGAAGGTCCCATTGAGATTAAAAGCCTCGCTTTCAAGGGAGGACTGAATGAATGTTATCCAGTTTCTCTAAGGTGTCTCGAGCTTGAAAATACCTTGGAGTTTTTAGCAGCAAATAAATAATATTGATCTCTGTATTTAGTTATGCTTGCTTGCCCAGGAGTTTGCTTTGTGCTCATTCTTACAATGAAAATGTAAATGTTTACGTCTGCTTCTAAGCTTTAGTTCTGAAAATATTTTTAAGGAAGTGACGTTTTTAGCTATTGTTTTATTTCCGGGCTGTTTGAAGCTAGCTCGTAGCTATTTGCTAATAGCTGCTGCTACTTCCTGTCACACAGTTATGGATTGCTGTTTGTCTTTTCTGTGGTATTTCATACCACTTGTGTTGCTGATTCACTTTGTGTGTTTTATTGTTGCGGATGCAGACTTTACTCTGCTGCGGGCGAGTCTGATAGGACACAAACCAGGCGAGTTATTCAAAATGAGTTTAAAAAAGAAAACATTAGCAGTATTTGCTTTAGTAACTATTTCCTCGTATGTTTAGCTTTCTTAAACCAGGTTTTGCTGTGAAATTACTGTATGTAAAATAATGCTAATCCAAATAAAGTATTGGGCTATGTTTGCAGGTTATTAACCTGTTGTAGGTGACTCTGAACAGCATCAGTTTGGAGAAACATTAGTCCTGATCAGCCACAGGCTAGACTGGTTGGGACCAGTTACAAAGTGTTTCTGCAGTCCTAAAGCAATGTCAAAAACCTATAACAATTTATATAAATGCTAGTTTTTAATTTTCACACTTCCATATTTTCAAATTGCATGGAAACTTGTATATATTTGTAAATAAGGATGACAGTGGCACCGGAGTTAAGGGCTTGCCCCACAATCGGAAAGTTGCAGGTTTGAGCCCCGCTCAGTTTGTCGCTGTCATTGTGTCCTTGGGCAAGACACTTAACCCGCCTTGCCTTCTGGTGGTGGTCGGAGGGACCTGTGGCGCCAGTGCTCGGCAGCCTCGCCTCTGTCAGTGCACCCCAGGGCAGCTGTGGCTATATCGTAATTCATCCCACCAGCGTGCAAATGTGTTGTAAAGCGCCTTGGGGGGTTCCAGGACTCTAGAAGGTGCTATATCAAATACAGGCCATTTACCATTTACAGCATAGATGGGTTGTATGAATGAGTTTTTTGCAGGTACTTTGATTTACCGCCAGACCGAAAACATGCATGTGAGGTTAAGTGGATGATCTTATGTGGCTTTGGATAAAAGCATCAGCCAAATAAATAAACACGAGCATTTTGTTGTGATTTGTGTTAACTAGAAGCCAAGCTGAAAGGACTGGTGGTGTGGATTACTGGAGCCTCTAGTGGCATTGGAGAAGAGCTCGCCTACCAGCTGGCAAAGTGTGGATCACGCCTAATCCTGTCTGCTCGCCGCGAGGAGGAACTAAACAGGGTCAAATGTCATTGTTTAGGTAGATTTCTTCTCTTTTTTAATGAAATTTAATTTGTTCTTTTGTGACCAGATGGCTTTATTTTGTTTTCTGTTCTTCAAAGAAAACTCCAGCCTCAAGGACGAGGATATCCTTGTTCTGCCACTTGATCTGTTGGAGACGACATCACATGAGCACAAAACAAAAACTGTGATTCAGCATTTCGGGCATGTAGGGCTACGCTATTTGTTCCATTTAAGACAAAATTATGTTTAAGAAGAAACTAGTTGTACAACATTTTCTAAAGAAATGTGAAAAAATTGAAAGGAAAAAATGTAAAATTCATAAATTTTCCTCTTTATTTTTATCAGATTGATGTTCTAATTAACAACGGTGGCCGAAGCCAGCGCTCTCTTTTCTTGGAGACCAGTGTTGAGGTGTACAGGGCCTTGATGGAGCTCAACTTTCTTGGTACAGTCTCCATTACCAAGCAGGTCCTGCCTCATATGACACAGAGGGGCCGAGGGAGTGTTGTGACCGTCAGCAGTATAGTCGGCCTCGCTGGGGCGCCTCTTTCAACAGGATACTCGGCAAGCAAGCATGCTCTTCAGGTGAATTGATTTTTATTTTTTATATCGATTTATAAATGTTGATAAACTAAGATGTTTTATTTTAATTTATTCTGAAGTGTCTTTTAGAGATAGATTTTGCAGACTTTATGTTGCTGAGTGTAAATGTATCTTCAGGGTTTCTTCAATTCCCTTCGAACGGAGCTGACAGACTTTCCAAAAATACTCATCAGCACGGTATGTCCAGGGCCAGTGCAGTCACAGATCGTCAGTAATGCATTCACAGAGGAACTGAGTAAGGTAATGCATTGTACTTTTTTTTTTTTCATTTCCTCAATTTATATGTCTAATTAGCTACTTCGGTTTTCGGCTTTCTCTTAAAAGCCTGTGGCCTTAGCTGGGAGCCAAGAGCACAAGATGCCCACAAGTCGCTGCGTGCATTTAATGCTGGTGGGAATTGCCAATGGCGTTAAGGAAATGTGGATCGCTCAGCAGCCCTTCCTCTCCATGTACTACGCCTGGCAGTATGCACCCACGTTTGCCTGGGCCATCACAAACATGATGGGCAGGAAAAGGGTACAAAACTTTAAAGCTGGTCTGGTAAGTGCATCTTTGCCTGCAATGATTAAGAAAAACCGAAGCTGCACTCTCAATGTGTGACTGGACTGATAACTACACCAAGTGGCCTCTGCTGGACAGGGACAGCTGGGGGCCATGTTGGAAGGTGCTGTTCCTTCCTACCAGTCAAAAACGGGCCTCACGTGCTTCACAAAGGGGGGGAATGAAATAAGTCTTACCAAATAAACAGTATTTCTTAACATTTAGGCCTCTGTAGTGAAAGCAATGTCAGGGGTCACCACACAGTTATTCAAGATTAAAAAATCTCTCATTCACGTTTCATCCTTGAATAAAAATGATTTGGTTTTCCGTAACATCAAGCCAGAGCTGACAACCAGCCTTTTCTGTTGCAGGATGCAGACTCTGCGTACTTCACTAAACCAAAGACCTCCTGAACAGGGATCTCACTGCATTCCTAACTGTGAATGTTTTCTGATTTTTAGAGTAAGTTTGAAAACTTCTGTCTATCCATGTCTTTACAATTCAAAGAATTAACATCTGACACTGAATTTGAATGCTTGCAAAGACTAACGGCTGTAAGAATGATGCATTTGTACTGATCTTTTGCTTGAACAATAAAATTTAGTTTGGATCAATTTTCTGTCCATTTAGTTAAAAATGGTAAAGTTGTTATTGTCAACATATTTTATTACAAGCACACATATAAAAATGAACATTTTATACAAGAAACAACATATTCATTGAATTTTTAACTGTAAACCACAGAGTTGTAAACAAAACAATAGCACTAAACATCGTACACAGAGCAAGACATACTCAAGGCACATCCTTGATATCGTAACAAAACATTCAGCATCTTGTACCTTTATCTGGACATAGAAATTAAAATTTGAGGAGTGTGAAACCTAAAAAGTAGAGCAGGAAATGGATTTGTTGGGTTTAATTTAGGTTAACTCGTTTTGGTTTCCTGGTTTACAGACCAGCTAATTCATCACGTTCTGTTTAAAGACGTCGACCACATTAGGAGCTGAAGTAGATAAAATTCTGAAAAGTGTGTAAAAAGTGGGTTTTCGTGAGTCAACAGTTTAGAGAGTAAAGCTCAAGCGCAGGTGGAGGTTTCTTCAGACTATTAATGAATGTTAAAAAAAGGGGTTCCCCTCTTAACTAAGAACTGTGGCGGGTCAGAGACAGGGAAAGTGAAGAGGGGCAGATGAGTAAATTGGGTAACCTAGAGGAGGATCGGCTGCCTGAACAGTTAGATTTCTAAGCATAAAGGGGTGAGCTTGTATGCTGTACCGCTCCTCGTCATCATTAGTCGCATACAACAGCTCCCACGAAAGGTTTGCCCACTGGCCTCGAACCCCCTCTCCGTTCAGACGGCCCACCTGTATCAGCTGCTCCTGCAGGGACAGGACTCGTCCTGTGTAGGTACCCTGTGGACGAAAACGTCATTCCGCAGATATTTCACTGATCTTCAAGTCATCACTTGAGCAAAATCACTTTCATGTGCACTGCATGTAATCCATCAACGCTGTAAATCTTTACTTGACCATGTTCACTTACCATAGTGAGATCATGCCCCAGAGAGAAAAGGAAAGGCTTCTCCTGAAGGACACCGTCATGCCAGCCTTTCTCTGTAACCAGGCCGATGTACCAGTCCCTTTCATATTCTTCTAAAGTGCTGAACAACTCCTCAGGGGATTCCATCGGCCCGAGGCTCGCCTGATCAAACAGCAGCTTGAAACTAAACCTGGAGGCAAATCAAAGCGAGCAGATTTTTTTTTAAGTTCCATGGATCGGTCATTAAAATGTGGAGAGCAGGTTTACCTGAATGCCTGAAGTGTGAGCTGGTAGAGTTCTTTACGTGAGGACAGCCAGTCGAGTCCTTCGGTCCACGGTACATCTCCACAGTAGAGTCTGTAAATGTAACTAGGGCTGGTGAAGGCAGACTCCGCCCCCACCAAGATGAGACAAGAAAGTGCAACTTTAGCATGTAGTTCTTTTAAAACCTCATCCTCTTTCAGGGCTTTGGTCATGTCCGCCGAAGTCTCCTCCTGCACAGCCAGTCCAAAGCGTCCCAAGGTAAACCGAAACCATTGCTCAGGAAACAGGGGCCTAAGAGACAGCAAGCGAGATGGCAGTAACGGTGCTGTCCTCCACCCTGATGGAAGGCTAAATATCTCAGACTGAGGACAGCTGAAGTTTAAATGAGAACTCTCTTTGAGGACCTCCGTGTTTCGGCTTTTATCTACTGCTGGCATCCCAATGCTGAGTCCCAGGGGCTGCAGTGGCTGCAGGGCAGAAAGAGCCATGTTTTCAAAAAGACTATCCATTTCTACAGAGCCAGGCAAAGAGGCTCCTATCTGCAGGGCCGAGTGTCCAGGTTGGGCCTCTGCGGTGACTAATGCCACTGTCCGTCTGGGGGGTTGTGGTCCAAACAAGTCATCCTCATCTGACCAGTCTCCAAAAGAAGTCCCACTAGAGCTTTCCTGTCGGAACCTGAAAGAAGACAGGTTGGATTCGACCACAACAGCCTCAAATGGCTGATTGCAGGTTGTCTGAGCGAACTGTGAAGACTGGGACTTTGTGCCTCCACTCGCGGACACCTCCTCACCGCGCCACAGAAATCCTCGATGTTTCTGCACACAGTACCGCAGGAGCAGCCAGATCAGGGCTTTCATGAAGTCATCCTGAAGTTTCCTCAAGTTTTCATGAGAGTCAATGATACCAGAGAGCACGTTCCGGGCATCGGAGTACGCTCGCACCGCAAGTGCAGCACAAGGAGTGAGGGCGTTACCCCAGTGCAGGTTAAAGCCCTGGGTGAAGCCGAGACGCTCGGGTCGCTCAAAAGCAGCCTCGAAAACTTCATCTACCCTCCGTGCCTCCACAGTGTGGCAAGATGTCTCTTGCAGCTCCAGACCCTGTCAGAAAACCACAACTCCTTACAGTATACGATCTGACAGTACGTCTGTTAGACACAGGAAGACTGAGACAACACACCTTAATGTTGACAGTACAGTAGCCATATCCTCTCTCCAGGATCATTATCCAAACCATACGGTCCTGAAAGCGTCCAAGAAAATGAGAGCCAGGAGCTAAAGAACCTGCAAACGGAGGAAGTCACACATTAAGAAAACATCGAAATATAAAGACGTATAAAATTGTCACGAAAAGGGAAAACTTCATATAGAGAAAGAACTGTTTGTCTCTGTGTGAGACTGAATGTCCCAGCTGAATACACACAGATCTAAATGTTAACCCTATTCTTGTTCTTGGCTTGACTTTAGTCAGAACGACCCTTCCATACGGCATGGGTATTTGATTTTAGGAGACAGAAGGCGGATGTTTATTTCAGCACCGACCCAGAGCAGTAGCAAGGTGAAGGAGGCTTTTGTTTTCCTATGACTAGCGCACCGCATACAGTAGCTCAAAGACAACACCGCATCCCATAACGACATCTCAGCATAGTTCCGGCCGCTACCTCATGACACAAAGCAACAGACTGGGTAGACTCCTTCCTTGCTCACTGCTTCGTGGCCTCCAGCATGTGCACAGCACAGCAACTCTCTAAAAGGCCTTCATTTGACTCGGAGCATTGACCTAACAAGCAACTCTTCTAATAATTCATCACTTCTATGGCCTCCAAAGCCAAATCTAGACAATAGAGTGAATGTTTTTGTTCCTATAACCAATCTATGGAAATAAAAATCTTGTAGCGCCTCTCTGTGATGGAGCTCAAAACAAAATCCTAGCAGCAGCAGCGCAGTTTAGCCTCGGAGTATTGCGCAGCTAATGTTGCGGAAACATTTGGATGTAATGAATACAGATCGGAGCTTTTTTTTTGGGTCACTTCACAGGAAGCTCGACTGGATGATGTAAGCTTGCTTTACTGCCAGTACTCCAACAGGGTTGCTCACAATGCAGTGTTCTTTTTACTATTTAACCATTTGAGGAGATGCTTCAGTGCTCTTTGATCTGCATGCCGTCCCCACTTGACCCACAGGGAAGTTAGATCGCCACAATTACAGAAGTCAAAACAATACTTTTTAAATAGTGTTTGTGAGTTTTGTTTCGAGCCCTAATGTCCACTCGTCTGAATAGGATTTGTGCAAGAGAGGAAGCTCAAAAGCACAATGAAAGAAGAGAAATACTTCATATACTGAAACTTTAAATAAAGCCTGAATCATTATGGATTTTGTATTCATTTCTGATTTATCTGAAGTAATGTCTTTAAAATCTGACATAAGAAAACATGTTTTAAAAGTGTGAAATACAACTGGCTTACTCGTTTGGGCACAAAAAACATATACACTGAAGAAAAGTATTATGAAGGTATATATATAAATATATAGTAAACATGTCTATTGTGCTTTAAAAGCAATATTTTACAAAAACACTCAATAAACAATAAAAAAAAATACCACGCGAAACCCACTAACCAAGTGATCCTCTGGAAAAAGCTGTCCTCAAAGCTGAGGCCAGACTTCCGCTCATTTGCTGGTAGAAGATCGAGTCCGGACAGGGACAGGCGGTGCCCACTGGGCCGGGCCAACTCCGCTGAGGCCTGGGAAATCCCACGAGGAAGATGGGGAGCGTGAAGAGGGGCAGCAAAGGAGCAGAAAGCAAGGCAGAGAGGGTCACCACTGCCAGCACCAGTGGCCACAGAGATGTGTTCAGAGCCAGGAGAGTTCCAGCTGACTGGCGACGTTGCTTCTTCTCTGTCCAAGAGGTCACCAACACAGTGAGGGTGAACTTCAGTTTGGCCAGAAACTGGCTCAGTCTGTCGATCAGGAGGCCCACCTGGATCAGAAACAAGACAATCATCACTGATGAGCTGCATCTAATCCGCTGATACCTGCCAAATCTACCTTCTTCCATCGTATTTTTCTATTTGACCCCTTCTCTACAGAACAGAAGCCGCTGCTGTGTGTGGTTAACATGCACTTTGTCAGAATGCACCTTTAAACTTGCATTAAATCTATAGTTTGGGTTGAGCTCACCAGAAGAAGCTGAACTCCAGTTCCTAAACTGTCCCACCCTGGCAGCAGATGGCCCCCAGCAGCAAGGCGCCCTAAGACCACCACCACCATCTGCAGCAAGGCGTCCTCCGAGCTCTGCCACACCTGCAACGCAACAAAAAAACTCACCAAAATTAATGATTTTTTTGTGTCAATCTTAAAATAACTTGATTTTGTTTCTAGTATATTTTAATTTAACATTGAGATTGAAGCTGGACTGAATGTATCTGCCACAAGTTATTTAGAGCAAGCCAGTATTATTCTAAAGTATTTCTGATTTTTTTGAGAGAGAATAAAAGTAATAGTACCACTCTAAATGCTCGTGTGAGTCCCACGCTGATGGAGACTGTGTGCAGTGACAGTAGAGACTTGTCCATGGACAGAAATGCAATCATTGCAAATGGAGACACTGAAGTAAAAAAAAAAACACTGGTTAGTTAGCTTTGCATAAAGAGGTTTACCAAAACAATGCAATTAGAGAATCAAAACTAAAAGATGACAAGTTCACCAAAATAAAGAAGGGCTCTTCTGATTGCAGCAGCTAGGTACAACCCTCTGTTCTTCTCCTTAAATGTTTGAACATTAGACATGCCTTTGGGGTAAAGGGGATTCAGGAACATCCCTCCACACACATATGCCCCCTGCATCTCTCTTAGAGCCCAGCAGAGGAAGAAGAGTATGAGGAGGAGGTAGCTGACATGACTTTGGTGTCCAGAAACTAGGTTCTGTGATTGAGTTGAACCAAAGAATTGATGCAACAGTCCTGCCTCGGCTGTCGCCACCAGCAGCAGAGTCACATATAGCGCTATCTCCCTGCAGCCTAAATTCCAGCCAAAAGAAGTGGGAACAAAAGGTGGCAACCCTCCGTCATGCAATCCATGGACCCTGAAGGCTTCTCTGGGACTTTTGCTGAGAAAGCCAACTTGGCTGAGGTCCAGGCTCAGCAGAAATCCTGTAGTGACGGAGAAGAGAACCACACCCAGCGCTGACGGGATGAAGTAATTACATACAGTTATCCCGGTGGATACAGCAAACATCAAGAGCAGTCTGTTGGGACATAACACACACAAAAGTAGAAGTTTAAAAATCAAGCCTCTTGATGAGATTAGTAAATTGTCAGAGTATTAGAGATCTTATAAAGGACAAACAAGAGATTGTGACATATTTGAATATATACCTGACGTTGCTAGACATAGGGGAGCCTCCCATGCCAAACACAAGAATCTGCTCCATGCCCCAGAAAAGCAGGGCGTCCAGGGGTGGCAGCGCACCTAAGGCCCATAGCAGAGGTAGGAAGAGGAAGAGTACATGGAGGGTCTGGCAGGCGAGCTGGAGCTCAGGTACAGGGTTTGAAAACCTAAACACCAGCACGACATTGACATTATCATAACAGCAGAGATTTTCCTTAAATCAAGCCCCACTTTGTTGATGCTTACCGATCAGCCAAATCCACAGCAATGAAAATGAAAATGTAGAGAGGACGAGTAAGTGGGGTGATCTCGTAAGTGTCCTGTGCCTGGAAAGTAGCGGTTTCTGTAGCTGTATTTACAATGAGGGAGTATTCAGCTATACACAAGGTCACCCAGCTAAGGACAAAAACTACAAGAGAGACACCAATGCTGCCATAGAGAGATGTCAGCCTGCCCAGGAACACATACCAGGTCCCAAAGCCACAGAGAACTCCAGATATTATTGTATGCAGCACAACATTAAGACCGAACCTTTTCCCAGGAGCGATAAATCTAAGTGTCTCTGGGCTAACACAGTTGGTAAACTCCACTTCCTCTTCATCAACCAGGATGTTGGGTGCGCCAAGTCTCTCCACAGTGCCGCTCTTCCGAGCAGCATAAAATGCTAGGGCCTGGACACCTGCTGCAGCTGTGAACATCAGCATACCAGAAAGCACGGCGGCATGGAGCTCCTGAAGCAGCTGCAGTTGGCAGAGCAGAGTGCCAATTCCTCCGAAAAGCCATGGAGTCAAGAACAAAACCGCCTGGTTTACATACACATACGGTGGGGCACAGTAGCCCAACTTGAATCGTGGACCTCCCAACACCGTCTGGGGAAAGCGCTTCCAGAAGAATTCCTGTTTGTACTCATTAAGAAGGGGCACATCTGGCCCCATTCTGACCATTCCAGAAGAGGTGGCAGGTCATCTCCTCGTTGCAGAGGGAGGTGGGTTTCCCTTCATCATCACTGGGTTAGAGGATTCTGCACAGTGCAAGTAAGCAAAGGAGGGTGTAAGAAAAACAGATGAAATGCATACAAAATGTAGCAAACTGCAAGAACTCTAACATTGGAGTTTAACAGACTGGTGGGCCATTTTATTTTTAGAAGTCAACTATTACAAAATCATAAATCCACAGGTTATAGATGTCACATAATTATCAAAGCATTTTATATAATAGTCTTTCCAGCAACATTTGTTATTTTAAATAAGGTTTAACATAATAAAGTGATGCAGTTTCCATACATTCATCAAATTTGGATGCAACTACACTCAGAAGTCGAATATGCACTTAAATAAATCTCCAATTATACCGATTAAACGGGCATTAAACAGTCTTTTTGATCTTACATCTTAAATGTTTTTCACGTTTAAAACTGAAGTTTTCATCACTGTTTGTGCTTGTATGAGTATGTCTGGCAACTCAGAAAGATGTCGCCATCTCTACGAGGTGACAAGGCATTGTTCGTTCTTGGAAAAACTATATGTTTTTAAAAAAATATGTATTATGCAAACCTGTCGGGCTAGAAACCACAAAAGGACAGGAACAACTGCTGCTGGGTTGCCAGGAGAGCACACACACAAACGGGAGTTGTGTATGAGCTCATCCATTAGCGCAAAGAAACCTCATGAAACTATAACGACAAATTAATTTAGGATGGATTGTTTTGATGAACTCTGGTGGCTTTATTACTATTAGCTAACAAAGACTGAGAGATGTAGCTCCGTTAGCTTACACTAGCAGGTAAATAGCAGACGGTTGAGAACCGTGATAGATAAACTTACCGTCAACAGCGGAATGACCAATGGCAGGTGCGTTTTATTGTTGTGTTTGACGAGATATTAAGGACATTTTACGAAAACATCACAGCACTATTGTTTTAGTATTAACATTATCGGCTTGCTAACCGCTAAAAAAGCTACAAGACGATGATGGGATGATCCACAGTAGGTTGTGACCAATCACAGAGAAGAGAACAGGGATCGACAGCGCTGATTGGTTGGATGGCTCTCTAATCCCGCCCTTTGTAAAAGCACCACAAGTCCTTATTTGTCATGTTTTTCCATACAGATGTTGACATTTATTAAAGGGATTGTAGCTTACCCCCCCCCCCCCCCCCCCCCCCCAATGAAGGATGACACTTTACTGATGAAGTTTTGGATATAATGACGATGGCCCTCAATTTCACCGTAAGAGCTGGAGATGTGTACAAAAAAAAAACCATGTAAATAGATCCATACTCTTACATCAATACAACTGTTATTAACAGTTTACAACATACACCATAAATTACAATTTCCTTAGCTTTATAAGATAAATCAATGCAATTGGATCTAACCATTTTATAACTAAAAATATTTAATACATAAGTACATTAAGATAAAAAATTTACCTAGTGCCTCTGTCAAGGGGGCTGCTAATAGCAAAATCCATATTAGATCTCCGTCAAAGCTGCTTTGGCCGTTTAATCGCTGTTAAGATAGCTTGCATTAACTGTTAGAACAGGAAATAGACCCTTCCAAATAAAAGCATTTCATTCAAACAGGAAGTTGATAAAAATGGATTATAAATAAAGGCAAGTTGTGCCAAATTAAAATACAAGCAAAAGAAGATGTCATTTTAGGGTTAGTTAAAGGGATCATTCTTATTGTCTATATGTAGAAAAACCGAAACTGCTTTAACTAGGAGCTAAAGAAAAAACAGTAAAACACGTGATCATAGAACTTATGGCTGTATTATTTTATTTGAATCTTCAACTTTATAAATTGAAATATGCAGTCAGTCTGACCAGGAACAAAGAGGATATGGATTGTAATTAGCTATTTGGTGAGAGTTAACCACTAACAAAATCGTTTTTCTCTTGCACGTTTTATGAGGTCCTGTTGAAAAGAAAAAAACTCAAATCAATAGATCAATTCTCTAATTTTATTGTAATTCAAATTTAATTAAATTTACTAATCATGAAAAACTAGATGACATAATCTTTAGATGCTTATTTTATTGTGCTTTGTCATAACCACCAAACAAGCACAATAATTATTATGATCTAAATACTTGCTGTTAAATAAATTTATTTAACTTGAGTAAAGGAAAATTTTTGTTACTAAAAGTCTATTTACATGAAAAGGGGTGCAAAAGGAGGCTTATCCAATGATCACTGCAGAAACAGTAAAATAGCTGTCAATATGGGCCAAGTAGATGAAATGGTTGTTGTTCAGTGGGACTGGGCAGGAGGGCAGGAGGTTTTGTTTCCTTGTCATCCCGAAAAGCAATTTGTGCTCCATGTGGAACACAATAAACATTTCCAACAGAGACGCCTGTCATTCATGACAACACGTAATGCACCTTCCTACAATAGTACATTAAATAGAACACTACCAACAGTAACGTGTCATCCTCAAAGAGATAGTGCAAATCTAATGGTATATTAAGGGCTGTTAAATTGCCCTGAAGCTCATCATCTGTTAAAACTGTGAAAATTGAGTTCTGCTAAATCTGAAAAACAAAAAGAAAGAAAATAAAAACCCTGAGCTTTTGTCCATTGTTTTTCTTTCACACTTTTTTCTGCTTCGAACAGGCTGTTCACTTTGTGTGATTGAAATAATGTGATAAATGGCACACAAGTTCAATAATGCCATAAATGATGAGCAAGGTCAAAAATGAAAAGTGGTTAAGATTTTAAGTTCCCGTTAGGGTTGCTCTCATCCAAAATGTCTACACAAAATAGAAGCATTTTCCCTTTCAGCCTAATTGTCCGTCTCCAGTTGCTTTTTTATTCTGCAGGAAACAAATTACAGGAAAACGACAAGCGACGGCAATAATTCAATGACAGACTTCAAAAGAAGCAATATGACCAGACAGGATGTTTTTGAGCAAAATAAAAGAAAATGAACTTGGGACATAATATATACCTTTTGAAGACAAAAACAATTTGCAGAGGGGCATGAGCGGGGGCGAAACAGTTCATTTTCACAAAGGCAAGGGATGAATTTGTGGCCCTTCTTTTAAAGTTCACGTCAGCTGGTTTCTGTGCAAAACTCGTGCTACCTTGGATAGACTCTGCCAGATAATCAATGTTAACTTCAACATCATACATAAATCAATGTTGCAACACTTCTTATTCACTCCTAAAGCTGGAACCTGACTACATAGCAGTAATCGCTCGCTCCATTCAGCAATTATTCACAGAGTCTTGGACTAATGGTGCTCTGAACGCACAGATAGCAAATGCAGAGAGTTATTGGACCAGCAGTAATGGCCCCATACAGAGCATGTGTTTCCCTCTGTGTGCAGGAGTCTGCCAGGGGAGAGAGGGGCATCATCTATAACTGATTTGCAACAAGCACAAACAACTCTAATTATAAACCTAGACTACAAGTGTAGGGACCAGCTCATTTCCCCCTCTCGCCGTCTCTCCTTCTCCCTTTCGGTCCCTGCTGCCCGAGCCACGCTCCACATCAGGCCGATGAAAACATAACCTGTCACATTCCATCCCATTAAACCAGCTACGAGCCATGTGGTCTGCTCACGTGGCGGAGGAAGGAAGACACAAGAGAGCTGTGCATCTGGGTTCACTCAAAGGTGATGAATTATTCACATATTTTATGCTAATGTCATTTTAATGTAAGAAATCCTGACAGATATGCAGATATTCAACATACTCTATGAAGTGGTATGTTGGCTATAGGCTCACAGCACCCACAGCAGAATTAGAAGTAGTTATACTTATGACATTCGTGGCCCGCGTACTGTACACAAATATGGACCGTGTAATTATCCCCTGCAATACCTAATGCATTAGAGCACTCACACTGAGCCCCCAAATCTGTGTCCTGAGTCCATCAGCTGCCATCTGATGTCAGGCAGAGCAAGGTAATGGCAGTGCACTCACTTGCAAAGTCATTAGCCCCGCTTAATGCTGGGAATTAAAACAAATTAAGTGAAGTTAAGTACATGCATTAGAGAGGCTTGTTTGGGGAGAGCTTTTTATTTTTCCCGTGCAGGGCTTGGCTGCTGCCTCGGACGCTGAGTGAAGGCAGGAGACACAAAACTCAAGTAGACATGTCCTCCTCCAACGGATGAGTGACTACCTACAGAGGAAGAGAAGAATTCATTCAGAACTGATCGGCAGTGTTAATAGAGCTGTAAGGACACCTAGTGGCCATGCTGACAGCACTAATCAGTGTGGCGTTAAGTAAAAGGCGATAAAAATTTAACTCAAAGCCTCATGTGCACTGTAAGAAAGAAAGTGTTGAATTTACTTAACCAATAAATGTAAACTGGTTCCACTAATAGTTGATTAATGTAAAGAGTAATACACATTGTTATGTTAAATGTGAATGTCAAGGCAGTCTTATTTGTAAAGCATTATGTTAATTGCGGTAATTGAAGTCCCAGAAGCAGCTCACGGCAAAAAAAGAACTCGATCCTAACTTTAGCGGCGCGGCGCGGTGCGGTGCGGCGTACCGCTTCTAGGACGCACCCGGAAATTGCTGCATTGCTGCTGGTTTGAAACAGTCCATAGACTATAATGGATTCTATCTGAAGTAGTGACGTTCTGCACCGCCGATGCTTTCAGTGTGAAACCAGGTGAGAACATTCATGCAAAGGCTAATGAATACATGAAAGTTCACTCTTTACATTTATGTAAAGTTAGAGGAACCAGTTGACATTAATTGGTTAAGTAAATTCAACATTTCCTTCCTTACAGTGTAGATCTGTTATTCTGAAACATATTTTAAATTAAATACATTTTTTGCATGAGGAAAATGTTTTCCTTTGTTGAGCCAATATCAAATTTGCTTTGCAATCATTGTTTTGTTTTAATTTTCTTTACAATAAATGTGAAATGCTAACACTTCTTTAACCAGAATAAACTAACATGAAAACACAGAAGCTCATGTTGGACCGTTTCAGGTCCACCTGTTTCCAATCACAGCTTGCATGACTCGCCTGTATGGGACAAAACCGCAGTTGGCTTTCTGAAAAAAGAGGCTAACACGATGAAACCGACTAACTCTGAAAGCCATTTGGACCTCATTCAAGATGACATCTTTATCTGAGTGACTGCAGATTATTGTCCACAGAGAGGTGTCCTAAAGCTGGATTATCCACTTGTTGGGGATGCGTTTGACCCGATGGATGAAGCTTGCCAGATTCATACGCTCTTACATCTGTGAGTGCTTTTTTTTAGTTGTTTAGGGTAAAGGATGGGAACGAAGCTGAAATGACACCAATACCCATCATCCTCAGATTACCATGGTTAGTGATCCACATATGTGGAGAGAAGATTAAGTTGGTAATTCTAAATGCTTTTGACAGGAATGGACCTCATGTCCCCATCAAGCTGTCTAATTTACTGCAAACTGAAAGCAGTTTAGTTTCGATTGTACTAAATGTAAACCTGCACATAAACTGATACATATCATAGCTTAAACAAAACTAAATGAAACTCAATGTGATTTTTGAATGCTCCACCTCCTCTCACGGCTACATGTGTGGAGGCTGACCACCATGCGGGGACCTGGAAAACAACAATATGAGTAAATAAACCCTCTTCCTGCACATTTTACTTTACTTGCTTTTTAAAAGTTTGGATAAAGATCATATTTATACACGTCAACAACCTGCTATCCTGCTCCTGGTTGACACGGGGGATGATGAATTTGTTCCCCTCAAACCGAGCGTCGGTGGTCGACAGGTTACTTCCTGTGTTCTGGTTGTGACCAAAACAGCCGTTTCTTTGCTTCTTGTCTGAAATACAGATCAATGCTTGACATTAGATTTCTATAATAGATATGAAGCTGAAATGTAATACACACACACACACACACACACACACACACACACACACACACACACACACACACACACACACACACACACACACACACACACACACACATACGGGTGATCATCTGCATTACCTGACCCAAAATCATGCCCATGCATGAAATTCTGTGGCCCCCCACTTAAAGTAATTCCTCTCAGAGTAGATGTGTGAGGTAAAACAGGAAGTAGTCCATGTAGGCTCATCTCAGTGGTAGGGAGAGACGCTCCATAAAGCTGAACATTTTGCTTTAGGACACAGATTAAAAAAATGAAATAATTTGAATGAAATTATGTTAAAAGAACACATCAAGTGATTTCTGCACTAACCTCCTTAACATTTACATCCTTATTTCCTCCCCCCCACACACACACACACATTTGGCTGGAGATTTCTGATTAGATTGCTTATTGTTCCACATATATAAGCATCTTATAGGGGAACAGTAATTACTACTCATCACGAACAAGGTTCCCATTCAAAGAAGCCGGGGAGAGTGGCTATAGAGAGGTTTGCGTTTTTAACGAGAAAATACACGGTCTCTCCATTCTGTCATTTCCATATCGACGATTAACAAGCAGAGGGGGCCGTTTTGACCTGGCTAATATGAGATAAATCCACTGGTGCATTATCGGCCGGTCACATTTCATCTAATCAGCAGGATGATGCATGCAGGCTTACGCCTTTAATTCAGAGTTACATGAGCTTTACCACACCACTTCCTCATTACGTTAACGTAAATCCACGTAAACAGAAAGCCTTCGGTGCTGGGGTTTTCTTCTTAGCAGCTCTAGTTTGATTAAGATTTAGTTTTCCTCGGTTTTGTTCAAACAAGGTTCCTCTTAATTTTAGCCAGGCGTAAAAACATGAAAACATTTAACACAGCAGCGTTGGTAATCTCCACATGCTTCTCCTGAAGCAGAAGAAAATACACAATTCTGAGGGCATTAGGTATCTGTAGTGTTTTTTAAGGACTGGTGTTTAATTTCATGGTTCTCACGAGGGATTCTTCATTGAGAAGCTTGGCCCTGGTCCGTTCCTCCAGAGTCACCATCATTCCATCCAGAACCTGCAGCTGGTTCAGACGCAGCACCACGGCCGGCCTGTGGAGAGAATTCCGCGCAACCTGAAGAAAAACAATTATAGTTACAAAAACTCTGCTGTTAACTTAAATCTATATGCTTTATATTTGAGGCCGAATGTTTGCGGTCATGCTTTGAGGCATCTGGGATAAACAAGATGCCATGTGGGTCCCAGTGTAGCGACTGTGGTCCCAGCAGCTATTTCAGTGACCCATCTGACAGCAGCAGAGGGGTCCTTCCCCAGCTGAGGGAATGCCCTGACCAGGGAAAGCGTGCACATTCCTGCAGGACACTACTGCTGCTACAGGATGTCTACTGGAAAGGAACATACTGGCTTTGGCTGGAGAACATAGGAGAAGGAGCTGTTTCATGTGAACAACAGCAGGAACTGTTGTCTCCAGGGTTCCTGCTGGCCGGAGGTCTTTGGCAGGATTAATACTGCTTCCCATGAGGAAAGATGGGGAATGGGGTCATGCAGTAAAGAGGCTACCACAGCTGAACACCACCCTGTGGACGACAGAGAGGCCCTAATCTGCAGGCTCTGCTCCGGCTTGATCCATGAGCTCCAGCTGGGTGATGTCACAGGGGCAGCAGCGTCCTGCCATTTGGTCAGCACCACAGCGTTTAATGCCAGCCAGTTTGAGGCTCAGCAGACGGCCCATCGTGTAATCACTTAATTTAGAGTTTGGGATTTTGCTAGTGAGAAACTGAGCTCATAATCGTGATTTGGATATTTTGCTTGCATGTCAAAACAAATCTTCAAAGTGAGCTGGTAGCTAGTGGATTCATACGTATCACTGTGAAAGCTGATCATAATGTAAAAAGATCCACATTTTATAACATCAACTGGTGTAGTTGGGGTTAAACTTGAATACTCACCGGGTTACCAACTATGGAAAGCTCTGTTAGCGAGGGAAGGACTTCTAATTTCTCAAGCTCTGTCACGTCCTGCAAAAAAGTGGAGAAACCAGCGTTATTTAAAGTTTTTGCTCGTTCACTACCCTATCATTTAACTATTCCTCCCCACTGCGTTGGACCTGCTGTGTGCTGATGGCAGAGACGTATTTGTGGAGTCAGGAGGATGGAAGCAGCTGATGGGAGAGATTACATGTGTGAGTTCGTATTAATCTCACGAAAGAGTTTGGGCACGCAGCTGAACACGGGGGTGTTTTCTTTCATTCCCAGCTTTACGCTCTGACTTGGCTGTGATTCAAAGACGCCCCCACCGTGAGGGCCAGTGCTCTGGGATGATTGCTGTATTTTATGTCTTAATTGAATGCATAAAAACATTAAGGAAGTCAAGAGAAAAAAAAAAGAAGGAACTGGCAACAAAAGTGCAAATCACTCACCCCGGATGCAGACCGAGAAGCTGATTACACGTTGCCCTGATTGTTCCTCTCTGTCTTCATACACACGGCCCTGACCTTCAATCAAACTTGATTCTACTTAATACTACCCCTTGCATGCCACAGTGGGTGGTAATGGCTCATGATTACTATACTTTATGTCTACTTTGCAAATGCAGGTAAAACTATTTCTGCATCACGCTGAATAAAATGCATTCTGAAACATCGGAGACATATAAATCAATCCGTAAAAGTTGGTGGTAAATCAAAAACCGCACAAAAGGTGACAGTGACCTTCCCGAGAACACAGAGGAAAATCTGTGCTTTATTTAAATCCTGGATGTAAACAGCCTACCTGTAGCTTGTTCATGTCGAGGAAGAGCTTGCGAAGCTCAATCAGAGGATTGAGATGATTTAACTCCCGAATCCGGTTTTCTGCAAGATGCAGCTCTAATAAGACAATCTGGGCTGCAAAGGAGTTCTTAGTCAGGGTTTTGATCCGGTTTCTGTTTAACACGAGCTCTCTGAGCTGTTGAAGCCCCTCCAAGCCCTCCACCTGGCTGATGTCATTGTCTACGGAAAGACAAAACCTCATTAAAACAATGAACATTACAGTTGACAAGGTGATATTTTTACTAACAAAAAGAAAAGGTGTAAAAGGCCCATTTCTGAGACTAGATACGTGTTTGTTTGGTATTTCTTGTTTGCTCCTGCTGTAAAAACTATTTCAAATACAGATAAAACTTCAAAAGAAGATGAAAGTAATGTTGGGTTTGTGGTACAAAACACCTGGCAGAGCAAAGCTCAATCAGAAGCTGTTGAAAAGAAAGTCAGTCGTTCTTTTCTTCAAGTCTCATCATCTGCTTGGCCTTAGGTCCATGGGAGGCACTGCTCTTTTAGCGCGCGCCTTTTCACAGGCTCTAGAGCCGGCTGTGAGTGGGAGGGGTCGCGCTAGAGCCATACATACCTTGGAGAAAGAGAGCTTTAAGATTGGTGAGCCTGCTGAGCTGCAGATTGGCCATATTGGAGATGCTATTGTGACTCAAATGAAGCACCTCCAAGCTCACCATCAGTGGCTCCAGGCTGCCAGAGGGTCCTGTCTCCCTGAAACAGGGAAAGAGAAATCATTTTGTGGATAAACGAACGTCTCATTCTCCCTCCTGCTGCTGCGTTTAGCCGCTCAGACCTTACAGGTGCAGGCAGACTCAAAACAATTACGATCCGACCAAACAAAACAAGGACGTCCCAGCTCTGCTCGTTTATTGAGTTCACAAAAACATTAAAATGAATCAGTGGATTGATAATCTACCTATTTCACCTTAGATTATTTGTTTTCATCAAACTAAATTTTGAATGGTGAGAATGACTGAACTAGATTCATATAACTTGATCCATGCAGCCTCTTCAGAATCTGGCACAGCTCATTCTGAGGTCAGTACTGCCCTCTGTTGGTCACGTAAATAAAATCATGATCATTTCTGTCATCTGACCTTTGACTTGAAACACTTTCACGTTACCTGTGACCTCTGGATGAGCTCTGCTGACCGTACCCACTGGAGTGGACTTTGCTGTGAAGGACCTGCCTGTTAGTCAGATAAGTCTGGGGTTTGTGTCTGGGCAGGATGGACTCAACGTGGTTGTGGTTTAAACACAGAACCTGCAGGGAGAACCGTGTAAACATCCCATAATTTCTTTGGTCTAATGCTTATTTCCAGCCAGTTTAGATCCTACTTTGACGTTAGGCAGGTGGATGAGGCCGGAGAAGGAAGTGAGGTTGTTTCTTTCTAGGTTGATACTCAGTAGGTTACAAAACAGATCTGGTGGAGATAGATCAACCATCCTGTAGGAGAGGAGGTGGATTTTTTAACGCTTTAAACACCCAAGTTATGTTTTTATGAGACTGAAGCCAGGCCCAAACCTAATAGAGCAGGACTGCAGGGACAGATAGGCGACTTCTGCATACTTGGAGTGGCCGAGCTTCTCCGCTATTGTGTCACTCGTTAGTCTTCCTCTGAACATATTTTTTGCACTCTCGCATTCACTTAGATCCTGGAGAAAACACCAAAAAGCATCAAAATGATTGACCGAATGAAGCACTAACTGTAATGTTTAGTGGTGACGGGTTCTGGAAACATACCACTGCTGTTCCATCCAGAGCTTTAAGAGAGGGTAGATGGAAAACCACATAGATCCGATAGTTTTCCAGTTTCTCAACTATAGGATTCCTGTATAGATCCAGAATGATGAGATTTGTCAGTCCCTGTGGAGGAAACGATTCAGTTTATGAGCTCAGACAAAAACACCGATCGCGTAAACATCAGAGATCAGCGCACCTTCAGATAGTAGACGTCTCTTGATTTAGAAACCTGGTTTCCTCCGACATAGAGTTCAAGCAGAGAGGGAACTTTCTGGATGCCTTGCAGGGATGTGATGTGGTTGTTTTCCACAGACAGAAAGGTTAAGCTGAGCAGCTTGTCAAGGACTGAGGCGTCCAGACTGGAAAGCTGGTTTTCATCCATGCTCAGTTTATTCAGGCACCGCAGCTCTGCCAGACCTGAGGAAACGGAAAGAAAGCACAAGACGGTGATGGTCACGGTGCCATCGATTAACAGCGACTATGTTTGGAGTGAACTAACCACTGAGAGAGCTGATGCTGTTGTTGTTTATGGAAAGCTCCTCCAACTTCAAGCAACCATCAAGACTCTCAAGTTTGGAGATGTGGTTGTTATTGAGTGAGGCCCAGCGCAAGTTCACCAGCTCATTCAGACCCAGAAGCTTAGAAATCCTCTGATTGTCAAGATTCAGGGAGGTAATCTGGTCAGCATTAGAAGAGAAACAATGAATAAATACTTAAAATTAACACTAATATTTTAATATATATTTGAGCATTTTTACAACCACTTTCCTCAGAAGGGTCCTTCACCTTTGCTGCCCAGTCTGGCTCCAGTTCTCCACCGGATCCCCAGGACGCTGAACGCAAACCAGAGAGGAGCTGAGCTGTCAACAGCAAACTGAAACTACGGGGACGCTTGCTGCTGGTGTGAGAGCACGCCATGAGCATTGTCTGCAAGAAGCATCAGCTCGTTACCTCATGTTTAAAACCCTAAAACTTATTTAAAAACGTAAAAGTGTCACTAAAACCATCACCAAGGAACCCAAACAGGATCTAGAGTGCCCAATTATACAGGACGATATTTAACCTGGTTAATTTTGGATGCTGCAGCCATCTGAACAGCTTCAGCGGTCTCCTCTTCTGTCACCAGATCGCCATCCAGGTGGGTGAGGGTTGTGAGGCGGCCTAATATGATTAACTTGACTGCCTCAGGCTGAAATAAAGTAAAATAAAAACATACATGTGTGCATTAAAGCTTTATGAATCTGATTTAGCATTTATTTTTTCCCCAGCACTCACCTTGCTCCAGGGATTGTGTCGAGTGTCTAGTCTCAGCAAAGCAGGTGTGTGTTTCCTCAGCACAGTTGCGTCCTCTCTAGGTTTGGTCAACCTATTCCAGCTCACATCCAGCTGTTTCAGCTGTGCAAGCCCCCTCAGCCCTTCCAGAGTGGTTATCTCATTAAAGCTAGCATCCAAAACCTCAAGGTTGGGCTGTGAATGGAGACAATGCACGTTTAATATTGCTTTATGTGTTTCTATGCAACAATATCAGGCTGGTACTTTTAGCCAACTCAGATAAATCTCATTCACCATGTGGGAAATGTCATCGAGGCGCGTGAGCTTGTTACAGCTGATGGTGAGATGTCTCAGAGCTGTGAGGCTGCAGATCTCTTTTATTTCACTCAAACAGTTGCCATGAAGGTTGAGCACCTGCAGATTCAACACATCAACAGGTCACTGGCTGTGTGTGGGATGACCTTACAACCCAACACTTTAAAAACTCTCAGGACTCACAGTGATCTGACTGAGGACATTCGCTCTGGCCGCTCTTAGCAAAACATTGTCATTCAAGCTGAACAGTTTAGGCTGTGGCTTCAGCGCTGACTCCATGTGGAGAGCTGCTTCGTTCAGGATTTCCTCTTTGGAAGGACTTCTGTCTTTGTCCTCCTGGAGACGGCACATTGAAATGTTCACTGCAAACTGTGGTAGTAGCTGTGTGCTGCTTTACATGAGCTGTGGCAACGTTTATGTTCAGCAGAACTGAGCGATTATTTCAAAGTTCTTTGATTTGATTGCAACTTATCGTTGAATTTCTGCAAAACAGTCTTTTTGATTCAACAAGAACTTCAGTTTTGTAATCAGCTTGTTCGGTAGGACTTAGCATGTTATCACACAGCTGTATAAATTACCTCGGTTATGTATTCAAAGTACATGATGTACTCTGGTAGGACAAGCTCATGGTCAAACACAAACCACTGCCTTTGACGAGGAATACTCTCTGAGATTTGGTGTGTTTTAGCTGAGGAGCATCTCCCTAAAAATCAAAATACAAAGAAGTACAAGCATATGTAATCGTACAAATAACAAGTTATTATTGTGTCACTTTAAATCTCCAGTTACCATCATTTAAAGAAAATCTGTGCTTGGTGTCCACATCACAATACACAGAGGAGACTTTGAGGTAGCTGTTTCCATCACCGACAGGCTTGCTGTTACCCACAAACACCTTGGAGACAATTACATGACCTGGAAATACAAAACAGCCTTTTAGGTGTGAAGAGAAGAGCCCTGGCTGATGAGGACATCATTTAATAACTCACCGTGCCTGAAAGGGACTGAGTCTGGACTTTGATCTCTTTGGCTGGCCTGATGCAGCAAATACTCAATCCTGAGCTGTTCTGTTACACATAGGTTGTTGGACATGGGTATTGCATGCTCTCTGTCCACAGTCTAATAAAAAAAATTACACTTTACAAGTTTGCATAATTTAATTGTCATTAAAAACTCAAGTCAATAAATCACAGCTTTTGTTACTGCATAGATGCACCGATCAGACACAAGTCACATTAAAGGTGTTGAACACTTGTTTGTTCAGCATTTGCAGTGGTCTCTGGTAGGAATGAATGCCTTGTAAGCTGTACTCGGGGCAAAAAAGCCCAGAAGTGCCTGGATCAGCAGGTGCAAGTCTGCTGCAGTGGAGGGCGTCAGAACGCAGCAGGATTTGGACTCTTATTTCCTGATATTTGGATATCTCACCTCGGATTGGATAACAGCAACACAAATCTACCACTGACTCCATTTGCTCTGCAACATTGATGTTTTATCTCCATAAATACCACAAGTCTGGAGGAGACCTGCCATGTGGTTGGGTTGCTAATGCTAACAGTTAGCTACTGCTAGCAGAGACGTTCTCTGCTGTTTCCTGGATGCTAAACCAACAACAGCCTTCCCCATTGTGAGTCAAGATGGATGAGTCCATGAATGTTAACTCATTCGCTGCCAGCCGTTTCCTGATCGGTAAAGCCCTTCGCTGCCAGCGTTTCTCACCGTTTTTACTGTTTTTTTAAGAGTCACAGAATGTTGCGCGCTAGGATGATGTTGACGCCAAAACAACCAAAACAAAGCAGAGACTCACCTCTTACATCAGGAAGAATCTGTGTGTTTCAAGCATTATCCGTTCTTTCATAACCCGTTGTCAAATTTTGATCAGCAGAAGTTTTTCCGGTTCGCGCCTCACTTTTTTTTTACAGAAGTGGCCCAAAACGATCTCCTAACACATGGATATTCTGCTTCCTGATCACGTGACGTGTGACGTACGCAGATGATCGGCTTTAGAGCTGAGATGTTTGTTCTCATGGTGCGGGGGCTCGTTCCGATGCCCACACAGTAAAAAAATGCAAATGACGACTTTTTTTTGCCAAATTTTCTATCAGAAATGAATGCAGGAAATAGGTGTAGGAGACTATTTTCATATTCAGCCTGCATGAAAAAACTCAACATGACCCGTTATAATCAGAAATAATCAATACAAATTGTTGTTTTTTTTTTGTGTTCCACACCTTTAAGACACCTGTTCTTTCTTTCTTGCAGCATTTATGGACTTCTGATAAATTAACAGATATAGTTAGTGGGAAAAAACATTTAACTTTTTTTTTATCAATAATCAAGTGAGTCTAGTTGAGGATTTGTTCCAGAAACTTCCTCACCTCATGGCGCTGTGTCGTTGTGAAGCCCTCCTCTAAAACGCACAAAGTCTCCTCTTTCTCACATCTTTCTGGGTCAGCTATGTAAAATAAATAATCCAGCTGCTGTCTGTAATTCCTCCTTTAAAAAAAAGAGTTTTGTAGTATTTTAGTTAAGAGCCTGATCTACCTTTTTGTTTGAAATCTGGTTTTGCTCACAGTGACGTGGCGGGGGACTCTTTACTATTAATAAGGCTGTGAAGTTTGTCGTCAAAGCGGAGCCTCAAAGCGCTGTTGTGGATGCGGAGAACTCTATTAATCTTTATGTCAGCGATGTTGAAGCCTTCGTAGTCTGATGGAGAGAAACGCGAGAGGAGGAGGCTGCAACAGGATGTAAACCTGGTGGTTTGGAGGGAATAAAACAACATGAGTTGTGGGTTTCAGATTAGTTGTGGATGCTGTGAACTCTACCACACCAAGGATCTGTTGCGATGCCCTCCTCTAAACGAATGTTCCCAACACTTTCCAGCTCCATCAACAGAAACTGCACCGTGTACTCCGTCTGGTTTGTGGCTTGAACCAGTTCTCTCTTGTACCATGCTTCAATCCTACACATCAAATCACATACTGACTCTGGCATTTATAGATTTGTATCATGTACACAGAGGAGTGTTAAAATAAACATACTCATGCATCCTCCTTGTCCACGTGTTCAGTCTTTGCTTCAGTGCATCCACTTTCAGGAGTATTTTGTTCTTCATGACAGGGTCAGAACCGAGCGTGGATGACTCACTTTGTTCCGTTTTACCATCGTCGAGGTACTTTGGTCCTGATTTACCCTCCAACAGACAGTCAGACTTCTTCTTGCAATCATACGGCAACATGGAGAGTTCACATTCAAGCTACAAAAAAAATGAACGTGTTTTTGTTAAACCACACACTTTTAGTGAAGATTCAAACACTTTTCCTCCTTTTCAGGAAGAACAGACCACATTGTGTTCAAAACCTTTCATGATTGGTGCTTACACTTCTGAGGGCCTGACTGAAGGTCTTGATGCATCCTTCAGGTAACTGCATCTGAGTTTTCTTCCTTTCTGCCAGGATAAACCGAGTCTCTGCCAGGGTTCTCTCAGCTGAGCGTACACGCATGTTGTAGTACATCATTTTCTTTGTTACTGCACACTGAAGAAAACAAAAGTAGGATAAAACAGGCATAAAATAAGCACACACCTGTCAAAAACAGGTAATCCATTTAATTTCTGTTACACTTAAGAAATTCTTTGCAGGTGTTTGATAAACCTGCACCTATATTAATGTCGATGACCTGCACATGTACTTAGATGAAAACCCAGGTGAGCTCACGGTCCAGCAGGGACTCTGAATACCTCAGCTGCATCCTTGAACTGCTTGTTAGAGACGTCATAGCTGTCGAGTCGCTGCAGGCCCGGCATGTGGTACAGAACATGTGTGGCATAATTACACAGCAGACACACAGGGTTTGGGGTTGACATGGGGTCCTGCAGTGCTAACTCTCTCAGGCTGGACAAATGGGTGAGCAGTGTGAGCTCCTGTCACAACAAAGCACAATTATAGCAATCCTGTTTGAACCAAATGTCACATTTATTAAAAAAGAAAGAAAAATCAATGTTTCCCCCTTTTTTTTTGCCACCAAACAGTAGATCCAACCTCTTCAAAAATGTTTTATTTTAATTGTTTATATTCATACATTCAGGATTCTGGGCTGTTACTAGATTTCACAACAACTCAAGAAACGCTTTACAGGATTACATTTCTGGAACCTTTTTTTTCTTATTGTCTTTGCAAAATATAAATTACATCTTCATACCACAGATATTATACAAAATGTTTGACACCTAAAATTGTGCGGCGTATTACAAAAACTATTTGTGACCCTGGTCTTATAGCTGCACACTAAAAGTGAAACCAGAGGGATGCTATCAAAAGTCAAATATTTCTTAAAGGAGACATATAATATGACTTTATTTAATAGTTCTACAATACATGTTTGTGAAGTTTGTTGCACTAAATCTCCCTCACATAAAGCAATTTCAGCTGTTTGATTCTTGAAATTTTCAGTATTTTCCAGAATGAGCCGCTTCAGAGCTCTGTCACTTTAAGAAAACAAGCTGGAGCTGGCCACACCCACCCATCTCCCACTCAGTTCTGCTGTAAGCTCAGTAGTTCTGACATCCAGGAGGGGCTCAGAGAAGAGCCGCCACTGCTCCTCCCGCAGTCGCTCTCCTCCAGGTGAGAGGTGGAGCTATGCTAATTCCTTCATTTGTGACATCACAAATGGTGCCTTTTTGAAACGGCTTGTTTTAGGTACATGATTCCTACAACAAAAAACTTATTTTTTTTTCCCCACGTTTGGAGTGTTTAGAGTTAGCAAAGGCCCACACAGCAGCACAAGTGGATGAAAAATGTGTGTTCGGCATAATATGTCCCCATCAAAGCCATCTAATTCTTTTCACTGTGCATAGTATTTAAATATACATCACATTGAAATGAAGATTTACTTGGCTTCTCCAGTTATTTTAAGCCCTTTACAGCCAGAGGCAATAATAACATTCCTAAAGCGGCAGAAAGAAAATCAAGATCAACATATTAGTGCATCTTATCTAAACAACTCTGTAAATAAAAACAACTCATCAACAGACTGCATCTCTTAAATGTTTAAACAACCTTCAGTCATAAACAGAACCTTCAGTATTTATTAATTCTGTGAATGTAATAAATGTTTATAGCTGAATCTGGAATTTGTTGAGTTATTTTGCAACTAAATACCTCAGTAAGGTCTCATTAAGTCAATTCATTAGAAAAACAAACAAAAGTTGATCCGGCCAAGACCTTGTCAGATCCTGGTTGCTAATGAATCAGTGTATTATAATAAATTACATGATCTGGTAATAAGAACTGAGGTGTTGCAGCAAAAAAATAAATAAAATAAAATATGGAGCTTGACAAAAATACCTTGACTTCATCTTAATAAGCTTGTGAGACACATAAAAATGCATAAAACCCATGCTCATCATCAAAACCACAAACAAATAAATCATTTCTTGTATTCCTTTGAAATTTCTCTTTGAAATGTGCAATTAATGCATATCATTGAAAGTGAAATAACCAAATTATAAATCAGGTTATTATTATTGTAGAAATTATGAAAGATCTGAACTGACCAAGACCCTGGCAAGAATTTCAAAATGCCCTTTTGTCAAAACAAGGATTTTAATAAGATTTGGGGGGGGGGGGGGGGGGGGGGGGGGGAATGTAAAACCATGCAAGCAAACATTTCACAGGAATAATTTGAACATCTTTATTTTAGTTATTTTGGGGGGTCTTACCTTAAAGGAACTGATCTTGTTCCCAGAGAGATTGAGAATCTCAAGGCTGATGCTGGACTCAAGGCTGTGCCCTAAAACGAGGTCAGAAAAATATATTTGATTAATATGTTTTTCATGGATCCTCCATCAAATGTAACAAAGAAAAGAGAAAAAAATTCAACTATCCTACCAATTTTTTTAATACGGTTGTCAGAAAGGTTTAGTTCCTTCAGGGTCTGAAGTGTGTTCAAGCCCTTCAGAGGGGAGAAAAAGAATAAAACGATTAAAATACAGACAGACAGACAGACAGACAGACAGACAGACAGACAGAAAGATAGATATAGATAGATAGATAGATAGATAGATAGATAGATAGATAGATAGATAGATAGATAGATAGATAGATAGATAGATAGATAGATAGATAGATAGATAGATAGATAGATAGATAGATAGATAGATAGATAGATAAATAGATAGATAGATAGATGTCATGGTCTGCGTCTGCGTATTTCCCCGTGTGTCTCCTGATGTTCTCCATCCCTCTCTAGATTCCCCTTTTGTGTCTCATAGCACCCTCATGTGTCCTTTGTCTGCGTCTCATTTATGTGTCTTCTGTTTGTAGCCCTTCAGGTCATCCCCAGCCCCTCCAGTTGTAGCTCCAGCCTTTTTGTCCCCAGCTCCCTCCTTGTTTTCTTCATGTTCTCTTGGTCTCCCCACCATATTTCTATAGGTCTATTATTTCAGTTGTGTGTGTGTGTGTGTATGTCCTTCTCAGCTAGGGGTGTGTGTGTGTGTGTGTGTGTGTGTGTGTGTGTGTGTGTGTGTGTGTGCGTGCGTGCGTGCGTGCGTGCGTGCGTGCGTGCGTGCGTGTGTGTGTGTGTGTGTGTGTGTATCCTTCCCCAGTCAGGTCCGGTGTCCTCCCCTGCTCCTTCCTGCTCCTCCTCCCTGATTAGTTATTGCCTTCACCTGGTTCTCTCCCCACACACCTGCAGCTCATCTGCCTCCCATTATGCCCCAGTCTATAAAGCCCTGTCTGTTTCTCCTTGTCTTGTCGGTCCATTGTATGTTTGTCAGCGTTGTTTCGTGCTCTATGTGAGCTTATGTCTCCAGGTTTTGGTGCTCCAAGTGAGCTTACGGTGTCCTGAGTTCCAGGACTTTTGAACGTTGTGCTCTAAGTGAGCTTTTGTTCTTGTTAGCAGGATTTATGGATTTTTGGACTTTTGGCTCGCTGCCTTTGGATTTATTTTTGTTCGGCCTGCAAAATAAAGGATTTTTACTTTATACCAACTCCTGCCTCTTGTCGTCTGGGTAATCAGCACTTTGGGTCCTAACCATCCCCTCAGCGTGACGATAGATAGATAGATAGATAGATAGATAGATAGATAGATAGATAGATAGATAGATAGATAGATAGATAGATAGATAGACAGACAGACAGACAGACAGACAGACAGACAGACAGACAGACAGACAGACAGACAGACAGACAGACAAACAGACAGATAGACACCTCTATCTTATTTATGCAGTTATTATTCAGCCAAAGAACTTGAAGGTTGGTCAGCAATTCCAGATCTTTGATCTCACAGATCTGATTATCATACAGGTAAAGTTTCTCCAGTTGTTGACAGTTTTGAAGTCCAGCTATTTCCTGCAGTGAAGACACATTTTTATTTTACAGTCTGATCTCTAATTTTCTTCAAATGCTCTGTAATGTGTTGCCTGATGCAAAAACACTGAACATCTTCAGCTCATCAATGTGTTTGTTACACATGTTTTTGACTATCTCACTGTGAGACGGCACTGGACTATCCAGAGCTCCTGGAGCAGAGGACAGCCCTCAAGACCCTCGATGCGCTCGATGTTCTGGTCCACGATGGTGAGCTGGCAGAGATTTGGGAAGCAGCAGAGGCCGAGCATGCGAGGGAAACCTGAAAAGAAGATCTCTAAGGATGTGATGCTGCTCCCATTGTGTGCAATATCTTCATAGGGCACCCCATTAACCAGGCACTGTCAGGAAAGAAAAGTTCATCGCCAACTTAAAAGTATGCTTGGTAACCATTTGAAATAACTTTGTTTACAATAAACATGACACAAGATGAACTTATTACAGTTTTGTTAGGCTTTTCTGTATCTAAATGTACACATTAGGTAAAAATGTATTTAAAAATCTCCACGCTTGTGTTTAGATTTTTACATTCAAACATGATTTTATATTTTAACCTTTGATCTTAAATATTTATTTTTATTGTTACAGTTTGGATTAATGTTTAGATATTTAGACATCGTTAATATGTGAATACATTTGGTCAAAAGATGATTTTAAAGTTTCAAATAAAAATTGCTTGTAGGATTTTAGTCTAAGCTAAATGAAACAAAACTTACCAGTTTTTTAAGCACCTCCTCATCCTCGGTTTGTTGTTTCATTTTCTTTTTCTCTGTCTGCAGCATTTTTATAACTCTGTAAAACCACAAAACAGCTATGATCTAAAGCATTTATCCTGTTTTCTTTACGGAGTATATTAGAATAAAGACAAATAATAAACACATCTGGGATTTTATAGAGATAACCAATTAACAGCTGTAATTATTAACAAACATTTATGCTAACTTTGCTAGCCCACCAAAGAATAGTACTTTTTAACCTGTAGACTGCGTTGTAAATAAGTAATTAAAGGTTAAAATTAACACTGATTTAATTTAAAATTAAATAATTGTGTGTTAAAGCAAATAAAGTTAACTGTTGTCACCTAATAAGGAGGAAAATCCTATCTATGGTCCATTTGTTGTTTACGATCACGAGCGGTTGCTAAGGAGAAAAAGTTCATGACTTTGTTCATACCTGAAGCTGCCAGAAGAGGGCGCCAGACAGCAGCCCATTCAAACCCATGAAACCTGAAAATATACTTAACGGAAAGCAAATTTATCACATAATAGACTCGTCTGGTTTAGTACTTTTTAAGAAACTCAGAATGCCATTTGTCTAATTTTGCATAGCATTGCTAGACCCGCAATCCAAATTTTATTAATCATGACTTTAGTTCAGATAAAAAAATTAAAAATATTTCAGATTTCAAGATTGTTGAATCATTAACAATAATAAAAAAACATTATCGATATTCTGTAGGTTATCTGCGTTATGACTAGATAAAAATTTGTCAGCTACATGGACACTATCACATTAAATACCAGAAATGTTGCATCTCCGTTAGAATCTTTTACCAAAATTCATCATTATGATGACTGATAATATCCTGTCTATTGTGTTCTGAATTATACACTAGGCTCTACTCTAAAACAAAGATTACTTTGGATGTTCACAATTTTTAGACAGAGGCCTACTTGTGGATACACCTTCATCTTTTGTTGGAGGTTAGAATGTTGCTTATGGGGAAAAACGTCATATATATATATATATATATATATATATATATATATATATATATATATATATATATATATATATATATATATATATAATGTTTTTATTTATTTTTATTTTTTAAGTAAAGATGGATATTTGCGATTCATCCAGTTTAACTATCAGGTAACAAGACGACCACTAACGGTGTGAGGTATTTTTAAATGGGCTATGAAACTTAGGTTTTCCCATTATGAGAAACCACATGAGAAATGTAATTTAAACAGGAGACATAAACAATGTGAGGGTTGAATATGTGTTACAATGGCCTTCCATACACACATCCCTCTGGACAAACAAAACAGATTAAATTAGAATTTGTTGCTCCTTTTTTGGAAACAGCTTCTGTTTTCAGTAGGATGCTTCTGGTCATCAGCAGCAGGTTGTGTGGGGTTTCTTCAGCTTTTATTATAAATATGTATTCATATTTTTACTTTCTAAAACGTGTAAGCAGACAGTACTTTTAATTTTTATTTTATTATTTTATAATTGTCCCGAATGAAGGGCCAACCCCGAGACACTATGACGTCAGCGTCGGATCAGTGAACTAAAACAATCACCCTTCTCCTCCTTTTCCCTAACCGACCGCACCGCCTCACCCGTGGCGTCTGAAACCCCCACCCGACCAGACCAGACAGGACCAGAACCAGAACCAGCTGCACCGCTCCGTCCGTCCGTTCAACGCTCGTTCACACGGTCACGGAGGAGGAGAAGCTTGCAGCAGCTGCGGTATCTTCTGTCCGACCAGCATGTCCGCTCAGCCCGGTGAGGAGCTCGGCTCGGATGGGAAGTGGTTCGGAGACGAGAGGAACGGCCTCTTTGGGAACGCGCCGCCTCGGTTCGGTGAGGAATTCAAGCCGAGAGGCAACGACGCGGCGGGCGACCTGGATAAACAATTTCATCTTTACCAGGACGACGGGAAAAGGCCTCCCGTTGCTATGGAAACTGCATCTACAGGTAAAACACGCACTTATCTCAGGTAAATCGTCATATCTGGACAACATGCTGTTGTGTTTGGGCCTATCATGGGTTTGTCTGTGCCAAATGTAAATAACACGCACCAGAAGCCTATTATAAACAGATGGACGCAGTCAATTTGTCACAGATTACGACGGAGGGCCTTGGGTTTGTCTGAACGCAGTTTAAAACTTCTGAGCAGGAAACACACAAACACAAGCTGCAAGAGGAATATTTGCAAATATGGATCCACAAATTAAACGATATTTCCAACCAAAAGCAATTTAGCACCATTTTAGGCCATCAAAACATAATTTATTCAAGCTTTTTAATATGCCTACCTGTGGGGGGTTAAATGATGTTCTACCCCTCACAAATAAACAATAATATTCTTTTAAATGTTGAGGCAAGAGAAATAAGATAGAAAACACCCAAATATTGCAGTCTTCATTCAGAATCTCTTTAATGATGCTAATGCTTTAAACCATGCAGTGTGTGATGGCTTCTGGAGGTGTATTTTCTTGGAACATTATGGCCCTTAACCCCCTCAACGCAACCCTTCTCATCTTGATGCTATTTTAGTAACACGGCCCCTGGATTCGCTTGGTGTGCACAAACTAGAGCTCTGCACTTTTATTCACAAATCCACTGAAAAATTCATGAGATATGCTTTTAAAAGAAACCCTTATCTAGTCTCTTCCTTTTGCTCAGACCCTTTCCCATTCAGCATGCAGCAGCTGATCCAAAACAAGGAAGTAAATCATCCGTTTTAAAGGGGACGTAATATGTATCCCCTTGTGCTGCCGTGTGGGTCTTTGCTGCCTCTCTAAACACTCCAAACATGAGTAAAACACATCCATCCATTGTCTGCCCGTTTGGATTTAGGGATGATGCACCTAAAACAAGCTGTTTTAAAAAGTCCTCATTTGTAACATCGCAAACGGGGAAATTAGCATCTCACCTGAAGGAAAGCAACACAGCGTGAGGAGCAGCGTCTCTACTCTAACCCCTCCTTTCCACCGGAGCCGTACAGCACATCATATAGTTGCTGATAGGAACCGCTGTGGTAAACAGAACCTTTTCCACTGGAGCCGTCAGCAGCGCGAGTCGGCCGCATCTCAGGAGCAGCATGTCGCGGCCCTTACTCGCCGGCTCTGTTTTCTACGCGCTACGCCTCTGAAATGGGTCAAGTTCGACATTTTTGGGAAAGGAAAGACAGGAAATCGGACGCGGAAATGGAGCGAAGCTTCCCGAGATTTTCAGAATAAAGAAACGTACTGCCATCTGGTTGCTTTACTTTAAAAAAAAGTTATCACCTAGCTAGCTGTCTCCTTTGTTTTTCCATAATGGACGACGAAAGGTTGATTACTGAAGTGGAGAAGTACCCAATCCTGTTTGATCCCAGTCACAGTTTTTATAAAGACAACGTCAAGAAGGATAATGCATGGAGTGACGTATCTGCGGTTTGGGGGCAAGATGGTGAGTTTATGCTAATTATTAACGAGATTTCTTTTCTGTATGGACCTCTGCCAGTTATGCTGACGCGTGATTTTGCTAATGTCGCGTGACTTCGTGCTCTGTCAGTGACAGCTGCTCCCCTGCTGCGTCGCGTCTCGTGGGAAGGGCCAAGCAGCAGCATACGCGAGCAAGACATGCTGCTGCAGTAAAGTGCTGCTGACGGCTCCGGTGGAAAGGAGGGGTGTGCCCCTCCAAGATATCTGAGCTTCTCAGCTTATAGCAGCCTGAGCGTAGGATGGGTGGGCGTGGCCAGCTCCAACTTGTTAAAGCGACAGAGCCCTGAAACAGCTCAATCTGGAAGGTACTGAAATTGCTTAATGTGAGAGGGATTTCATGCAAAGCATTTCATAAACATGTTTTATATCGGCTGTAGAACTATTATAACCTAAAAAAAATCATCATGTGTCTAATTTGAGTCAACTTGGTGAATGCACAATTTAGACCTTGGTTTTTGCCATGGATGTGGAATATTTCATTTGAGGGTGAAGAGTTTATGCAAAAAGTGCATTTAGTTTTACAAATTAGCTGTACTCTCTTAAAAAGTAAACAAAGCATTTGCTCTACTTTTATAACAGTCTGCTAGATACGCTGTGTAGATGCACACTGGCACACACACACACACACACACACACACACAAATGCTTTTGGTGAAATTGCAGCCTCCAACTGAACCATGTCTATAAATGTGAAACATTCCATCCTGCTGCTCTTTATACCTCACAGATCAAAGTGGTGATTTCCCTCTGAAATAAATATTTCATAGCTTCCTCTATAAAAGAATTCACTATACAGTTGTAACAAAATATACTATTAAAAACTTATATTTTTCATTGTGTTTGACTTCATCAGAATGAGCCATGAAACTGAAGCTGCTCAAAAGGTCCAGAACTGCATCTTTAGACAATCAATCCACTCCTAAATCTTGTTCTCCACAGTGATTTACCCAGAAAATCCAGATAGTGCTGATTTCTGCTGCACTAAATTACTACAGGAAACACTCAGACCTCAGACAGCACAGCCTCTTTTATATTCAAGTTTCCTCGTGAGGTACACAGATATGGACGAATAATGTGCTGCATCACGACCGGGTTGAGTTAGCAGATGGCTCTCAGCTTTGACATTCTCTCTGTCATTGAGGAAATATTAAAACAGTGATAATGCATTTTTTCGCCCTTCATTTTTCTGTTGTAAAGACTCTTTCTTGTGTAATCCAGTCTCTGATAGATGGATTAAGTCTGTCGCAGCCCTGACAAGGACAAGACAGTGCACTGGATGGCTGAGGGGTGCTTTTCATATCTTCTAGATGGAGGAAGCACTTAGAGAAGTCTGCCAGGCTGCATAAACAGCACAGTGCGTTTGTGATGGGGAGAGCTGTGCTCCTTTTCCCTGGAGGGGGGGGGGGGGGGGGGGGGGGGGCTAAACAATGCAGGGTCTTTTCAAATAGAGATGTAAATCATAGAAGGAGACAGAGGATGGCAGGGCAGCTCAATTGGATTGTGAGACCAGGTTTTGATAAGAAGGAAGACCTTTAAACCACAACCAGATGCACAATAAGGCACCGTCATTGGAGTACCTTCTTCTGAGAAAGGCACAGCTCGGTGCATGATGTCGGTGACTTTTGCTGTTCTGGTTTGAGCAAACCTTCCAGACCAGCATGCAGCGCAGCACCTCTGCTTTCATATCAGCGAGTCATCATTCCTAATGCATGTTGGATCCCATGTGTTCACACACACTCAAGAAACCCATTAGAATCCATCATGTGTAACATGACGCCATGTTGATGTCCAGCTATTTAAAATGTGGCCACACAGTAATCCCTGAGCAAAGTGACTCATAGAATAAGAGCTGTGATCACTAGAAATATTAGTGACTCTTAAAGGAGACTTATGAGTTTTTTTCTTAAGTTATAATAATTTTAAGGTTGATCTAAAACATGTCTATGGAGTAAATTGCATATAAATTCCTCTGAAAAAGCAATCTCAGCAGTTTTATTCTTGACATTTTCAGTACCTTCCAGAATTAGCCGTTTCAGGGCTCTGTCACTTTAAGAAAACAAGCTGGAGCTGGCCACGCCCACCCCCTGCTTAAGCTACTACAAGCTGAGAAGCTTGATTGCTCTCCTCAGCGTGAGAGTTGCTTCTATGGTAATTTCTCCATTTGTGATGTCACAAACAGGGACTTTTGCAAATGGCTTGTTTAAAATCTCCTCTTTAATTTCTATGGATTTTTATTTTTAGATTTCTTACTTCCCAATTTGGATTAGATATCCCAGAGTTGCTTCTGTTATCGACTCAAAGCAGAAATCCTGCAGACAGTCAGTCTGGGTTCTCCACATTCCCTGTAATAATTCATAAAGCAGGGAAAATACAATCAATAAGGTAAAAAAAAAGCCAGAAAGGGCCTTTATTTAACCTTTCTCCCACTTGATTCATCTTTGACAAAGAGCAGAAAAATAGCATTATTTAAAAGGACGATAAATTGTTTTTTTTACAGTAATTGCGTGTCCTTTGTGTCCCAGATCAATGTAGCAGAGCATCTGAATTCAGAACTTCTTTTTCTGTCGATATTTACTATAAATCACCTTCTGTGTTCACTACTTTCTTCCAAGGCTAATCAGCATTAAAGAGATGTAATTAGTGACTGGCATGCATGTAACTACAGTCACATTTGTTATAATCAATACATTATTAAGAAGAACCAAGTGGGTCTTCGGTAAACTTAGACGCAATTCCAAGTAAGATTGAGTCAAAAAAACATTTAATGGTGCTTAAAAGTTTGTAACATTAGAGAGAGTACAATAAAAATATACTGAGACAATAATGTAGCTGTTTCTTCAGTCTGAACAGTTAAATAATTAGATTTTTAACTAGAGATGCAATAAAAAATTGGCCTAATCTGAAATTCTTACACCAGACTTGTTCTGGTTCTTCGTGCTAGTGACAGATCTTATGAGTGAACATTTTTGTTGAGCAGTACATAAAAATATGTTATTTATATTTTAGACAAATCAAATTCAGCCAGCTGTGTGAAAATCAGATGTCAGTATTGGTCCTTAGAAACAGGATCAGTGCATCACTTTTTACTAACTTTATGTTTTCAGGGCGTTTCACTGTTTTCTCAGTACAGAACACGTTAGGAACATATTTAATGTCCCACTCCATGACTCGTTTTCCTGTAAGACACCCAGAACACCCAATTAAAAAATACAATTGTTCTAAAAATACTGCAGTGAATGCACATTATTTACCGTCAAAGGCACAGATGGTTTTGAAACAAGAGCACAGTAAGGGACTTGAGGGATTGATTTCCACAAGGTCATGCTGTGAAAGAGGACTCCTGAAAGATAACACCAGTGTTGATAAGGCTAGAGCTCCAGTAATGGAGTTGTGATGGAGCTGCACAGTCACAGATGCATCAACAAAAAGCTGAAACATGGATTTTGTCGGTTTGTTGACGTCTGATTGCTTCTTGCTGTTGGTAAAGCTACAAGATGTGTCCAGACTAGCAAAGTTTGAGAAAAAGAATGGACCGACCATTTAGTAAACTCTCTGCTCCCTTGTTTTCTCTGATACTTAGGAGCCTATGCTTCAGCATGGCTCAGATTGTCAGCCTACATTACTTTCAGAGCTGCACCGAGGACAACAAAAAGACTTTTCCCCTCCGCAGCACATCCACCATGCAGGACGCTCTTTTTTATTTAGCTGCCCCGTCCTTTCAGTGGCATGAATGTGCTGTATGGCCACAACAACTCCACACAATTCTCCTGTTGTCAAGCCCGATTCCCTCTGACTGCACTGAAGCGTTTGTTTTAGCCTTGTGGGAGAAAGGGGGGGTTAGCATCCGGGTGCTATGTCATAGCAGCCGATTGAAAATGTCCTCAATCTCTAACAAGTTTGTCAGAAAGCAACTCAGAGCGGTGGCGCATGCAGACGCTTTATGCAACTGCTGGTATGTGTATGGTGTGGTAGCGAAAGGGGGTTTGATGAGAAGAGGAGGAGTGATGCGTACGGTCAATCGGATTACAAGCCGATCCCAGAGGTCACCTCTCTTTGCGGTGCGTAGTGGCTTTGAGTGCTTCCCACTGCGCAGCACTTATTTAGGCAGAAAATCAATGTGCGTTAGATTATGATGTTGTTGCCAGGGCGATGGCTGATGAGAACCATGGCAGTGCACTAAGAGGATTATGTATTGGTTATCTTTAGCGGTGCATCAAGGGCGTTCATGTGACTGGACTAAACTTGACCCGACGGCGGTTTAAATATTCACAGGCACTTCACGTGTTGATCTATTAGGCGCTCCAGCTCATTTACCATAAAATAACCTGAAGTAGAAAACTGTCCTGGCCGGCCTTTAACCCCAGCGTGGGTTTGCTGTGTTTACCCTCAGCTCTGTGGTACGATGCATTGTCAATGAGCGAGAGAGCAGCAGCAGAAAGGAAGGGTGGTGGGGCCTTTTCGAGGAAGAGGGACGGGGCGTCCTGACCTGTTCGGCCTTCTGTAAATCAGAGCTGCTATTTTAACACTTTCTCGCGTATCCAGCCCAGCAGCTGGACACAACCTATTTATAGCATCAAAACCGCTGGAGAAGCAGGGCTGGAGAGCAAAAGGAAGAGCTCAGTTTGTGGATAAACTCTGACTTTAAACAGCTCATAGACATCTGAAGTGTGTGTTGGACTCAAAGCATCTTTCGTTGATGGAGCTGGATGAGACAGCAAATAAATACTTGATTTTTAATCTGATCCAGTCCTGGATGTCCTAATAATCCAAACAGGAACATCTCTTCCTGTTTACAGTTGTTTTATAACACGAAGATTGTTTTTACATAGAAACTAATTACTTTGAGCCAAGTCTGTCTCCTTCAAAGAGGTTGCTTAAATAATCAATGCACAGCATTATATAAAGTTATCTAAAGCAGCATTGCTGATTTAAAGTTTTCTAGAAATGTTCGTTTAATCAGATCGGCGCAGAACCAAAACCATTTTATTGCAGGATTCTGTCTGAATTTGAGAATGTTCACCCAAAAGGGAAGAATGCAAGAAAAAATAAAAATATATTGGAGTGTGCCCAAACAGCGGCTGTGCATTGTGAGAATAAGTGATTGTCATGAAATTGTTAAAGTGAGGACCCAAACACAGGAAAATCCATATGAATAATAAACCTGAGGGCAAAGACACAGGTACCCATAACTACAAAGGTAAACTTACTGGGAACAGGCACAAACACTGGGAGGTGAGACGAGGGAACAGGTGTGCTGAGCGCTGATTGTTAATGACTAACAGGTGGGACTAATCAGCTGGAGAAGAGAGGGAGAGAGAGACGAGACACTGAGAGAAAAACAAAATCATCTAAACAGAGACTGAGAACCTAACCACTAAAGTAAACCAAGGCCTTAAGAGTAACTAAACCCAAAATAACTTTTTTTGGTGTATAAACTGTATAATTGTGTCTTTACAAATGCAATCTTTCTGTTTCTGTGCATTTTTGACATGTTTTTGTAAACTTGATTCAATCTAGAATCTAGGGGTGTTTCTCGATGTCAAGGCGCCTGGTCTTGCGAGGCAATGTCTCAAAGAGACAAGGCGCCTTGCTTACGAGGACACTGTCCTTCCTTGGTCAAAGAAAACGGTTAAATGGAACAGACTTGCATCACGTGACCGCGGCATCCACGGCAGTCACGTAACGTAACGTGACACGGGAGATAACGTTATATTTTATACGCATAAGTTTCAATATAAATATATAACGAGCCTTTTACTTTTTAAATTGTGTATATGGGTGACGGTGGCACAGGAGTTAAGTGCTCGCCCCGTAATCGGAAGGTTGCAGGTTCGATCCCCGCTCAGTCTGTCGCTGTCGCAGTTGTTGTGTCCTTGGGCAAGACACTTAACCCACATTGCCTGCTGGTGGTGGTTGGAGGGCCCGGTGGCGCCAGTGCTCAGCAGTCTCGCCCCTGTCAGTGCGCCCCAGGGCAGCTGTGGCTACATCGTAGCTCATCCCCACCAGTGTGCGAATGTGTGTGAGTGGGTGAATGACTGGTTGTGTTGTGAAGCACCTTGGGGGGTTCCAGGACTCTAGAAGGCGCTATATCAAATACTGGCCATTTACCATTTATATATTTGTTAAATTAAATATGTAAGCGAGGTACTGCCCACTAGCCACCAAAGCTGCAATCACTAAGCAACTAATCAACCATAGATAACTGCGTTGGATCTAATAAAAACATTTAAAATTAGTTGACTTACTTTTAAACTTGAAATTTGCCCCCGAAGTAGCTGCAGCTTCTGATCTGCCATCCTTTTGAAAATACTGCGGCGTATTCTGGGAAATTTTTGACCAAGGTTAGGCTACAAGACACCTCCCGTGTATCCTTGCTCAGCTAGCTAAACAGCTAACAAACGGAGAATAGACGCCTCGGTAGAACATGAACATTGGCACACGTCTTGGCGGCTCCTGATGAAGTATCTCCTAGGCAACAGGGGCAGGGCCAATAAATCAAGGCGAGGTTCCTTGGCATTTAGAAACACCCCAAGTTCACTCCTGTTTTTTTCAACATTGTTGTGGTTTCTAGTATAAATGAATGAGATTATCTCTGCAGGGAAAAAAGCTCTGGCACTCCTGTTTTAGGAAGTAGAAGTTAGCCAGAGCAGATGGAAGCAGAAATTAGCAGGAGTTTTATTTCCTGATATTCTGACATCTTGCCTCTGATTGGCTAACAGCAACACGACTCTCCCACAGACTTTGTTATCTCTTAATGTTGATGTTTTATCTCCACAAATAACACAAGCCTGAAGGAGTTCTGTCATGTAGTGGAGTTGCTAATGCTAACAGTTAGCTTCTACTAGCTCTCTCTTGGATGCTAAATCAACAACAGCCTTCCCCGTCATGAGCCAAGATGGGTGAGTCCATGAATGTTAAGTTTTCAGCGTGACTTAGGCCCAATCCCAAAACTCGGTTTCTATGAAGTGCACTTGGAGGAACTGCGCAGTAAGGCTCAGAGTGCGTAGTACACAAGTGTGCAAAATAATTACTGAATTGGGACAGGGAGCATTGCATCACTGAACGCCACACATGCCGGGATGCCAGTCACTGTTTGTGCTTCTAAAAAAACTTTACTAACAACTTTCAAACAATTATTTGACAAAATTTACATTCATTGCTGTCCACATCACATCTTAGTCTAAAACATTCAGAGCATGAATAAATATTAACCGTCATAAAATTAAAGTCTTTCATTTGAAAATGCATATTTTCAGAAAGGGCACTTGAGCTATTGCTCCACCTTCTTCTTACCCACACAGCAACGGATTGTGGGTAATACCCTTGCTGCATCGATGCAGACTTGGGTGAAATGTGGATCAAGGGTGCAAAGGGGTGTGGTGAACTTCCATACTTGAGAATCAGGGCACGCTCTCGCACCCCTGGACAGGAAGTATTGGGATGGGGCCTTAGATCTGTCAGGCTTTTGTAATCTGAGCGTTTCATCTATTTCCTATCGGCGGCTAATGCAGGAAATATGTGTAGCAGACTAGTTTCACCTTCAGCCTGCATGTGGCGATCATATTTCAAAAATACGTAAAAACTGTTTCTCAGTGAACTTGGCCTTTAAAGAGTAACTAAAAGGTCTGGAAATAAAAATGGCAATAAACAGAAACATTAGAGGAGGAACCTCGGAGCTGGAAAACCAAATTTAAACAAAAACACATTGGAAAAAGATAAAGACAAACACACGGGACTAAATGGAGAACACAAGGGAAACACACATAAGGGACATGGAACACGACACTGATACAATACAGCGATCATTTCAATACGTTTCTCAAATCATAGGAGTGCAATCTACGATTTTTTAACGCGCTTTTCTTTGTGCAGCTGCAGAATTGGGGATTACAGAGCTTAGATGTGGCCACAGACAGCTCTTTGCTGGTTTGATTCGACACAGGAGGGGGGGGGGAGGGGTCTGGACAATCCTTCTTTGTCCATTATTGGTCACAAGTACACTCTGTGTGTGCTGCATCCTCACTCATCTGCAGTTTGACTCTCAGAGTTACGGTCCCCGTCCCTGGCGGCAGCCCCAGCTAAAGCATAGCTTTGTTTAACAGGAGGCTTTTTTTTTACATCTCACTGCTCAGACACTGCCTGGTTTGATTCACTTTTGTGATAGAGAGCAATGCATTCTTCTCTGTGTCTGTTTTTGCAGATGATCCCATGTCTGGCCTGTTTAGGAAGCCTCTGAGTGATGATGGCGATGTGTATACCTCCCTGCTGTCCAATCAGAGCTTCACAAACAGCCGGGAAGCTTCTTACCTGTCAGACGACCTGAAGCCCTCCAGCTGCTCCTCTGGCTCTTCTGGCCTGGATCACTTCTCAAGTGATGCCTACAGCTTCAACTCTAAAAGCAAGATGACTTCCAACTTATCAGATGACACACCTAAGTCTCTGCTGAGCTCGGACAAGACAGAATCCTACAACTACATGGATATCAGCCACGGGGAAGAGCGTCAGGTGGCCCCTCCCAGTATTTTTGACAAAGGCTCAGGTGATCATGATTTACTGGGGAGCTACATGGATAATAACCCTGGCATAGATGAGGACGATGAGGAGGAAGAGGAAAACCTAGGCCCAGCACTTGGCTCTCACTCGTTCCCTTATGTGGAGGATCCATCTGATGAGGAGCTGACAGATTACCGCTCCTACCGGAACCTGGGCGGGACCCCGCAGATGGCCAGCCCAGTGAAGATCACTCTGACCGAGTCTAAGCTTCCAGGATCCAAGACCATGCCGGAGCAGCTTCCTGCTCCAGCCTGCATGTCTGAGCGTGAAAACGTCCTGAGCGTGGGCCAGCAGGGGGTTCCCACGGTGACTCTTTCAGAGCCAGAGGATGACAGTCCCTCTTCCACTCCGAATGCTTCTCCGACACGTGAGCACACACTCGCTTGCAAATAAACACAGGAAATAGGTCACTTTATTATACGTTCTTAAATAAAATGAGCTGACTTTACGAACCAAAAAGCTACTTTCCAAGTTGTAATTGCTGAAAATACCTGCAAACATTTTTAAAATTTGTTTGATTTCAAAACGATCTCTGTGCTCTGTGTCAGAGCTCCAAATCAGTGGCAAAGATTTAAAAAAGCAAGAGCAAATGAAACCTGGGGCTGACTAGACACTGAGGTGATGAATAATCAAAGGCAGGTGGGATAAATTGGTAAAGTAAAACCTGGTGTGGAGGTAGCAGAAAGCAGACGCTGGCATAAAACGTGGACAAAAGGGCAAAAGTAGATGAAACAAACTGAATCTGCAACAGAAATCACAGAATTATGGACAACAAATCATAAGCTGGTGACATGTAAGAAAATAATCATGTAAGAAAAACAGGTTAAATTAAAACCAGCATTAACTAACCAGGATTCTTCCGTGACAGCCAGTGGGGTCGGGCCTCACTTTTGGTCCTGAGACATGAAATAAGCAGGGGCGGTTCCAGGGGGTGTCCAGGATGGGCCAGTGCCACCCTGACAGCAATCTTGGACCCCATTGTGCCCCCCCCACCCCCACCCCCGCCCCCCCCACCCCAAGGGCAGAGCCTACGTTCAAACAAGTATTGATGTTTTTGTGATAATTTCGCCAAAAGTCAATACATTTGTCTGAAATAGAAAATAGATGCTGGGACAAATATTTTCATGTTGTCATTTTTCGCAAAATTGTTTTACTTTGAAACTAACTGAAAGTATCTAAAGTGACCAACTGAAATGCTGTTATTGTATTGTTGTAATTAAACACAACATTTTTAAATGCTTAAAGTTAATAATTGTATTGTTTTCTTACCTCACAAGTGTGACTCTCTTACAGAGCAGCTGGCCCCCTCTAATGTTAGTCTAGAACCGCCTCTGGAAATTGGAGCTTTGAGATTATCTCCAGAAAGGAAATGACACTGAAAAAAAGTCTAAAATTGCAATAATTCTTTCCAAACATAAAAATAAATGTTAAATAATGTATTCCAGGTGAACCTGAATCTGTTCTTTTGTGGATCAAGTCAATAATGACAAAAATCAGGCATATTTCTGCGTCTCATTTCAAAGTGAGCCTTATAATATAACAAATCCACATTTCATGTGCTAGAGGACTTTATGTTTAGAGTTGTACTGATAATCAGGACACTAATGGTGATTGTCCTTTTGAACAGGTAAAGGATTCTCTTCTCAAGACATGTTCAAGACTGAGTCAGGGAAGCCTGCAGCTTCTAAAAGCACCAAGTCCAACAACTGTGACCCTGACGGCAGCAGCGCCGAGTCTGGAGACTCAGAGATCGAGCTTGTATCTGAGGAGCCTCCCAAACCCAGCAGTAACCCATTTGCTGAGCCTCCTAAAAGCAAGGGCACTTTCAGCCAGGCTAACAACCCCTTTGACAATCCCCCGATAGCCAAGGGTGGCTTTGGTCTCTCTGGTGGCCCCGCTCTACCCACAGCCTACAGCATCCTGAGGGAGGAGAGAGAGGCAGAGCTCGACAGTGACCTCATCATTGAGTCTGCATCTGAAGAAAGCCCAAAGAGAGAGCAGGGAGTCACCTCTCTCCCCACCGCCATCCCTCCCAGCAATACCTCTGAGGCGGTGCCATTCCAACCTCTGGTTGCTGAAAAGGTCAAGAACCCTGTGAAAACAGAGGAGGATCGTTTCAGCAAGCCTAAGCCCCCGACTGCTGCTGTGCCTCCGGAGGTGAGATCAGAAAAACCCCACCAGGATGACACGCATAAACCAACCAACGAGGGCAAAGGAGGTCTTGAGAAGCCCGCTGTATCGTTCTTTTTGGAGGGCTTCAACAAAGAAAAAGGTTAGTTATTTATGGTTTTTAAAGATTTCTTTTGCGGAACTTTGCAAGATTTTTCTTGATTGGTGTGAGCAAAAACACTGTATGTGAGCTTGTGAGTTACTGAGAATATTCATGCTGATGAGTGAGCATGATCACATGTGAATGCACACGCCAGTGTCTGATTAAAAAAACAACAAAAAGAAAAGCTAAGATGAGTGGGAGGAAAGAAATGCTCTCTACGTTTGCTACCCTCTGGTGGTTTTCATGAGAAAACGCAGATGAAAGGATTTTTTTTTATTCAGTTCTGCATCCATGCATGATTGATGCAACTTTAAAACCATTGTCCACTCTGTTAAAAAAACAAAAATTTAAATTCAAAATGAGGAGAAAAAAAGCCGTGTTTGCATATTAACAGTGTTGCCATTTTGCATTTCTCTTCACTGTGAATAAAGTTGCTGATGAAGTTTCTAAAAGTTTCTAAACTGGACATCTTAATGTCAACATGAGGATATTTGGCCTCCGAGGCTCTTTGTGGGTTTATATAATTCTGTGATGTTGAAAACTGGGACACATTCCTATTTTAGAGCTTCAAAAGCACCCTCTTGTATATTTTATACCTCCCCAGATCATTTCTGTGCTCATTTTTTTTATTCTTTGAGACCTCTTCTCAAACACGGCCATATACGTGCATGTGATCAGTAGTAGTGATGTGTGCAAACTGAACCTCAACACACCTGAACTGTGCAATCATCTTGTTTTGTTATTCGGACTGCAGGAAGATTCCAGAAGTGCCATAAAAAGCAGGTCACGTGTATTTTTTCTCCACCACTAGAGGGCGCAGAGCACCTACATCATTGCTGCTCTGATAGACCAGCAGATATCTATGTCATCAGTCGCTGCACGTCCACACCAGTTGCCATAGCAACAGTGATGGGGTGCTTGTTCAGTCTGGCTTGGATAAATTAGCTTTTTTCTTTGCTCTCTAATGCTGCTGGCACCGAAGGTGGCTCAGGCTGCAGAAAACAGAAGGGGTGAGGCGTGGCTGCCTGCAGGAGGGGGGCACACTGGGGATCAGACTTGCAGCTTTGAAGGCATCCAAAAATATGACATTTACCCAAAATATTCTGCCCACCCCACAGCGACGGAGGTGTTCCGTTGGCGTTTTAGCTGCTTTGCTTTTCCTCCATTTGCATTCCAAATGTGATCTTTGGAGGATGCACAAACACATCCTGAAGCCTCTCAACATGGATTGTTTAGGTGGCATCTAAAGTCTCTCTCGACGTGAATTATTAAGACCATTCACTTTGCCTCGTCAATTAGAGCTAAGTGATATTGGAAAAAGCTACAGCTGCAACCTTAAAGACTGTGTCGTCTAAATAAGACCCAGATTTGGATGTTTGCCACATGATGTTGAGCTATACCGGGATTTTATAAACCATATTACACACCGTCTGGTCTGCCACATGATGTCAGAATTTAAAATGCTTTATTTAAGTGTCAGAGCTGTGTTCATGAATATGCTGGAAATCATTAAACAATGCGATCACATGCCCTCACGTTTCAACAAAGCATGCGTTCACAAACCAGAATGAGGCTTTGTTTGGGCTTTTATTGTGAAACCTTTTTCCACAACAGCCTCCGTCCATCACCACCCACCCGCTCCCCCCCCCCCCCTCCCCCAGGCGCTAAACCATTGCACGGATGGTGTGCTGCAGCAGAAACGGTGGTGTGGTGTTTACAGTTCGTTCTCCATTCCTCCCTCCCCCATCACGCACGCACTTTCCCTGCTGCTCCCGTTCCAGCCAGCGCCTCACCACAGCATCAGCCTTTGTGCTCCGCAAGCCGGCAGCACCTTGGAAACCTCTCCTCCCTCCCTCTTTACCTCCCTCCCCATCATCGCAGCATCTCTCGCGCATCCTTTTTGACCCTTCATGCCTCTCTGAGATGAGTGAGTGAGCTACCATAGAGGGAGACAAAGAAGAAAGCGGAGACCGTTAAAGACGCCGAGACAAGAGCGGGGACATAAGAGATCGCCAGCATGCAGGCCACTGCAGACATGACGAAGAAGGAGTGCTGCTGGAGCAACTGGAAGGGACAGGGTACTGATGCGTTTGTGTTTCGTGGCTTTAATCGATGGACTGCTATTCTTGCATGCAGGTTAAATATTCAGCTGTCCTGAGCGTGTGAACGTGTTTCATGCATGCGCACGGTTTGAGTGAGCGCTGAAGAATCAAGCGCCTTGTTTTCCACAGACACGCCTTTAGACAGAATCCTTTCTGCTGGAGCAGAGGTGGATGAGAGATGTGGTGTTTTGGAGCACCACCGTTTGGGTTCGTATCAATAAGGACGCCAGCGTTGCAGATCAAGGCGTGCCTTTGTTGATGTGCTGTGGGACCGTGCATATTAGCATGTTTTATTTTGTTTTGCTTTTGTTGTGTGATATGTGGCAGCCCAAGCATCCGGATGGTGCTGACAGACTGTCTCCATAGTTACCAGGACACACCCATAATGATTACATCAGCTTTATCTCCTGGGCCTCCATGGCAGCTTGCAGAGACGGGGCAGGACAGGAGCATCCTCTGTGTGTCTGTTCGTGGTGCTGACGGCTCACAGAAGGGGCTGAGGGAGAGAAAATGACACTGGGTAGCGTGTTTGTGACTGTACAGCTGAGATATGTCGTTTTATGTTGCGGGAGTCGTTTTATTTTAAATAAGTGAATGCCTCAGGCTGCGTAACAGAATCTCTGATCAGATCTGTCCACATCACAAGAAGAGGCCAACGGGGTTGCTGCTGCTGCTCTGACTATGACATCAAACTGAAGCTGGAGGCATTTTGTTTAGTCATCCTCGCTGCAGAGCACATGACCGACTCGCCGCCATGCTACGTTCTGCTCTGATCAAACTATGATGCAGACTCACCCCAAGCTTAATCAAACAGTGTGACTAATTCAGAATGTAGCACTAAAGAGACTCGGCGTAACGCAAATAATCAACATCTCCACAGTGGACCGCTGATACCAAGTTATGACATAAGAGAACACAAACCTACACTTGATAGGAAACAAGGGGAACTCATGTTTAAACATTTAAGTCCTTGTTGTGATGAGTTTTTAAAGAAAAAAAGGTTTGAAATGAAGACCAGAGGTGGTGGAAGGGCTCTTTTCTCTCTCCATATTTTCCCCGTCTGGCTGACAGCTTGTCTGAGGCCATGAAGATGTCTTTGGTGGTTTAATTAGGTCAGGCTAAACTAGTTCCACTACTGTAAAGGGGGCTCTGACCAAGGCCGGATTACCCATATGGGCAACTGGGCAATTGCCCAGGTGTCCACAAACTCTTAAAGGGCCCAGGGCAGCAAGGGCACGAGCAAAGTACTGTATCTGTAATCTCCCGCTTTATATTAAACTAGGGTGACCATACGTCCTCTTTTCCTCGGACATGTCCACTTTTCACTCTCCATCCGGGGTGTCCAGGGGGGTTCTTGTATTGATGAAAATGTCCGGTTTTTCATCCAGGAGCAGGGATCGAATTATGGGGGAGCTGGATATCCTACACATCCAGTGAGAGGCGGAAAATATTTTACTACCTATATTACATCATTCATGGACTCTCAGCGTACCGGTGGTTCTTTTGAGCGGAGAGCACAGAGAGCGGCAGACCGATGATCGTTGGTGCGCAGCGCTCCAGGCAGCTGCTTCCAGCGCACGGTCCATTCTCAAAGTGGCGCAACCAAAAAACTATAATTAACCCACGATCGTTCACGTCCGCACATGTTCTCTACTTTCTGTCTTATTTGTGCCTGAAGCGCTCTGCTACTGCGGAGCTCATCACCTGTGCTGCGGTGATTTCACCTCACTGACGCAGCATCGAAACGCGCTCTCTGCTTTGCAATCAGGAGATCCCTTTGGTCTGCTCAAAAGTAACTGATGAGGTGAAAAAGTAAGAATCCAGGCAGCAGTTTTTCTGGAGAGTTTAGAGGAGATGCAGGAAGAAGAGAGACAGACAGGACAGGAAAATAGTTAAATAAAAACAAGAAAACAAAACAAAGTGTTGAAAAGTAAAATGTAGGTAGATTTATCTCCACTACACGTTTTTACCTGTATAAAACAATAAGTTATACACATGTAATATTTATACATCTGATACAATTCAGATCACCTTCAGAACTCAGTCACACACCCAGGGCCGTTTCAAGGCATTTTGGGGGCCAAGGCAAAACAGAACACCCCCCACCCACCCCATAACTGGGCACCCCAGAAGCCTCTGTGTAATCCATACCCTGTCCAGCAGTGTTAGTTCTACAGTGTTTGTAAAAGCCCCTCAGACATCGCTGACATGTTCTAATATTATCAGATGAAAAACTAACTTATCAGACATGCTGTCTCATCTGCTGCTTTTCTAAACTTGCAAAAAGTAACAAAACCATCTGAAAGCCACTATTTGTGGATTATCTGAAAGTTTCCATGGAGTGTGTGACAACTTATTTTTTCATTGACCCTATCGTCTAATCTCACAGCTGAAACAAGCATCCTTAATAATCTGTGCACAGGAAGATTACCAATGCTGTAGTAAAACAAAAGGTATAATAATTTCTCATTAATTCAACCTTGTTGCAGCACTAAAGAAGAAAAATGAGATTTTGCAATAAATATGCTAAATATTTACATATGAATTGTTTTAGAGCGCTTTTATTGGCAGAATCTGATATTAATTTAGTTCTTACAAAAAAATGGGTCCCAACGTGGTTTGTGTGGCGTTGACATGGTGTGACGTCATAGGCACAGATCCCCTGTCCTCTTTTTTGGAAATGGAAATATGGTCACCCATATTAAACAAACTGTCCTCCCGGGCTTTTGCGCTGCACAGAGACGCGTCGCTGCCTATGACTTTGAACATCAGTTGAGAGTCAGTCTCATGCAGACTGACCAATGAAGAGAGGGCCTCAAGTTAAGACCCTCTCCTCATTGGTCAGTCCAAACGAGGTGGGTCAAAGGTTACCCTGAGCGGGTTACGTGACGTCAGGCATTCAAGTATTGAGTATGTTTACTGCATATTATAGTAAAATATTCTGTATGTGACCATATTATGGTGATCCTTGGGTCATGATGATGGGGCCCTTGAACATTGTTGCCCAGGGTACAACAAAGTGTTAATCTGGCCCTGGCTCTGACATGATGCTATTGTCAGTGGCGTTAATCGTTTGCTCTGGTTTTTCCTTGCTGTGAGTGTTTATAAAATTCTGGGTTCAATATGTGAATGCCGCTGTTGAGCTAGAATAGATCTGAGGTCATCCTCTTTTGTTTTTAAGAGACATGACTGATTTATTTTTGGACGTTAGAGATGATGAGCACAGGGACAAAAGCAATAATCAGCAGTAAAAGGTGAGGGTCCTAGCTCTCAGGGCTTTCTATCGAGTTTAGATCAGTCACAAGTCATCTTAACACACACTCTGACTCACGCCTGGTGGTTAGCCACCCATTGTCCCCGTGCACCTCCATGAAAAGGGAGTGGCCGTCTTCATGTGGTGTTTTGGTTTGGAGGCAAATGATTCCCCAGATTCAGAGCAATTTAATTTTTCTCTGTTCCCAAAAGAGCGTGATTTCCCCTCCCTCCCTCTAAAGCCCGCCCCTCTTTCCATCTCTCAGCGATCGGAGGAGAGAAAATGGAACATGGTTGCTATGGTAACTGCATCAGGCAGATGCACAGCAGATCCTTGAAGTCGTTTTAATGGAACTACGGTTTGTGTCTCTTTATTTTTTCTGAAATCATGCGATGCAGATTTCCTCCCCGATGCCGACGAGGCTCGGCTGAGCACAGGCGGTCTCAGTCGCTGCTTGTATGTTTGCCAGGCTGCACTGTGGATCTTTGACAGCCACACCCCATACACGTCCCCCCCCCCACCACCACCACCTCCCTGACCCTCTGCTCAGGCAGGCATTGATTCGCTGGCATCACCGTGGCTCCTCCCCTCTTGTGCAGGGGCGACTCCCCCTTCAGTGCTCTCCTTTTGTCTGTGGATAAAGCAGCTGCCTATTTCCCTGTTCAGCCATGGGAGTCGCAGGTCAGTACACGCTTCTACTGCAAACGAAAGCTTTAGAGTCTGCGTTTGGTCTGCGCGGCACGTCACAAATCTCTGGGAACACGTTTCCCTAGGAGAAACGTCTGTGCTGTTGTTGGCGTGTGTGCTGTCACAGCTTCTGTCTGTGCTACCTTTGACTTTGTGTGTGAGTGTGTGTGTGTGAGCATCTCAATTGAAATCCTCAGTCACATAAATGTTGTCGGTGTCGACAGCAACAATGACTTCAAAGGGAGTGGTGCAGTTTCAGCAGCGGCGGCACGTGGATGCTGCTGCTGACGTTTTGATGGTGAGATGGACAGACTGGCTGTCATACGCTATTGATTGCTGCTAATAGCAGATATACGTTATACGTGTGATGTTTGATAGCGTGTGAAGAGTTCATGTGATTAGAGTCATTTCACCACCCAAGTCCAGACGGCCTTTTCAGGCATCCACAGATGCCTTTTAGTGGAGAGTAAAGATGGCCTTCATCACTATGCTGCTCGCAGCTCTGAGGCTAAAATTAGAGCGGACAGCCAGGCAGGCAGCTCTGAAGAAGAATAAGACACCCAAGAGACTTCTCTGTTCTCAGCTGACACAAAAGCTTACATTAAAGCAACAAATCGCCTCCCAACATGGGTTTCCTGATGCTAAAGGGTGCACGGTAAGCCCCAGTTTGAGTTTGGTTTGCAGCGGCAGTGTGGGAGGCAGCTTGTTCAGCAGAGGTGAAACAGGCAGTTCTCATGGAAACAGGCCCGTGCCTTTAGACTGTGTCGAGGCTGAACTAATCCTCGGTTATCACAAGTGGCTTTGAATTACAGGCACCACTGCCCAAAGATGGTGGAGGGAGAACTGTAGTCAGACATGTTTCCCCTACTTCCTCCTGTAAAAGTGTTTTTTTTACAGGATACGTGGCATTTCACAGCATTGATCAGGGACTGGTGCAACGTTACACTCATCACCGATCAGGGCAGCTCATCTGGACGGGTCACATTGAACTGCTATCAGTGAACTGCTGATAGTGCAGCTATTCCAGCTACTGCTTTCACAGAGCTCTGGTTTAATCATTAACTCTGCTCCACGAGGAGGTGTGCAGGTGTAGCTTTCCTGTGATGTTTGTATGGATGAGACCAGACCAGGTGCTCCTGAAATCCCATGGGATCTACCACACACACACACACACACACACACACGAACAAGTTATCATTTTCCGCAGAGGTTGTGCTATTTTTAGATGCAAAGAAATTGAATGAAATGTCGCCCCACAGCTTCTTGGTTCAGTCAAACCAAATTAAAATCTGGGTTAAAACTGGATCCCGTGACAGCAGCAGCTCCCTCAGGATGCTGCATTGTTTGACCCAGAAGTGTGTGTAGGGATGGATCCTAATCACGTTTCTCTTCCTGTGCTTCCTCCACAGCGATTGACCTCCTGTACTGGAGGAACGTGAAGCAGTCGGGCGCCGTGTTCAGCAGCGTGCTCCTGCTCCTGTTCTCTCTGACCCAGTTCAGCGTGGTCAGTGTGGGAGCGTACTTGGCCCTGGCGGCCCTCTCAGCCACCATCAGCTTCAGGATCTACAAGTCCGTGCTGCAGGCTGTGCAGAAGACTGATGAGGGACACCCATTCAAGTGAGCAAAACAGGTTTGTTGAATGGTGAGGTTGAAAATCTGTAAGACTAAAGGGTTTGTTGCATCCCTGTCTGTTACCAGAGCTTATCTGGAGATGGAGATCGCTCTGTCTCAGGACCAGATTAGTAAATACGCAGACAAAATCCTGCTGTGCAGCAACACCTGCATGAAGGAGCTCCGCCGGCTGTTCCTTGTACAAGACCTGATTGACTCCTTGAAGGTCCGCTTCCTACTTTAACACCATCACTGCTTTTTTTGTGTTGCTGGGGGTGAATTTTAACCTGATGTTTTTTTCAGTTTGCAGTTCTGATGTGGCTGCTGACCTACGTGGGTGCTCTCTTCAACGGCCTGACACTGCTCATCCTAGGTGAGGTCACCCCCTCTAACCGAAAAAAAAAAAAAAGATTACAGCTGCAGTTTCCAAGCACTATTGATGACTCACAAGGTCCAGCACTGCTTCGTTTGTTGGTCTTAACTGTTCATCTTCCTGCCTGTTCTCAGCTGTGGTCTCCATGTTCACCCTGCCTGTGGTTTATGAGAAACATCAGGTAAGAACTGGGAGCTTCGTCTTAACTGAACTCCAGGTTTGCACACGCTTAGCTGGCTTTTGATTGCTCAGATTTTTATGTTTTCAGGCACAAATTGATCAATACGTGGGACTAATACGGACCCAGGTCAACTCCGTGATGGGGAAGTAAGTGGCTACAGATTCATGTTAAAGCATCTGGAGCAGATGTTGTCAGGACATTTTCAGTAGCGGCTGATGGAAATTATTCTTGGTGGGGCTGTGTTTGAAAAGATTTCAAATGAATTGTTGGAAAATTCCAAACCAGTCATTTCTCCAAAGAAGCAGTTTTGCAATCTGTTAAATTTACAAATTACTCCGATAATACTCTGATGAATACAATAGCCTCCTGTGTTGCAACCCTTTTTTGGCCTTACTCACATTTTATTTTGACATTAGTTTTCATCTGCTCAAAGTGTGCACCTGAACGTGCAATGCCCAGTTCCACCAGTAGGTGTCATTACTAAAGCATAGATATCCTGTTTAAAACATAACATAAAATGCTACAGCTACGATTTCCTCTTTATGTAAATAATTTCTTAGTGTATAATATAATAGTGTATGTGAACAAGGAGGTGAGAGAGGGCAGAAAGAAGATCCAGCACCTTCTAGCTCTTTCCTGTAGGACTGCTATCACCCTCGCCTTGCCTCTGTCAGTGTGCCCCAGGGCAGCTGTGGCTACATCGTAGCTCACCACCATCGGTGCGTGAATGTGAATGGATGAATGATACTGTAGTGTAAAGCGCTTTTGGAGTCCTAACTCTGAGAAGAGCTATACAAGTGCAGGTCATTTATCACTAGGGCCAAGAGTGATAGTAGTCTGTTTAATAAGTGACACTGGGTTAAAATGTGTAAATAATTCAAATAAGAATAACTGACATTTATAGAAAAGAGATGATTTTATAGTGTCATGGAGGGTGGCGCCCTAGTGCCCCCTATGGATGAGCATCCGCTGGTTGCACAGAATGTAGACTGATCCAAAATCAGTCACTTTTGTGTAAAGTGACCTTGGGTGTCCTGAAAGGCGCTTTAAAATAAAATGTATTATTATTATTATAAAATGACTAAAAGTGCATTTTGATTAATAAATTTGCAAATTTTACCAACCTAACTCACTCTGGAGTCGTCTCCTTACTAAAACAAATATCCATCAATGTGATTTCCTCCGATTTCAGGATCCAGGCAAAGATCCCCGGGGCCAAGAGGAAGGAGGAGTAGATCCGTCCTAGTCACCGTGAAGCTGACGGTCCAGTCCAGCCGAGAGTCAGGCTCGCTGCTGAAGGGCCTGATCGTCATCTGTGGGGCGTAGTGCTGTGTCATCTTGGTGTTCTCTAAAAAGCATCCACTTGGAGAAGCCTTCACCCTGTCTATAGCAGTCTAAACACTAACACAGTCACACGTATGTGCATAATCCTGCTTCTAGGTAGAAGAAAACAACTCTGACAAAAAACAAACTATGTTGCTTATTATGAAGTGCATGAAGTCAAGCCTTGGGTAAATATTTGATATCTTCTGTGCGGTTTCTAAAAATCACGCTTTATTTTTTGCTTTTGCAGTGCTTGCCACAAATGCTACGGCTTAGCACAAAAATAAAACAGAGGCTGGATGTCCAGACACACACTGTTAAACACTGCTTCATGTTTCTATTTGCAATTCGGAGCTTTTCTCAGTATGTAAGTATATATAAATAACAAAAACGATCTCCTTTTTGGTGTTTTCAAGCACAAAATAACTTACGATATGCGTCTTAAGTGTGGTTATTGTAGAGTTTTGCTTTTGTATAACCATAAGGAACAACACATGCTCATGTTTAGGTACTGTTGTACAACTACTATGAAGACAAGAAGTATCTGGTGATATTTAGCTTGTTTGAATAACTGTCCAACTTTGTACTATGTTCAACTATACTCTGTAGCTCTCTAGACCCTGGACTCTATTTGCACTTCTGGTATGTATTTAATTACAAGAATATGGGAAAAATAAATGTACCTTGATGTAAACCCTCAGCCACCGTCTGTACGACACATCGGTTCATTTTGTGGTGATAATACTCGGAGACTTAGGCGAGCTATAAATAAGAGACATTTGATTTTGACACGGCTCTCAAGTGGTTCAGTCTGCACGGGTGTGTTTGCTGTGTTGACATTTTTAACTCGACTCTGAGGTCACAATGAGCCCGTGTTAGAAAAAGACTTGACTGATGAGCCTCATCTGTTGCAGGAAACTATTTTTAATGGATCACAACTCAAACACTCATTCAACAGACAGAATGAACTAAAAAAAAAAAGATTCACAAAACTTGTGTTAAAACAAAAGCACACAGGACTTCACTGTGCTTAACGCCTCATTTAAAACAATGCTGAATGCATAATCTTTTTAAAAGAAAACAGAACCAGCTTCACTTTAGTGCTGCTGTGAGAACTACAGTGCCTTTAGTTGTTCAGAAGAGTGACCGGATGCAGCTGGAAGAGAGGTCTTGAGGCGTTCCCCCCTCCTGGTTCAGTAACGTCCATATTCAGAGAAGGGTCAACCTGCAAGTCCAAAACACATTTAATAAACAAGCCAAATAACGGATGAAAGCACCGGTTGGTAGAATACCTGGTTCCACTGTCCTGTGTTCCTATAGTAGAGTGGACTGACAGCTTCTCTCGGAGGAGACCTCATGAACAGCCTGTAAAATAACAATAACTAATGATTCAGCCTCTTAAAAAATGTTAAAAACTGTTCTTTTGGTCGTGTGTGTGTGTGTGTGACCCTGTGAGGCGGTCCTGGCAGTCCTCCTGCAGCTGACTGATCTTGTCAGGCTCCAGGTGCAGCGGGCTGGTCAGGCGATTAATCGCCACTCGCAAAGCATTGATCTGAAAAGAAAGCAGATCCTAATGAGAGCAGCCCAACAGGAACAGTCACAGCAGGTAACGACGGGAGCCATTAGAATATTTTCATTCAATGTAAAGTAGTGTGGGGACCACAGCAGTCATTACAAGGCTGCTCATATTGGTGGCTTTTTATAGACAAGCTGGGCCACCATGTTCTCCCTCAGAAATAAAATTAAAAACTAGTTCTGTTATTCCTTTTTGCCCTTTTTCCAATGTAAGATGAGAATCGGGACAAAAAAAAGGTTAGTTTTAAACAAACTGTAAAGATGAAACCCACAAGTCAATAAATGAGTAAATCTGATGAACCGGGTCAACGTGCCTCAGTGAGGTCCTCCACATCAAACCTGACGTCGAAGGCCAGCTCGATGTCATTATCCGGTAGGATGGCTTCCTGTGTTTGGCTGTTGAAGCCCAGCCCACAGAGGGCGCCAGAGTAACAGGTCCTTTCATCATTGGTGCTACAAACACACAGTTTAAGGGTCTCTTTAGTTAGGGGGAAAACAAGTTTTAACAGCTGTGTGGGTGTAACAGACCGTAGCTCCATGATGGGAGTGAAAAGCATCGTCACCAGTCCAGGTAGTCCAGGAATGTCAGGCAGAAGGGTGGTGTGCCTCAGCATCACGCGGGTACCTTCAAATACATCTTCATCACTTTGAGTCCAAAACATTTTCATCACACGTTTTACATTTTGAAATATATATATATATATATATATATATATATATATATATATATATATATATATATATATATATATATATATATATATAAACATGCTGCCTAAACTATCCACGGAGTAAAATCTGCTGTATCAATAACTGGTACCAATGGAGTTGACCGACACCAGGCCTGCTACCAGCATCCTCTGATGTTTGTGATGTGGGTTTTCATTCATTGCCATAGAGTTGATGCTGGTCTTCTCTAAAGACACGGTCCTGCAAGAGGACACAAGCTCCATCACCAAAGGACGATTTATTGGCTGATTTAAGGTTTGATGAATCTAAATCTTACCTGTAGCGGTTTTTCTGACTCAAGCTGTGGAAGCTGGCCTTGTAAGAACTTGATGGTCCTTTCAGATGAACCTGATGTGTTTGGGAGAGAGCCGGAGAAACCGATTAATGATCAGTTCTGGACATCAGACTAAATGGGTGACCCCTGATCAAAAACACTACACAAACAGAGCAACTGAAACAGCTCCATCTACTGGCCACACAGTAACAAATGTAGGCATTAGTGTTAGAGATATTCTAAAAGTTTAATTGTCACATTTTTTAAGGTTTTCTGTTCTTAAAAGTTGTTTTGAATAAAATCAAAGCAAAGTTACAAATTAAGTCATTTTAGCTTTGGTGGCAGTGTCTTGCCTTCATCCTGGGGAGCTCAGGGCGCTTGGAAAAGTGATCAAACAGACTGTTGATAAGCTCCTCCTCCTCGCTCTTGCGCCTTTTCCAGAAATTGTTGCCAGACATGGGAACATGTGCTCCTTTCTCCATGTCCTTGTACAGTGTCATCAATGTCTCGTGACTTTGCTGCGAACAAACATCCTTTCACAGACTCTGCTAACAGTTTCATCATCTGGACAGCCATCTTTATTTAGAACAAAACTAAAACATTGTTTTTATCAGCTACAACATTCAGGTATTTACTTAGATGAGATCATTAGGATGAATTAGCATCACTTCAGCTTTTCTAAGTGTTACCTGAGAATCAAAGCTCTCCTCTGCCTTCACAGCGTGTCCCTCCTTCACCAATATGTCCAACACGCTGGTCTTTGTTGACTCTGAGGTGATGAACAGCTCCACCCGCATCACGTCATAGAGGATGGAGTAGAGAGACACGACGACCGACTGGTCCTTCACCAGGACGATGAAGCGGTTTCGGGCACTGCTGCTCCACTGGTTCCCCAGGATGAGGGACGAAGCCGATGGACGCATTTCAGCAATCTGGAACTCCTGAGCCTAAACCATAACGCTAAGGTTAAACCATAAATCTGAATTAATTTACGTTTTTGACACTGATGTGATAATGATACCTGGAAAGGCTGAGACAACAGGTCCGAAGGAAGTTCTCTCAGGCTGCTGCTGGACACAACTGCTGTGTTGCCAAAGTCCAGATAGATCACCTAGAGGAGGACAACCGTGATTAGAGTCTCAGAGATGTCATCACAACTTGTACAGAAATACTGCAAATCAACCACCTGAAAACTGGCATGAGTAAATATCACTGTACAGTTTTATTGGTATTTAGGTTTTTATGTCCATAATAAAAATGATCATGAAATGCATAAAACCCTGGAACACAATTCTAACACTTATCCTATCCCAACATTGATTCTTAACCAAAGACATCGTTCACCTCCACATTGGTTCCACACAAATGCAGGATCTTGGCTCGGTAATAGAAACTCTGTTGGTTTTCGGCATACGGCGCCAGACACAGCAGGTTCGGGTACAGAGACACAGCCACGGGGTTCAGGGTGCGCTTGTTAATCTCTCCTGTCAGAAGATGCTGCTTTTTCAAGCTGGCTTCATCTGCTGGGAACCCCCAGAAATGCCCCACATCCACCACCTGCAGCGGAGTTAAAGGACATTTTGTGTTTCAGGAACATACCATTATTTGGTTACTTGGGTGTTAAATCAAGAGCTGACCTCTGTGATGTTCACAGCAAAGAAGCGACTGGGAGGCATCTTGCTTGTGTCCAGGCTGGTGCACAGCGGGCTGACAGACTGGCTCTGGATGTCTGCTTTCAGCCTGCAGAGGGAGCACACAGACCCCTTTGCTTTAACGTTACTGTTACACACATAGCTAACACTTGCTGCCTCTACCGCTTTCATGACTTCTCATTTTAACGTGCAGAACCGAAAAGCTCATGAACAATAATCTGAGCAAAACGTCTGAATTCAGATCTGTAATCTAGGGCACCCTCATATCTCACCATCATCACTCTTCTCATACATGGCCTTGAACTATAGCGTGACTCCCACCTTGCATGTGAGGCAAGCTGCTTCCCTTGCTCACTTCAAGTCCATCCTTAAGGCCCATTTCTTTTATCTTGCACTCAGCTATGTGTTTGAATGACGATTCTCATGCATTTAGTTGTCGCTTAATTTTTTCAGTTTTACTCCATCAAGCAATTAGGTCAGCTCCCATGCCATTTTAAAATGTGGTATTTGAATAAAAATGGAATGGAAAGTTTAAGGGAGACACCTCACAATAAAAAAAAGAACAAATCATGTTGATTTTTAATTTTATTTGAGCAAGTCATTTCCTGTCCCAACACTAGAGGGACACAAGGGAGAGGTGGTTCCATCTTCACCTGTATGAGTCCAATAACATTTGGCAGATTTGGTGCAATGATCCAAGAAGCTCTGTAACTTAGGACAGAGCTCAGACTTCCTGCTTTCCTATCAATTTTTCAGCATTTAACTCATTCACTGCCATTGACGACTAAAGTCGTCATTTGCATTTTTTTTTACTGTTTGAGCATCGGAACGAGCCCCCGCGCTGAGAAAACAAACATCTCAGCCCTGAAGCCGATCTTCATCCACATACGTCACACGTCACATGATCAGGAAGCAACACATCCATGTGTTAGGAGATCATTTTGGGCCGTTCCTGTAAAAAAAGTGAGGCGCGAACCGGAAAAGCGTCTGCCGATCACAATTCGACAACAGATTATGAAAGAACGGATAACGCTCGAAACACACGGATTCTTCCTGATGTAAGAGGTGAGTCTCCTCTTTGTTTTGGTTGTTTTGTCATCGACATCATCCTAGCGCGCAACGTTCTGGGACTCATTAAAAAAAAAAAACGGTGAGAAACGCTGGCAGCGAAGGCCGTTAGTGATCAGGAAACGGCTGGCAGTGAATGAGTTAACAATGTTTGCTTGATCAGCAGACTCTTTATTTTCTTCAGCCTGTTGCATTTTCACTCCATCCAGAACCTAATAGATAAAGTTACGTTTGGTTTTTGTCAAATGCAGGCGAGCGCCTGTCGACCAGACCGAGAAAGCTTTACGATTGGTGAGTCTAAGTAACGTGATCATGTTTTGGGAGCTGAGCCTTACCGTGAAAACTTCATGTGAGTGATCGGTCCACTGTGAGGACAGGATTCAATCTCCTGAGAGGGGTAGACGGAAAGCTCCACAGGAGAGCCTTGAACGCCCATGAGGAGGGCAAGAAACACTTCAGGCAGTACGCCTGTAACCTCGGATGTCCTGTAGAACTCCACATACACTCTAAATGCAAACACACACTCCGAATGACATAATAGAAATCATGCAAAGGTGAGAAAGAGAGAAAATATTGATGTTTGATACCTGGAACTCTCAAAGAAGATGGTCTTGACCTGTCCGCAGCAGCGGAACAGAGTCTGGATCTGTTTGTAGTACAGGAAACTGTACGGAGGGAGGTTCCACAGCTAAAAACGCCAAACAAATAATAAAACCTTCAATTGTATTAATGTCTAACTGCAATGAAAATACGAGAAACCTCTTATGTCTTTAGCAACACGTGTTTCATGTCCTGCTTTCATAAAGTGACAAATAAAAAAGGGTTAAATAAATGGTCTTAATGTGTTTTTTCCAACACTAAGGTCATCACCATCACAGTTGTTCTCGGGTTGAAGCCACACAGTGCTTTAGATGCCATGTGGTCATCATTGTCCCCCTGGAAAAAGTAGTTGGGGTAGTAGGCACCAGCGATGACCATCTACAAACACGCACAGACAAAAGTCAGGAAGATAAAGTTTCAGATTGTACAATAAATAATACCGGCGCTCCTTTTGATCTAAAACTCCAACCTGAAGAATGAACATCTGTTTGTGAGTTTTGGTGGAGTCCATGGACGCATCCTCCTCTGAGGTGTGCATGTTGAACAGAGCCACACGCTTCTTCAGTTCCTCATACAGCTCTGCTACCTGGACAGTGAGATCACCAAATCACAGGAGAATTCCAAGGTCACACGTGACTTAGCCAGTTCACACAATAACAAGCAGGGAGAAAAATGTCGGCTGTATCCAAATGTTCTGAGGTTCACGAAGGTTTCACAGCTCATTACGTATGTTTACCATATCTAGGTAATAGGAAGTCTGCATGTGTCTTAGTTTAAACTGCTCTTGTGCATAATTTCCTGTTGGTCCTGAGCTGAAAAGCTGAGCCTGACTTGCTCTGGAAGCTTAACAGCAGAAAGACGTAACATGTGAGCTCCTGATGACTGAAAGGTGTTTTACATATATGTAAAAAAAAATTAAATCTATCACAAGATTCAAACTGATCATTTTAATTGCTGCTCAGATGCAACCACAGAGGACTGATTATTCCTGCATCCACAACAACTCAAATCTCAAAAATGCTGAATAAATTCTGTCATCCAGAACATTTAATTAACTTCAGGTAAAAAAAAAAAAAGGGAGAACCCGACTTTTCTATTTTCTTGAAGATGCTTTGATGTTCGAGAAACTCTCACTACAGTTTGAAAGCTCTGTAACTCTGATCCCTTCATCTGAAATTGATAATATTAAAACTAGAGGTGAAAATGTGAAATTTCAAGAAAACAGAAAAATGCTCTTTCCGTTCTTCCTGAACCTACTAGGTTAAAATCTCAATAAAATTAAAACAAAAAAACTGAACTCTGGATTATTCCACAGCTATAGTCAAAAAGGCAACCGTCTGCTTCAGGTCATCTGAGTTGCGGCCATAACCTTAACCATCACATCATCTGTATAAAACACACGTGACACCATGTTGTACCTCTCTGATGATCTTGATTTGAACAAAGTTCTCACTTCCCCACTTCAGCTCATCCTAAAAAGACAACACGATTAAAAACAAACATTTCACTTTGTACATTTGTTCACCAACAACTGGTGTTGGACTGAAATATCAGCTCCAATCGTCCATCAACAATATTAATAAATTGACAGACTTGTGAAATGAACACAGAACGGGGAGGAGCCAAACTGCTTGCTGCCAATTAAAATGTAATTTAGATCCTAAAGTTTTACAAAACACTAATTTGGTCTGAGAATTTTGAACCTTAAAGGGGCATTATGGAAGTTTGACAGCCAAAACATGTATAGAAATGATAAATATCTTCTTCATACATTCTCCTGCAATGCCCTGGTCCTGTAGAATGAGCCCTGGCATTTTTACTGTGATTGCCTGTTTTTCTGTAAAATCACAGAAAAAGAGAGCTGCTCGGGTCGAGCAGGCTGCTTCATGCGCGTTCACGCTCAGGCATAGCCCGTAGCATTTGCTATCAGTAGCTTTAGCAGCAGAGAGTGAGGTAGTGCCAAATCAGCGACTTTGTCGCTGTTCCTAACGCCTAGTGACAAACCTAGCTACATTTCTGAGGACCTTAGCTACTTTCTTCTTGATGTTTCCTGCAAATTAGCAACAAAATAGCCATTTTCGCTCCGAACCATTCTTTGAACGTTGTTTCAGCTGTCATCAAGGATATAAAAGCTACTGATACAGAAGATGCTACTGGCGCTTTAGCTCAACTAGTAAGACGACAGACTCCCGTGCGGAAGATCTGGGTTCGAATCTGGATGTGAACAGTTTATTTAGAGTTTTTTACATTAATGGTATATTTTTTTACAATAAGATGCCAAAATTTTTATTCGAGACTCGCCAAACAGCATTGAATTCACAGATAAAAAAGATGTGGGTTCAACTTTCATTTTGGAACAAATTTTCAAGCAAGGGAAGGGAAGCTCTGTGAAGCTGACAGACTGACCCTTCTTAAACCTTTGTCGGCTGTGCTGAAGAGAAAGGTACAGAAACAAATTATTTAATTAGCTGCGCGTTCTCCTGTCCTCTGTCCTCCGGGCCACACACACGGAGCTGACTGTCTCAGCTGTTATTTTCATTAAGGAGTGTGCACGTACAGCATGCGCGCCTCGTGCACGAGCCTACTATTGAAGCTGCCGTTACGCTTTTGGCCTGAGGGGGCAATCGCGAGCATAAAAATTCAAAACTCCGTAAAGTCCCTTTAATGCTTTACCTTTGGGTGTCTCAGCTGTCCATTCTTTTTGGATGTGTACCACGCCTAACAAAAGGAAAATCTGAGAATTAATCAAGACTTAATCATGAAAGACATCTTAAGTTACAGTTTCATGAGCGTCACCTTGAAGGCATTCAAAAGGGCGACAGAATCACTCGGTGTGTTACGGGCGAAAGCCATCTTGCTCCTGAAACACAAAAAGTTTAAAATAGGCCAAGTGAAAACATCTGTTTCAGCATTTCAAGCACAGGTATTATTTGTTTATAAAACACCAACATGGGGCCCGAAGACTGTAATAGTCTGTAGATGATGTTGTGTTAGGTGTGACTCACCTGTAGCCTTCAAACTGATGCATGACAGGAAAGGCGAGGAAATTCTTCAGAGAGTGGGACGCAGCTGAAGGCACAGCAGGAAGTTCATTCACATTTGCAATGGATGAACCAAGGAAGAAAACATCTGTTATTTATTTATCTGTCCAGTATGTTAAATGGAAACATGAGCCAGTCGTGTTCAGCGACAATGAAAGAACAAGTCCAAGAAAGCCATTAGGATGCATCACAGCCCGAGATACTCTCCCTCCTGCAGAGGTCCCCACAACACAATGAAACCCCGCCTTCCTCTGTATTAATTCCACAATAGTACACAGCTGCAGACCCGGAGACCGCAGATTCACGCCACCATGTTCCACTCAGCTGAATGCAATAGCCTAGCAAGAACGTGCAAGAGGTGAAGGAAAGAAGCAGCTGAGACAGGAAAATGCATTTGTGAGTTTAGTTTTTCATGAGGAAGTAACAATGAAAAATGGCCGAAAGCTCCAAAAAGTGGATTTTATAAGACGCAACAGGCACATAACAACAAGCCCACAGATTATATAATATAGGGACATACTTTTATGCATATCATTTTATTAATGTAAAAAGGTTTCAAAGTATCTGAATGTGAAAAAGGCACAAACAGGAAGTCGGACAGGAAACTCAAGGAGGGCTGATTTCTCTATGGAGGACGGCCTGACCGAAGTGTGGAGGACCATGTTCATCTGACAGATTACTGCTTCTTAAACAGACATCTCTTTGACTCCGTTTTCCCTTTGCTTCTTCTGGGCGAGAGCCAAACATCCGACCAGAGATGTTAGCATTGCACCGAGAGCAATGCCCATACCTGCAAACTCGGTGTGGAAAAGGTGACAGCTGCAATGCTACAAAAGACTTCCCCAAAAACAAAAACTCTTTGGATCTACACGATTCACGTGAAAGCCACATTTGGCTTCAAAAACTGTGATTTTCGCCAAAAAGCGACAAATATGCAGATATGAATGCCAGACTAACCTATGATGAGACAGTCATCGAGGCAGCCAAAGACATGACCAAGGATAATCAACTTCCCCAGGTACAGGTCCACAGGCAGGCTGGCCAGCACTCGTCCGAGGAACGTCAAATCACCATCGTGACTCTGATTTCTGTCTTCACTTTTTGCAGATAAAGCACCCATCTGAAGAATAAAACAATAAAAGCTTTGGTTAACTCAAACACATTTGTCTGTTGGCCTAAGACACTATAACGCAATACTGACTTTACGATAAAAAACCCGGACTAGGCTGCCCACCTCAACATATAATACAACAATGAGGGCTTTTAAAGTGGAGAACTATTGTTTCCTGAGTGTTTTACTGGCCTCCTTGAGTTGCAGGACAGTCTTAACAATGTCTCTGAGGTTGGGAGGTGAGAGAGCTGTGGAGAGGAGGGAGCGGGGATCTCCCATGTCCAGAAGCTTCACCTTTAACATGATGGAAGCCAGAGGAGAAAGCTGAGAGAAGAAATGTACCGCTTATTATCAAAGCTGGACTCTGAACAGCATCTGTCACCAACACGCTCACCAGCATCTCGGGAATCATGTAGTCGGGGATTTCGTTTTCCCAGAAAGCTTTGGTCACAAGACGGTAACAGTAGCCCTTCGACACCCGGCCTGCCCTCCCTGCCAGTGGACACATTTGATTTAAAAAACTGAAGGAGGAAATTATTTCCATTTCAACGTTGTTTACGACTTTTTTTTCACCCTTGCGTTGGTTGCAGTTGTTTTTGGAGGCCCAGGTCAGACGCAGAGACTGATAATTAGTATCTGGGTCACAGATTAAGTGACGGACCAAGCAGAAGTCGATCACTGCCAACAAAACAAACCCCAACAAAAAGTTAAAGCATTAAACCCAGAATATAAAAAAGGCAAATAAAACACTAAAGATAGACGATTCACCGTATTTCACATCTGGAACAGTTACAGAACTCTCTGCAATGTTGGTGGAAAGAATCACCTAGAAAAGAAAAAATAACAATAAAAATAAGAATACAATAGTACTGCAGTCACAAACATGTACAAATATGCACCATTTACCTTCCTGCATCCAGGTACAGGAGGATGGAAAACGCCGTTCTGCTCCTCGAGAGTTAATGATGAGTGGAGGGAACACACCTGAAATCTGAGCCACAGCAACACCTTTATCATCAAGTTAAATGTCAACATGAATAACTTCATACACTTAAAACACATCGGTATGACAAAATCCAGATTTTCACACACTAATGAAGCAAACTTGAAATGTTTTTGAAAAATTGCAAAACAAAAGCAGAAATTACTCATTTTTACTTTTTACTAGCTTAATAAATTATGCTGTGCACAGCAGATACAGTCTGGTAGTTGATGGTGAATTTGGTAGTGACAGAAGCTCTAATTAAAATTATAATAAAAGAAACACACTGTAAACATCACAGCAGGATGATGAGACAGGAGCATCCATCTACTAGACTCACCCCCAAATTCCACTACCTCCGCTCCGATCCGCCCCCGACTTCCGCAGCCGCTCGCTTCCGAACTCAATTTTTACTGGTACCCGCTCTACAACGGCTCCGCTCCGGTGCGGAGACCTGAGGTGGGCAAACAAGCATGCGCGGGATTTTCGAGATCTTGCGATACAGTCTGAGCAATAAACGCCCGTTGTGTGGGAGAAGCATCGAAATGAACTGTTTAATCAGCCCATCATTTGTGTTGAGAGATCAGCAGTGTTTGGATCAACAAAGGGCGACTATTTTGATAGTGGAAACTGTATTTATGGCTTACCTTTGTGCATTTAAAGTTCAGCCGCCATTGATAGTTGTTAAAAGTTGTTAAACCTGTGCATATGAAACAAAAAACGCTTTTTGTTTATCGATTTATTGTGAAAAACGGAAGTTGTGCTTGCTCCTTTTCCTGTTGGGCGGTTGTGATTCCTGTCCATTGACTGCGGAGTTGCTCCGGCATCCAGCAAAAATAGAATCAATCCTATTTTTGCCGGATGGCGGAATGGCGGGCGGCGCATTGCGCTGCACGGCCGCTGTAGTGGAACAGCTCCGATTGACTACAATAGGACCATTTTTGCTGCGGAGTTCGTGCCGGAGCGGAGGTAGTGGAATTTTGGGGTCAGTCTCCACCAAATGTACTCATTTTGCACATTAGCAGTTTTTCTACTTTAATCTTATGGCTACAAATTAGCAACAACAAATCAGATACTGAGCCTCTTCTTTTTTATATAATTAAACTGCAACTGCGTAGAAATACTCAAAAGATGCTACTTTTGTATCTCACCTTTTAAAAGCCAGCTTGGTCAAAGCATCCTGCATGTGTTGGATCTCCCGGATCCCAGGGAGGAAAACCAAAACACTGCCTCTCTCTGATGAAACCCTCCCAGCTTCTCTCTCTGTGGTGCTACTCACACTAATGAGGACAAAATATGTTCACTGATGAGCTTCTTCACCAAAGTATTAAAATACTTTCAACTCACCGGTAATTCTCTCTCTCCATTTCATCGAAGTTTCCAATCAGTCTGATGGCAAGATTGTACATCTCAGGTGAGATGACAGGGTCTTCTGGATAAGGCGGCTTAATCTGATTGAGACAAACTCCTTACACTTAAACCTGAATGGGTGCAAAACCAAAGCCTGCAAATACAATAAACCCTCGACTCGTTACGTTGTGAGAATGTAGGTGGTGGATGTCATCCAGGTAAAACTCCTCTATGGCGTACGGCGCCCCCTCCACCTCAAACACGTAGGCAGGACTCATTCTGCCACAGACTGGTGTGGCAAAGTAGTCTGCAAACTCGTTGCAGTTAATGGTGGCTGACATGAGGATTATCTGGTAAATAAAAAAGCTCTTTAGACAGAAGAAGTGATACAGAAGGGGAAAAAAGACTGATGCAATAATTACTTTGACATAACGAGAGTTGGCATGAAGGAGTTTTCTCAAAACCAGCAGCAGAAAGTCCATCTCCTCTGTGCGCTCGTGAACCTAAAGACACAAGTCATGAATAGTGTATAAAGTCAAGTTAAAGTCCCGTAGTCATCATCACACACGGGTGAAATTCATTTCCGCATCTGACCCATCCCCATGGAGGGGAGCGGTGAGCTGCAGCGGTGGCTGTGCTTGGGAACTACTTGGTGGTTTCACCCCCCATTCCAACCCCTTAAAAGCTGAGTGTCATGCAGGGAGGCACTGGGTCCCATTTTTAAAGTCTTAAGTATGACCCGGCCAGGAATCGGACTTATCTCCCGGTCCCAGGGGGACACTACCACTAGGCCACTGAGCTTTTTTATCCCCAAAAGAACTAAAAATCTAAATGAATCTAGCTTTTTCAATGCACACACCACCACTATTTGACTCAGTAATATAAAACAGATTAAAGATGAGGAACTCATCATTTCCATTCCAACAGACTAATCAGAATCAAGATGGTGAGTTGACATTCCTCGACGCGAGTGCTGGCCAGCCTGCCTGTGGACCTGTACCTGGGGAAGTTGATCATCCTCGATCTGATCCTTTAAAATGGAAATGAGCTATGCAGCTATGCTTGCATTGTTTTTGTACCTCATCCAGAAAAATGTGGGTGAACTCTGTGAGGCGCTTGGCTGAAACCAGCTTTTGCAGCAGAACTCCGGTAGTCATGTAGATCAGTCGGGTATGCTCAGTGGCCAACTTCTCCAGCCCGACCTGAAACACAAATACACACTTTGGATCAATAAAAACACCTAAAACAAACAAAATGCATCTGTGAAATAACCTTTGTGCAATAACACAATAAAACCAGCAATATTTTGTGCAACTGACAAATACAGAAATGCATCCACCGCAAAAAAATCTCAATCATGTTGGATCTGTGGCTCTACGTAAAAACAATTCGTCTTTACCTTCAACTGACAGGAAGAAAAAAAACAAAAATTTGGACATTTTTTCTTCAGAACTCAGCAGCAGCTCTCGTAACTCATGTTAAAAACATAATCATGTCTTGTTCTGCATGAGATTTTCTGGACTAATTCTGATCATTGTCACCAGGAAAATGAATTCCAGTTTGCTAAATAAGTAAGTAAATTTTATTTATACAGCACTAGGTGTCCAGACTGTCAATGCTACGCAAGGATAAAGGAAGATCATTCCAAATTTGGGGTGCAACAGTCTGGAAGGAGCAATCACCTCAACTTGAAATAAGACGGTTGCAAACATGTCTCACAATTGCACAACGTAAAGAAAAATCTTGCAAGTATAAAAAATAAAGAAACTGTGCTGCACAACCTAAGAATTACATTCAAACTGGACAGTGAATGTTTAAAAATCAATCAATCAACACTTTATTAATCCCAGAAGGAAATTAGAGAATAATTTGAGGCTGCTCTGTAAATAGTTTTCAAATAAACAATACACATAGCACCTTCTGATCAATCCATATCAATTTCAGATTTAAAATAATGTATCGATGTAAACCACACCCACTAATTTCCAAATAATAAGGTGCATTCATCTGTGTATCTCCTTTGATCCGCATTAATGATATTTTCAGCACCAGAACAATGAAGCAAAGAAACAGATTCCTGAGTTTATGTTAGTAATTTTATTTATTAGGTGCATCTGATCTGTTTTATTTTTCTCTGAAATGAGATCAAATCAGTGCTTCTATGGGTTGTCTCCTCTCTGCACTAGAAAAATGTACTTTATTATAATGTTCACTGTAATGCATCTTGATGTTCTTAACAAATAAATTAAAGCAAAGATATTGGTCGATAATGCCAAATATGTAAACTTGTGTTTCAGTCATTTTTATACTGGCTTAAAATTACTTCATTAAGTCTACTAAGCAGGGGTGTAGAAGGTTTTTAATAGGGCCAGCCCAGTAATGATCTTGGACCAAAATAAAGGGGGGCAGAAAGAGATGTTTTTCCAGACGCCAAGACAAATTAAATGCCAAATCCCCCCCTGCAAAGTGTGTCACTGAGAGTTTAAAACAAAAATGATTCTTGTGCAAATATTGGTGTATTCACCTTCAATACTAGTTATTAAAATGCAGCAATTGCTGGATTGGTGCAGTTCAAAGTGGAGTGCATCAAATAAAACAATATAAACAAAGGTGAGACGTGTCATAATATCAACCCCCCCCCCCATGACCTTCAACACGAGCAGATCCATGCATGCACCCGTTAACCAAATGTTGCACCAACCTGATATCCCACCAGACTACCCAGAGTACACTTCCGCTGAGTAGCAACCCATCGGGCAATACTGGTAGCTCCGATTTTTCGTGGTTGGGTGACCACAATGTTGCATGTGGAATTATTTTCATTGTGGTGGTCCAGAATGTACTGTGGCAGCTGAGTGGTCTTGCCACTGCCTGTGGCTCCTCGAACGATCACAACAGAGTTGCTTTCTATGAGGGAAATCAGCTGGAAAAGAAATAACACATACACACACACATATGTGCACTGTTAAATTAAACCAGGTTTGGTCATTGTGTCACATCAACAGAATAAAGGAAAAACATTTAATAAAAGTTATGAAAACAAAGAGCAGATGGATGCTAAGCTGGTAGTGAGCGAGCACACACACACACACACACACACACACACACACACAGTAGTAAATATAACGTCAGCTGTTGTCCCACTGAAGGCAACTTTGTGCTCTTACTGAGTGATTCATGCTTAGTAGCCTGAGGACATAATGTTGGTAAAAGTCTACAAAGAGACGGAACCATTAGAGGAGAGTGCATCATCGAGCTTTGTGCTCGAGTGGCTGTAATAAATCACTAAACCTTACTTTTTGTCGGTTCTTGGTTATGGGCAGGTCTGGGGGTTTGTTTCTGGTGAGACCAGGAGCCGTGCTGCCTAAGGATGCAGAACAGAAAGAACAAGAACCTGGTTTAAAGCAGTAACAACTCCAACTTCTATCTAACAAAGACAAAATAGGATGGGGGAGGGGGTTGACTGCAGTTTTTAATACAAGCAACAGAAAAGTCAACTAACTTTTAGCAGCTTCTGGTTTCTGGCCCTTTCCTCCAGTGGAGTTCAGGTGGCCCTCGTCAAGAGGTTTAGCTGGGCTGAAAGAAAAAACATTTTACTCTGTGAAGTAGTTCTGTCAGTGAGCAAATATTTAAATAAAGGGATCTTCCACCCAAAAGTCATATTTTGTTTGTTGACATATTTCTCAGAGTTAGACTAGCGGAGAAAAAAAACATTTGTTACCAGCCCACTCATTCTCCTGACCCAGCTGTTCTCCGTTAACATAAAACAGTAAGTAAATGGAGCCAACTAGCATTGTGAGCTAAAATCTCCATAAACTCACTCAATAGTGATCCCAATTGTGCTTGGTGACCTAAATAATCAGACTGACTGCAAGTGAAAATATTTTTTTTCTTTGTTTACTTCATTCAAAATAAAAACAAATAAAACATATAAACAATAAGAAATACATAACAAAAAATCAAATTTGAATGAAAAGGAGCAGAATGAAGAAAAACATCTTATAATTTCTGCCCCCTTTTCCAGTAGAAATAATTTATACATAATTCCCATCTGTCAGACACACACACAGATTCATTTTAAACTTTTTCCTTTTCTTAATTACAGTGCGATCATGATCATTGATTTTATTTACATTTTCATAATTATTTAGAAAACTCAATTTGGTACATTTTTTGAATATATTAAATGACAGTTTTTTTCATTTCCCTTTTAAAGGGACTTCACTGAGTTTTGAATTTTTTTTGCTCGCGATTGCCCCCTCAGGCCAAAAGCGTAATGGCAGCTTCAATAGTAGGCTCGTGCACAAGGCGCGCATGCTGTACGTGCACACTCCTTAACGAAAGTAACAGCTGAGACGGTCCCGTGTGTGTGTGTGTGTGTGTCCCGGAGGTCAGACAGGAGAATGCGCAGCTAATTAATTAAATAATTTGGTTCTGTACCTTTCTCTTCAGCACAGCCGACAAAGGTTTATGATGGGTCAGTCCTCCTGCATGCTCAGATCATTCCCTTCCCTTGCTAGAAAAATTGTTCCAAAATGAAAGTTGAACCCACATCTTTTTTATCTGTGAATTCAATGCCGTTTGGGAGTCTCAAATAAAAATGTGGGCATCTTACTGTAAAAAATATACTATTAATGTAAAAAAGAAACTCTAAATGAAGTATGTTCACATCCAGAATCTTCTGCACGTGAGTCCAACGTCTTACTAGGTGAGCTGAAGCGTCAGTGACGTCTTTCGTATCTGTAACATTTATATCCTTGATGACAGCTGAAACAACGTTCAAAGAACGGTTCAGAGCGAAAATGGCTATTTTGTTGCTAATTTGAAGGCAATATCTAGAAGAAAGTAGCTAAGGGTCCTCAGAAATGTAGCTAGGTTCGTCACTGGGAATTAGGAACAGCTACAAAGTTGCTGAGTTGGCACTACCTCACTCTCTGATGCTAAAGCTACGGATAGCAAATGCTACGGGCTATGCCTGAGCATGAACGCGCATGAAGCAGCCTGCTCGACCCGAGCAGCTCTCTTTTTCTGTGATTTTACAGAAAAACAGGCAATCACAGTAAAAATGCCAGGGCTCATTCTACAGGACCAGGACATTGCAGGAGAATGTATGAAGAAGAAATTTATTATTTCTATAAATGTTTTGGCTGTCAAACATCCATAATGCCCCTTTAAGTTTATTCCATAATTTAACACCATTTACAGATATATTCCATTTCTTAATTTTAGTTCTAAATCTGGGTTTTGTAAACACACCAGTTTCTTTCAGCATGTAATTACTATTTCTCTCTTTCAAATATCCCCTGAATGTTTGTTGGCAGAGTACCTAAATTGGCTTTATACATGGTTTGTATGATTTTCCAGTCTTTTAAATCATGAAATTTCAGTAATTTATATTTAATAAACAATGGGATAGATGGATCTCTACAGCCACTATAATTGACGATTCTCAGAGCTCTTTTCTGTAAAATAAATAAGGGTTGTGTATAGTTTTTGTATGTTGCTCCCCAGATTTCTACACAATAAGTCAAGTATCACTGAATTGTACAATGCCAACAAACCAGAATTAGTCAGTAAAAACTTGACTATGTAAAACTCATGAAGATTTGGCAATTCTACCTGTTATGTAACTAATATGGCTGACTAACTGCATGGTGGCGCAGTGGTTAGCACTGTTGCCTCGCAGCACGAAGGTCGCAGGTTCAAAACTCGTCTTTCTGCGTGGAGTTGCGTGTTCTCCCCATGCATGCGTGGGTTTCCTCCGGGTACTCCGGTTTCCCCCACAGATCACAACATGCCCTATAGGTTAAAAAAAAATTGTACGTCGCTTTGGATAAAAACGTCTGCGAAATGAATAAACATAAACATAATATGGGATTTTTAATGGTCAAATGCAGACCTTATTATCTCCCCAGAGAGCTCACCTCGATCATACTTACTGCAGTGTATATCTTCCCCCCCCCCCCCCCCCCCCACGCTAATGCTAGGCTGGCCATGAAAGAACTTTCTGCAGCCATTAACAAACACCAGAATAAACACCCCGAGGCTGCTTTTATTCAGTGCGTTTACATGCAGCCAGTAACCCTTTCAAAACCCGAATATTCACGGTTCCGCAGGTCCGTGTAAACACCACCAGAAACCCGGATATGCTCATAACCGGGTTTTTAAAAACCTGGTTACTACACCTGGGGTAACCCTTTTCTAACCCGAATGTTTGGTCGTGTAAACGCATACCGGGATATCCCCATCAAAGCGTGTGTTCTGCACATGCTCTGTTCGCAAGGAATCTTGGTCTTTTGAGTAGCGAGACGTCTTGTATGTGCCAGAAATCCGGAAGTAAACAACAAGTTGGGAGCAAAATGGCGAGTCGCAGCAAAGCACCACAAATTCGGAGTGACGAGGAAACTAAAGCGCAAACAAACAATGTCGCTATCTCTTCCGAACTGGGAAACATGTTTTCACGGATACCGGAACGAGAAGAACCGGAAATGACGCATATTGCGTCTGGACGTAGTCCACACGTCCTGACGCTACCCCAACGTCCGCATTTAAATCGGGTTATGCAAGTTAGGGGTAACTCTTTCTATTTGTGCTTGTAAACGGGTTATTCTGATCAACTCAGAAACCCGAATGCCGACCTTAACCCGATCATAACCCGGATATTGGCTGCATGTAAACGTAGTCGTTGTTGCTGGCGAGTTCAACCACACCAACTTAAAGACATTCCTCCCCAGATTCCACCAACATGTCTCCTGCCACACTAGAGGAGACAAGACTTTAGACCATGTTTATTCCAACTTGGCTGGAGCCTACAAAGCAACACCCCTCCCCCACATTGAACAATCGGATTATCTCTCCGTTCCTCACACCTCGGTATTCACCACTCATCCAACGTGTGAAACCTGCTGTGAGGACAATTAAAGTGTGGTCAGAGGGGACAGATGCGGTGCTCCAGGACAGATTTAAAAACACAGACTGGAATATGTTCACCAACACAGACCTGGACCAGTATGCCTCATCTGTACTGGATTACATCTCCGTAACCACAGACAGTGTCACCACCCAGAAAAGGATCACCACGTACCCCAATCAGAAGCCTTGGATGAACCGGGATGTTCGTCTCCTACTGAAGGCCCGCAACACCGCTTTTAGGACAGGAGATGCACACGCCTACAGTACAGCCAGGGCTAAAGAAGGGCATCAAAAAAGCCAAACACCATTACAAAAAGAAGATAGAAGAACACTTCTCCAACTCCAACCCCCGACGCATGTGGCAAGGACTCCAGACCATCAGACTACAGGATCATCAAACCCTCCCCCGCATCCTCTGATGTTTCCTTCCTCAACGAGCTCAACAACTTTTATGCTCGTTTTGAGCGAGGAAACCTCACAACCACAACCATAACAGACATGACGCCAGACCACCAACCTCTGACTCTCTCCCCCACCGATGTACAAGCGGTGCTGAGCAGGATCAATGTCCACAAGGCTGCAGGCCCTGATGGCATCCCTGGGCGTGTTCTCAGAGCGTGTTCTGGGGAGCTCGCAGGAGTGCTCAGACATATTCAATCTGTCCTTGGCCCATGCTGTGGTACCGGCCTGCTTCAAATCCACCTCCATCGTCCCGATACCCAAAAACTCCAACCCATCTAGCCTCAATGACTACCGCCCGGTAGCACTCACCCCCATCATCACTAAGTGCTTAGAGCAGCTGGTCTTAGCACACTTCAAATCCTGTCTTCCCCCCACCCTGGACCCCCACCAATTTGCATACCGCCAGAACAGGATCACAGAGGATGCAGTCTCCATTGCACTGCACTCTGTCCTCTCACACCTGGACAACACCTACGCCAGAATGCTGTTTATAGACTTCAGTTCCGCATTCAATACAATCCACCCCTCACAACTCATCAGGAAAATGACAGCCCTGGGGATCAGTTCCCTCACCTGCAAATGGTTACTGGGCTTCCTGACCAACCGCCCTCAACATGTCCGACTGGATAACCGCTGCTCATCAACACTCACAATGAACACTGGTGTACCACAAGGCTGTGTGATGAGCCCTTTCCTCTACACCCTTTTCACCCACAACTGCAGACCTGCTGATGGTTCCAACACCATCATTAAGTTTGCAGATGACACCACGGTGATTGGCCTCATCAGTGACAACGATGAGACCGCCTACAGGGTGGAGGTGGACCGTCTGACTGAGTGGTGCGACACAAACAACCTGCTGCTCAACACTGAGAAGACTAAGGAGCTCATCGTGGACTACAGGAGGAATGCTGACCCACATCCACCCATCCACATTAAGGGGACGGCAGTGGAGCGTGTGAGCAGCTTCAAGTTCCTGGGAGTCCACATCTCCGAGGATCTCACCTGGACTACCAACTGCTCCAAGCTGGTCAAGAAGGCTCACCAGCGCCTCTTCTTCTTGAGGATTCTGAGGAAGAACAACTTGTCCTCAGACATCCTGGTGAACTTCTATCGCTGCACCATCGAGAGCATCCTGACCAACTGTGTAATAGTCTGGTATGGGAACTGCTCCGCCTCGGACCGGAAGGCGTTGCAGAGGGTCGGGAAAACTGCCCAGCGCATCACCGGAGCACCACTTCCTGCCATAAAGGACATCTACAGGAAGCGGTGTCTGAAAAGGGCAGGGAAAATCATCCGAGACCGCAGTCACCCATCACATGCACTGATCACCCTGCTGCCCTCTGGGAGGTGCTACAGGAGCATACGGACTAAGACCACCAGTAGGGTTGTCACGGTAACCGGTATAGCGGTAAACCCCGGTAAAAAAGTTGACAATAAAAATAACCGTCCAGTTTTTAAAAAACTATATTATCTCGGTGGGTTTACCGTGGCCGCGGTTTCGGCGCGATGACCCTTACCAGCCACCGTCGCTTCAGCTGAAGTTCCCGCGGCGCGCACACGCACTTTTTAGTTTGCAACGGCACCAAAACTTTGAAGCTGAAATAACGGCCGAAGGAGGAGACGGCAGCGCCCAGGACATCCATCAGCCCTCAAAGAAGACTAAATCGGAAGTATGGGCATATTTTGGATTTCTGAAAAATGCTGAGGGACAGTTAATAGAAGACGGCTATCCCGTTTGCAGAACGTGCAGGAAACAAGTGTCTGCAAAAGGTAACACTTCGAATCTAATGGCACATCTGTGTGACGATCACCCACGTCTCTACAGCCAGTGCAAGGCAAGTTAACATTAGCATTTTAGCTGAAATGCATGACGTGAGGACTTTTGGTTGAGGGAGAATGCAACGAGTCGCTATATACTGCAGCCGCAGCGCCCTCTGCCAGCATTTAAACCGTGTCACGGACACCCTGTTGCTGGATGAAGCATCTTATTTGTTGATGATGAAGAGAAATATACAATTAGTTCCTTGTCATTGATTTGTTTACTTATTCAATGCCATTTATACTTGAACATTTGGATTTGATTACATAGTGTAGTAGTTATTTTAGTAATTTGTTTAAAGTGGCTATTTGTTTTAAATACATATTTTTTAAGGTTGACTTGTACAGAGCTCAAGTCAAGTGTGGACTGGAGTGTTAGATTTTCATTTTGATAATGAAGAAAACAAGTATATGAGAAAACAAGTGGTGTTTCTTTGATTTGTTTACATATTGTTTATGTTTTGAATGTTTGGATTTGTATAATTTAAACCTGCACTGACTACTCTAACATGTTCCAGAAAAATAAGCTATTTGTTCCTTTACTTGTGAAAAGTTGCACTTTTGCTAAGGCTTTGTGTTATTTTAGGTTTAATAAACACTGTTAAACATTTTCAGAACTATTTCAGTTTGTGTAGAACAGGACTATCAATGCTTTCTGAACATATGCAACACAGTTTAAAAAATACCGCGATAATACCGAAAACCGTGATAATTTTGGTCACAATAACCGTGAGGTTAAATTTTCATACCGTGACAACCCTAACCACCAGGTACCGGAACAGTTTCTTCCCAACAGCTGTCAGACTCCTGAACTCTGCCTCCTGACATATGACCCACGTTAAACTCATGGACTGCTTGTATTAACTACAGCCTGTAGATACTTAGTCATAGAATATTCATAACATACTTCATACCGTGTACATTATAACACACGTAATAGATCCATTCTGTAATATACTTACACATCTACATTACTGCTAATATATATTGTTATACATCTATATCACGGCTAAAGCACTTCTGGGTGGATGCAAACTGCGTTTCGTTGCCCTGTACCTGTACACGTGCAATGACAATAAAGTTGAATTCTATTCTATTCTATTTCCATGACAAGTCTTCATCAATAAGAACTTCAAGAAATTTAGTTTCTTTTACTCTTTGAATTGCAATCCCATCTATTTCCAATGACAATCACTGTTCTTTTTATCATTAAACAGTAAACAATTTGTTTTATTAAGATTCAGTGTCAAACTATTTATATCAAATTAGTAACAATTAGTAGTATTTATATAATTTAGTAACATAAAGGTATCACAGGCGCCATTTTAGACTTGGGACTACTTTATGACAAAGCACAGCTGTAAGCTTCTGCTGAAAGGTTCAAGGACATGACGATGCTTTCATGAACACAAATGCACACGTTGGTGAACACACACACACACACAATTAGAATATAAATCCTGAAACATCTCTAGAATTTTGTGGCCATGCGTTGAATTTCAGCTCATCCTGCATCCCAGTTCCAGGCAGTAGCAGGTACTTCCTTATTTTCATACTAAAATGTCATCAACAACATCGGTGGATGCTCAAAACGTCTGAAGCTGAATGTTTTTGAACTCTGAATTTGACCAACTGTTAAACCTTGTTTTTCATGCACTTCTCAGTGGTAAAAATTAGACATCTAACTAAATTAAATAAGATACGAAATCATAGAAGCATGAAAAGAAGGTAGTTAGGAAGAACCAACAGGAGGTCACACAAAGGCCAACCTGAACAGGTGAATTAGTGAAATTCTATTGTTTTATATTTTGAATCTTGTTTTTTTGTTGTTGTTTAGGGAGTAGATTACTGATTTGGAGCGCGTATTTTTATTTTTTAAAGAGACAATGCATCTTTGATTTAGTGTGCAGCTCAAATCTGGAGCTACCAGCAGGAATGAATTAAATAACCTAAATATCTTGTGAATGACTCCCAGCATCCACATCAGATTTTTGCTGTGTCTGTAAATTTGTTACAGCTCCTTTGTGCTTTCCAATTTTTAATGATTTACTTGGTTTTAAAAGCTTAAATCTAAATCTAATAATAATAAATAATATCATTATTATACAATTCAAAATTCATATAAAATGAATATAGATATTACATATATAGAATTTGTTCCCGTTTTAAGTTCAAAACACAAATAAAAGTTGTGGAGACACGGTCATGGGAACACCAAGGACTATAAGCTTGTTGGGCAACCATAAAAGCTGTATGAACTCAAAAAACCTTTTAAATCATCTTATGCTGAAATTAAATTTTATTCATGAAATATCTTGAGTAGACTAACTAGTCTACATAACTGTGCAGCAGCAGAGGCACCCGTCTGTGTCATCTGTGTTTGGCCAGATGTGATAGAAGTTAAAGATCTTCATGACAACGTTGTCGAGGTCTTCATTCTCCCTGGTCTCAAATACACATGCAATATAGCCGTCACCAAGGTAAGCCATGTCTGAGAGGCCACTGGGTCCTCTGTTGATTATCCAGGGTTTAGTCCAGGCCTTTGGATCACATGGAGTTTTGTTCACATACACTCCCAACTCCACTCCAGAGATGCTGGGTTGGGTGAAGAGCAGCCACCTGTTTGGGGAGGGGCTTACATCACTTCCCATTGCAGTTTTATCTTTAACTGGAAAAGAGAGCAAACTTCCTGGACTACCTGTACATGTGTTGGCAAACTTCCCATCTTCTGATACGATAAATGTGTCTCCATTATCTTCACTGAAGGCTTCTACCAGTCTCCTGTCCTTGTTAATGGCATTGCAGTAGATGAACCTGCCTCCATGTCCCCAAACTTCCGCCATTTGACACTCAGCTGTGTTTTCTGGAACCAAGCTGCCAAGCTGCCAGCTTTTTCCACCATCGTCACTATACAGAGCGACTGCATGTGGAACAGGTTTGTCATCAGTGGGATTTTCATCTATGAAAGCAAAAGTCGGGATTATCAGTCGTCCATCTTCCGTTTGAAGGCCATGTCCTCGTCCGATTGCTAAAGCGATGCAGTTTTCAGGCAGACATACAGTCAGATGATTTACTTCACTCCAGCTGTGTCCAAAATTGTTACTTGTTATGTAGCATAGACGAGACTTGTAAAAGAGGTGTTCTTCATGAAGGTGTTCATTACTGGTGACCATGAAAAACAGGAAGAGCTTCCTGTTCTCCTCATCGAACATCGGGCAGGGGTTCATGGAGCTGTGTCCAGGAAGGCTGGCTTCTCTCACTATTTTCGTCTTGCACCACTGAAAAATGGATTGCATTCAGTAAATTGCTTCAAAACATACAGAAATAAACAGCCGACTGGAATAATTACCATTGGTGAAAAATTGCGACCTCTGTCAAACAAAAATATTCTCATAGCAAGCCTTCTATGCCGCCCAACAGCCGTCGTTGCGTTTGAAAAGACCAGAAGAATACAGCTGTCTTTATTGTAGACCATGGCAGGAGTCCTGTAGACCCAATCCTTAAAGACACTAATGCTCATCGCTGCTGTAGAAAATGATCGATCGGTCTGCAGAATAAAGGTTGATGATGGTCTGGCTTTAACTGATGGACTCTATGGAATGTTATTTAGGATTGTTTAAACTGAAATTCAGGTTTAAATCAAAACTTCTTTTCTAAGCTACCAAAGTTAAATTCCATTGCTTGTGGGAGAGAAGTTTAAACAAAAACAACTTCAGTTCCGTGGATTAGAGAATTTATTTTAATCTAAGATCATCTCATGTTGAAAGTATTTAGTGTCTTTTTTTTTGTCAAGTCTAAATCATGTGCAGTTTCCCACAATATTACAAGACCTGCTATAAACAGTGCTCAGAGTTTGTGACTCAGCTGCTGCCACACCAGTTTTTAGCCCAAGTATCTATAAAACTGACCTGAAATATTCAGGTCTAGCATGTCTGAAAAAGCCTTTTATATGTTAATAAATGCAAGTGTCACTATTATCTTGTGAGTGTGTCTTCTGCGCTCTGACCATAAGGAGAATTTTGCTGCAGAAGCAGACACAGTTCTTCTAACCAACAGTGAAGAGATGAGCTCAAATAAAAACACCCACGGCTAGTCAGCAGCACACATCCTCGTTTTCTCTCCGATGCACACATGTTGTGCAAGCTAGAAAGCAGCTGACCTTACAACAAAGCTGCACACTGCACTGAGGAGAGTGGGGTGACAGGATAGCAGAGGTGACAGCTCTTAGTCAGTTAGCAATGTGACTAACTCTCCTGGAAAAAAAGTCTGCATGACAGGAGCGGCGAGAGAACAAGACAGGAACTACAGGACAAAACGCCTGGAACGGCCGAACCACAGAGAGACCGCTGCTGAATTCATGCATCTGACATCATTAGGTGAGGACAGTGAGCAATAAAAGACTGATCGATGGGAAAAAGAAGCTGGAAGGTACTCTCGGTAAAAAGATCATCTAAACAGTTTACGGATCAATTCTTCAAACAGTAAGTTAAAAATAATTCCTTTGAAATTTGTGTGTGAGCATTTGAAGTTTACATATTTCATATTTTAATATTAGATACCTAAAGATGTTCAAGCCTTGCATTAAGTAAAGCCCATAGGTTGGGAGATGATGACCTCTGACCCTGCTGGCTGTGACATTTGAATCTCAGTGAAACCTAAGCTAAATTTATTAGCTTGGGAAAAAAGGAAAATCCATGGAAAACCATACTGTAGCAGACTCAGACTTGAAATCCAAGCCCCCATCAGAAAGGACAAGAGGTGCTGATGGGTTGATCATCTCTTAATGATTAGTTAGTTAAATTCTGTACAGAATCATCATTATGCTAATAATTCTTTCAAGTTTTAAATATGACTGTTTCGGTATGAACAAAAGAGAAACTCATGCTGATTTATTTTTTTCCTTTTCTTGTCCACGCCGTTTCCAAACCAACACCATGCTCGTGTTTTATTTAATCTTGCTACGGCGTCATATGCAACTTCAACACTAGTTTAAGCAGCAAATATTATTCAATGTTAAATGTTGCGGCTGGAAGAACAATACGTTAGTTTTGTTTATTCCGATTTTGAAGCTTGTTTTGCAGACATGCCTCTATTCAGCTGGATGAAATGGTCGCATGAGACGAGACAGCAGACTACGGGTGAAGCACAATCTCTGGACAGCTCGGGGGGTGTGCCCAGCTGTATGTTGATCACAGAGCTCCTGTGGCACATTGAGGAACGTGAACGGCTGGCAAGACAACTGGAGCGAGAGCACAGGCTGGCTCACAGTGCCCTGGGTCTCCGCTGGTTTCAGAAATACCCCCGATTACGAACCCTCATTCCCTCATCGGAGCTCCACCAGCTGGAGTTCCTGTGTGCCCAGATCCCACCAATCTACACAGCAACCGTCCTCTCCAGGTGTTTAGCCTTGCTCCTTCTTCACATTAGTATGCCGTCAACAGTGCCTGACTTCTTCTACATCAACACTGACAACAAACACAGCAGAGAAGACCCAAAGGGAAAGGGAAGAAAGCCATTATGCGTTACTGTCACAGGCAGTGTTAACATGTGAAGGTGAAAGGCGCCCTGATAGGGTTTAGACTGCTGGACTTTCCACGCAGCTGTTTGTCAGTGAAAAAAATAAACATGGCTACATGGCTGAGCAGCACTGTGACCCACTTACTTATTACCCAGAAAACTCAATTCCAGGTCATTACTGTGTATTTACATAACCACAAAACCAAGGAATAACATCCACTGAGCTGTAGGTTATAATGTTTTTGTACCATTTCCATAAATCTGCCCTGTTGTCCCAGATATGTCATTCTGGACTTCACTAGGCGAGCAGCAGGAACAGCAGATACATCTTGACATTTAGTTTTAGGTAAATACAGAAGAATAAAATCCCCGAGTTAAAATAAATTACAATTATTTTATCAAAGTCCTTTTGTCAGATCATGATAAATTAACTATACTGATGCATACTTCTGCAGGTTTCGCGAAGTGATTGCCACAAACAACGTAAGGCCCTGGGAGCTTGCAGCCGTCTTCAGGCAAGTCCTGATCGACTTCCTGAACCTAAGTGTATACAAAGAAGAGGACCACCACTCAGTCCAGCAGAAGCAGGTCAGACCCATGGAGGTTTGGACCAGCCGCTACAGAATAAAGCAGGGCTTTGTCACGCCCACAGTGCCAAAATGTGGAGACCACCAAAGAGAGGAAATCCCAACAATCTCTGGATACGTGGATCGAGCCATGCGGGATTCAGGTTCATTCACACCCAACAAGGTCTGGGACCTTCCATATTATTATCCTGGGCTTCTCAGACCCAAAGATCCCTATAGTAGAACAACACTGTGACAAGATACACTCATCTTAAAAGGTGTGATCTTAACCCCGGCTTTCCATTGGACAGATAAGCAGCCTTTAACCTAAGAGATGGGAGCATTTCAGATGGAAATCTGTAGCAAAACTATTCCATGCAACTGGTCCTGCAAGGTCACAAAATCATTGGAGAATTGCAAAATTTTGCATGATTTAAACAGTTCACGCAGTAACAAGGAGAAAGACGGAGGCATGGTCTGTGGTTTGTCTGTTCTGTTTACCTCGTCATCACGTTTGTTTTGTTTTTAACTAGTTAAGCTACTGGAAATCTGAACGTGTCTATTATTCTGAAAGTTGCCAGATGTTTTACACTTCTCCCATGTTAAGATTTCCCTTCTGCCCTAAACTGCTGAGCTCGACACATTATGAACGTGTAGCGCACAAAAAAAGTCCCAAAGCGAGAGAAAAACATCTGTCAATGCGTGTTCGTCTCTCCCTTGTGGAGCTGACACAGAAGCAAAAACTAGGCTGGGAATGTACTTGCTGTTTAACCTTGCATTGATGAAGGCACCATGCTTTTTCCACATACATACTGCATGTAGTACTGGAGGATTCCACTAGGGGGGCAAACCACATAACTGATAATAGTGCAAAATTTGTAAGGTAAAAACAAACATGGCCACAATTCAAATCCAGTTCATTTATAAAGCACTAATAAAAAATTACAAAGTGTAACAAAGTGCTGTAATATAAAAATATACATAAAGATAAGTAGCGATACAATGGCAACAAGACAATGCAAATCACAATAAAATCAAGCTATTTCAGTCAAAAGCAATACAGAATAGGAGTCTTCCGGCAAGACTCAAGCACTGGGTGAGTCAGCCCACTATACATTTATAGACAACTCATTCCACAACCTGGGACCAATGACTGAAAAAGCTCCATCTTCTTTATTTTTGCGTTTAGTCAGAGGAACCACAAGCAGCCCATGCTCAGCTGATCGAAGAGACTGCAAAGGCGTTTGTGACGTCAGCAGTTTGGACAGGTAGCATGGGGCTAAATCATTTTGACTAGTGGTGCACCGATATGAAATGTTTGGGCCGATAACGGTATTAATATCACTGTTGTGGCTGATAACCATATTTGCTGATACAATATACTGACATTAATCCTTCTAAAATCAGCAGATTTAGTACAGAATGAAAATTATTAAAGCTGAATTTACGTTATGTACAGACACAACATATATTTATGCTTCTGAGATGATTACAATCACTGTCACATGACTAAACAAATACACAGCACCCCCCTCACCTTCTGAAACTAATAAACAAATGGAAACAAGACGGAAAAAATATTGGTTGTTAATATTGGGTCAGTTCTATTTTTCGGATCAATACGATGTTAAAAAATGACTAACATCGGCCAATACCAATTTTGATGCATACCTAATTTTGACATTTAAAAACAAATAACAAAATTTTAAAATAAATTCAGTACTAGGACTGGTGAAATATGGTAATGCTTCAGAGTACCAGTAAAAAGATGCACCGCAGCATTCTGGACCAGTTGAAGGCATGAGCTCAAGGACTGGCCGATGCTCGAGTACAGGGCATTACTATAGTCGTTTGAGGTCAGCAGACAATTGAAGAGATCAGCAGCTGGTTTATTTTGAGATCACAACAGACAAAAAGACAGCAGTAGTATCGTAAATAGTATGAAAGACAAGTAAATCAGAGATGTGGTAATGGTGAGTACGTCTCACTCGTTCCGTCAACCCCATTCTGGTTACTCTCCAATTGCAGCTTGTGAACGTGTTGCAAACAACTCTTCAAACAAACGCAGGTTTCATGAGGCACCCTTGGTAAGCACACGTCCGCATGGTTAAAAGCAAGTATATCCAAAGCCTTACGTTTCCAGTGAAAAAGCCAGGATGTTCACAAGGTCACACAAACAGCAGTTATTGAAAACTTTTGCAAACATGTGAAAAATATGTTTTATCCCAATAAATATTTTTTGTCTTCTACAATCTATTCCTCATTTAAAGCTTCTTTCCGGAGTATTTCTCTTATCCGATGGCACCATCTAGTGGCTGACAAGCATATCACACAAAAACTCTGTTTTTTTAAGATGGCGACTTCACATTTCTGTTTATAAATGTGCTTCTGTAGCCGACAAACAGCTAAAACATGCCGTTTTACAAGTATTACTCTCATGTCATGCTGTGTTCTCATATATTTATATTTTAGAGACTTTCTTGTCCATGAAAAGTTCATCAACTCTGCATCAGCCGAGGTATTACTTAAATTTGAAGCACGTAAGCAGTAGTCTAACGCTATTGGTTAGTTCTGGACGGAGCTTGGTTTCCTATTGCACGGAGTTCTGCGGGGAAGTGGGTGTGCTTAGCAAAAACAAAAGACGCATCGCTTACATTTTATCACAGTACATGATATCGCTTTTACGGATTTCTGACAAATCATGCATAATTTCTGAAAGGGGAAAACTCCGGAAAGCAGCTTTAATGAATGGTTACTGTGGTTCGGACGATAACTGGCTGTAAAAATCCCATAGGCTACTGATTGAAGAAATTGTGATTATAGTTTGTGCAAAAGCTATTCTGACAGATATTTATATTGTGGTCATCTTTAAAATATAATAAATCAAATATTAAAAGAATAATGTGCATAGTGGATTACCTCATGCCTTTTGAGTGTCTTTTCATTCTTTTCTTGTCAGTAAATAAACATTTGACATCTTTAACACATAATGTGCAATCTTCTCAATCCAGCGGCTATGTAAGAGCAACTTTAAATTAACTTGTTAACATTACCCAGTGCATTTCTCTCACTTATAAAGTAACCAGCAGGCTAGAATGACAATGGAATAAAATTAATTTAAAATGTAGAATGTTTATTGTATGTAGATGGATAGATAAATACCTGCAAGACTATTATTAAAATAATTAAACATTGCATTTAGTTAACACTTTTACAAGTTGACAAAAATGTAAAAATAAAATAAAATAAAAATAAATAAATAAAAAACATTTGAGTCCAGATAGCTCAAAGTTATTGAAAGAATAACGGGTGGCAACTACTTCAGAAAACAATACATTTCAGTTTAAAGGTTTTAAGATTGCAAAAATGCAGTTTAATATAAAAACTAATTCTCATACAGTATGAGTAGTTTATAGATGTTCCATTAGCGCAGGGGTGGGCAATTATTTCTTCCATGGGGCCACATGAGAAACAGAAAATATTGTGGAGGGCCAGGCCAAAAGGCTGAAGTCAATTATGCATAATATTAATGGTATTTCTTCATAAAAAGCAGTAAATACCATTGTTTTTTCAAGCTGGTAAGAGTAGACTATATATTATAAATGAGCAAAAAGGAAAAAGTGAGGTTGACTTACAAAAATATGATTTATTCAAATTTCCCAAGGCAATGGTAAACAAAGTGTGCGCATTTGGTTTTTGTTAAACATTTGTGACTTATATTAGTTAACAGTTTCAGTCACATTCACTCCAAAACACATTGAGTTTCAAATATTGTTGGAAAGAGGTTCTTAGCATTCTACAGACACACAGTATTGTCTGTAAAATAAAATCACTGAACTGCGATCTTGGGAAAGAGGTTTAAAAAAAAGTGTCCCAGTTCACTGCTAGTTGCCTACATTTTTGGTCCAAACACCTTACTTTGTGTTTTTAAGCAATTTTTTTCTTATTCAGAGAGAGAAATCTAGTCTCTGCTGGGCTTTAACGAGTGCATCAAAGTCAGGTTGAATGTCTGAGGTGGAGATGCGAAGCACAGCTGACAAATGACCATCAGTGAGAGAGGATCTTTACCTGGATTTTGTAAACTTCATCACTGAAAATGTTTGTTCACAAATGTAGGTAGAGCCGAAGAGAACCAACATCTTCTGAGCATGTCTCCTCAGGTTTGGAAAGTTCTCCTCCTTAAGAGTAGAAATCCAGCAGAGATCCTGACTTAAAGTGCTCTGCCAGTACTGCATCAGACTGCAGGTCAATGAGTTCCAGCTGCACATCACTGGGTGCATTATCCACACTGCAGATAAAGGGAGAGGAAATCATGTGCATTTCATCCTCGATTGTTCTGAGATCTTCAAAACGCCTTGAAACTCACCATGTAATGCTCCTAACATGGATGAGTACCTGCTGAGGTGATCAGCTGATGATGTGACTTCGTTCAGGGTTTGCATGTGAGTGAGAGTGATGCTCTCCAGTTGACTTGAAAGAAACTGCAGCTTTCTTATGAAGGCCTTCACGAGGCTGTGCATTTCATGAACAAAAAGGCCCTTGCCTTGCAGTTTGGTGTTCAGTTCATTCATCAGTGCAGTCACATCAACAGCAAATGCAAAATCTGCCATCCAATCCTCATCTGAGAGCTCTGGAATGTCTTTGCCTTTCCTCTCGCAAAACTCTCGAATCTCTGCTTTCAAGTCCCAAACCCTCTTCAGCACTTTCCCCAGCCTGAGCCATCTGACAGCTGTGTGGAGTCCTCCAAAAGAGCGACAAACTGTGATTCATTGCCCGTGCCCTGATGAAGTTCATTACTTTAGTAACAACATCAGTAACATGGTTGATTTTTAGCACTGACTTGCACAACACATGTTGGTGTATAATACAATGCAAAAACACCAATTTTTGATCTGCATCGATTTCTGTCACTTTATCTTGCATGCGTTTCAAAAGTCCGACATTTTTCCCTGTAAGATTTGGACAACCGTCTGTTGTGACACCTGACAGTCTCTCCCATTTCAATCCCAGAGTGTCCATGCACGCATTTACCTCTGTAAAAAGATCACTCCCTGTCGTTGTCCCTTTCATCGACCGCATTGCTGCCAGCTCCTCTGTGAGCTTGAAGTCCGTTATCCCGCGGACAAATACAGCAGCTGGGCTGTGTCGCGGACATCACAGCTCTCGTCTAAGGCCAATGAGAAAAAGTCAAAACTTGCCACTTCACGTTGCAGCTGAAGCTCCAGGTTCCCCGCAATGTCCTCGATCCTCCTGGTCACGGTTCGCCTGGACAGCGGGATTTGCTCAAATGCGCCTTTTTTTCAGGGCATATTAGTTCGCGGAGTCCACCATGCACTCTTTGACAAACTCTCCCTCCGAAAACGGCTTGCTGTTTTTAGCTATTTTGTGGGATATCACAAAGCTGGTCCTGGTTGCTGCATCCCTGGATGTGTGAAGCTTAGTAAAAAAAAGCCTTGCTGCTTTTGCAACTTTGCTAGCAAAGCTTCGGATGTCCTTGCCCTCTCAGCATCAGACAAGTTCTTGTATTTTTCCGAGTGTTTCTTGTCATAATGCCGACTCAAATTGTAGTCCTTAAACACGGCAATCTCCTCCCCACAAACCAAACACACGGCTTTACCTCCGACTTCAGTAAAAAAAAAAACTTAGTCCAATTTTTGTTGAAAATCCTGCATTTGGCATCTTCTTTTTTTTTCTTTGCATGAGCGGACATTTCTGGGGGCTACAATCACGCAACCGCGGGCACTTGTTGCTATACGTATTGCGTCATTGTGCACGTAAAAAACAACTTCAAAATAAAAGCAATGCAGCCTTAGTCCATGCATGAGGTAAAAATGAGAAAATACATTTATTTTGTAATTTCCAATTAACCTTACGCGGGCCGGTCAAAGTCAACCAATGGGCCGTATGTGGCATGCCCAGGTTTGCATTAGCGCCTGGTTTTCTAGAAATTAAAACCTTGTTTTCAAAAGTGTAGCATGGATTGGTGGTGTTCTACCCATAGACATGTATATAAACATGTGTTTATATGTTTATATAAACACATGTTTATTTACAAATCCACAGTTCTACCCACCAATGTAGTCAAATTGGTATTGCACATGCGCAGATTGAATTGAAGTTAGCTCAACACCACCTCATGGTGTGGTGAGCCGAACCAAAAAAAAATTAATAATAAAATAAAACATATCCACGAAGGGTTTTTTCTAAGGTAAATTGTGATTCAAGGCAAATATTTCCATTCATACTTTAAAATTAAATAATATTTTTCACTAAAATTTGGCAAACACTTGTAATGACTACAACAAAATCAGATACAGGTTTTCAGATGTACAATTGTTCAAAACAGCATTTAAACGTTAACTTTATACCACGCCTGTCGCTCGTTTTGAAAAAAAAAGTCAATGTCGCCATGTTTCTGTGGCTGCTTCGATTTCAAATTAGCTTATGGTGACAATTACGCTAACCGCTAACTTTACTACCTTTCTTTCAACGACGGCCCATCATTCTTTCTTCCTGCAGAGTCTTCAATAAGTTTGCTGCTCCCAGAAGTGGGCGAGGTGGGGGTGAACCAATTCGAAATTTGTTCAGCAGTGATAACTTTCTCCATGGTGCGACCAGAGCTGGGTGAGACTAGAATGGTGGTTCGCACCTTGCCACGTGCCGGTGCCACGGATAACAAAACTAGTTTGCTTTCGTCCCATAGGCGCGCGCGTTGCCCTCTAGTGGTCGGACTCAATATTGCAACTACAACTGATTAGGCTGATCCCCATAAGAGCATTCAGCATGGTATACTAAAACGGATGACATAAACTTTAAAAACTCTAATGTGAGGATGTTTTTGTTCTTATTTATCTAATGTATGAGCTAAGTAAGGGTTTGTCATTCATGGCTGATTTAGCAAACTCAAGCCTTTTGTTTTCCTATGTTAATATTTAAAGTAAGGTTAGGCAATTAATCAAAAATGTATCATTATTGAAATTTCTGACTCTTATCAAGATAATTATTCCCATGTCAATAAATTTGATAATAAAAAAAATGAAAAGATGTGCGTAGGTTGGCAACGTTCATGTCCCTCAATACATGTGACAGCCTAGAGGACAACTTTTGTTTCTGCACATACATGTAGTTATCGTCCATTTATCGTTATCGAGGTGAACTTCTCAATATATCATACTGATTTTAGGCCATATCGCCCAGACCTAATTTAAAGGTTAAATTATTCTTCCCACTGTTTTGATTCATTTCTTGAAACAATGTATGCTGTTTTTTCAACAAAATCACACAATCACCTCTACTCAAAGCTGACCACTAAAAAAATTTAATAGTCTTTTTTGAATAAGGAGAACAGTTCAGACAAAAGCAACAGGGAAACCAAATTCTACAACCTGAGATAAAAAGGAATAATGTCCAAATGTACCTACAAAGTGACCAAGTCCTAATGTTACATTTCCATCACAAATATGAATATGTTAGGCTCAGTCTAATTTGTAAGAAAAACCATCACTACCATCATCAACAGTTTATTCACCAGTAACATTTAATTTACATGAAAAAGACAGAACAAAAATCAAATATGAAAATATGTCTTTATATCAAAAACTATGAAAAATAAAAATTGGTTTCTTGCCAAGAGTTCAGTCCCACTTGAGGTTTACATGGTCTCCATCGGTGAGCATACAGAGCTCTCCCGCATTAGGCTAATTTCTGCTCTGAGCTTCTCGTTTTCCTTGAAATCACATAAAAGGGACAAAGTTAATTAACATGATCCATGCTTGAATTTCATACTGCCCCAAATAAGTAGATCAAACAGAAGAATCCTTACTCCTTCAAGTCTGGTGTTTTCCTTTTTCAGCTTAACCAGATATTCAATCCTCTGTTTGTGGTTCTTGTGTCCAACAAGTTTCCCGTTCTCCTCAGAAAGCTTTAGATTCTGCTGACGGAGCATCTCATTCTCCTGCAGAAAAGAAAACTGTGTTATTGTTGTTTTAAACCGGTTTTTGGGTTTCTGTTAAAGGACAGCCGAGCTCCAGTGCACTAACTGAAACGACTAACACCAGCTGAAAACGTCAGAGGGCAAAAGGGCTGATGTCTTCTTTTTTATTTACAAATCAGCGACTTTTAGGTTTATGTCGAGCAACTTTTAGTTGAAGCGGGTCAGTTGTGCACTCAAAATTTCCTTTTCTCACCTGGAGTAGTTTCTCCTCATCATAAATCCTCTGGTTGATCTCTCGTAGCTCCAGACAGCGGTTCCTTAGCTCAGTGGTCAGCTCATGAACACAGGTCTGGGACTTGGCCAGAGTGGTTTCCTGCTCCTGCAGCCTAACCGGCAGGAAAACACCAATCAGCCTCAAAGGTGCTCGTGTATTTTACCTCAAAGGCCACTAAACTAACCTATACAGGTGCTCACCTCTTCTGAGTCTCAAACAGTTTCTGCATTATTTTGTTCTGTTGATAAATAACAACACAGAAATTGGCGTCATCATTCAAAAGTAAACAAGATGAGCAGAGAAGCAGATACGCACCTTCTCAGACCGTTCCTCATGCAGATCTTGCACCAAAGTCTGATTTATGGCTTCATGAAGCTCACTGAAAGACAATTTTATCCATTTCACTTGTTTCACGTGTTATAAAATGAATTGAAGTCAAATTAAACGAAGGGATCCAACCTTTTACTAGTATTGCTGTTATTCCTGGGCTCTGTGAGCTGACTCTGTTTGGTGTAAAACGTGTCTAGTAAACCCTGGATCTCCATCTGGACAACCTCCTTGTCAGCCAGCTCCGTCTGAGTTAGAAATAAAATTAAAATATAATTCTACTTTTCCAGTTTTGATGTTTAACATTTGCGCTTGCCTTCAGCCTGTGGATTTCCTCGTTCTTTGCGGCCCTCTCCGCGTTCAGCTCTGCCAGAAGAATCTCCATGCTCATCATGGAGGAGCGTCGGCTCTCCAGCTCCTGCTCCTGGCTCTCCAACAAGTCGTTCAGGTTTCTGTTGAAGCTGCCGAAACCACGAGGAGTCTTAAAGAAAAAGAAAAGATGTATAAGATTCCCCCCGATGCATTCCGGGAGCAAAAAACATTCTGATGCTGAAATAAAAGAAGGTTTGATTCATAAAAACAAAGTTTTTACCCGATCCAGGGATTTAGGTGTGACGGTACTCTCAGGGGGTTTAAAATCTCCATTTCTGATGGTTTTCTCAACAGCTTCTTGTTGTTGTTGCACCTGGAATGAAACAAGTTTAGAAAAAAGTGAATAATTGCTTCTAATGTGACACCAAATCCATTTTAAAATCTATCTTCACCTTCTGCTGTAGGCTCCTTATGATGGCCTCCTTCTTAGCCGTTTGCTCCTGAGATGTTTGGAGGAGGATGTTCTGCTCACCTAAGACCTTAGTCAGCCTGTCAACCTCTTCGGTGGCGTACGCGACCTCCTCCTGCAGCACCTCCACCTCCAGAAAAACATTCATTTTCATTACAGCAGAAATGGAGAGATGAATAGAAGTCTGTTCTCTCTTGTCTCAGGGCTAAAGAGAATGTGGTGCATCAACAAACCAAATTAACCAAAACATGTTGGATGTTTAAAGGACTTCACAAAAATGTAAAAACAAACTACCTCAATCTTGTTAGAGGTCATTTTTCTCTCTAAAGTTTCCTTCAGTTCACAGATTTCTGTCTGAATCTTTTGGTTTTGCTCCCTGGTGTTTTCTCTCTCACTGCAGGCAGCATCATATTTAGCCTGGAAGTCAACAGAATTATTATTATTATTATAAGCTTGGTGCTTTATACGGTGCATTAGAGGGCAGGTGACTTACCATCGTGTCTCTGATGTCATCACTCAGGTGGATAATGGTCTCCTCCTTCTGGCTCAGCTCACTACGAAGGTCTTTGGTTTGGTTCATGAGGTCTAAAAGAACATCCTGTTGGAAAAATACAGTAGAAAGTATTTCTAAAAGGAACAGATGTAATGACGTCCTATTTGAAGATATATATATATATATATATATATATATATATATATATATTTTTTTTTTTTTACCTTATCCTGTTTAATCTTCTGTTCCAAGCTTGTTATCGTTTCACTGGCAGCGGTTAGACTCTGCTCAAGTTCGGTGAGTTTGGTTGACTTTGAAATAAAAATAAAAACAAAAACAACCAGGTTTAACGACGGCATTGCAACTGAAAACCTGGCAATTCTTTCTGATCTGCATATATGTATGTATGTATGCATATGTGTGTGTGTGTTGTGTCCCGACCTGCTGATGATTTTGTGCTGTCATGTCTGAAACTTGTTTTCTGAGCTGTGCGTTCTGATCCATGGTTTCTAGAAGCTCTCTGAAGGAAAAAGGATCAATCGTGTAAGTTTTATGGTAAAAGGAGAACTTCAAAAGTGTTTTATTAATAAAACAAATCCAGTATTTAAACTGTGAAGAACTCACTTCGAAGTGCTTTCTTTGTTTTCTCTTAACTGGGAAATCAGACTGCTTGTGCGCTCTCGCTCAGCTTGCAGAGAATGATTCAAATTCTAAAAGAAAAAGAAAAATCAAAGGGCCAGAGTCAAAAAAACAGGTATTTCTAGACTAGACTATATTTTACTTCCTCTACCTGTATATCTGCTTTCAGCTGTTCTATCTCCTGCTGCTTGTCACACAGCTGCTGACCGGCCTGGTCGGCATCAAACTTGGCTTCGGCTTGGAGCTGGTCGAAGGAATCCTGCAGGGTTCGGTTTTGTTCCAGAAGTTGTTCCCACTCCAGCCTAGAAAGAGCATTTAGCCGATTTTAGCACAAACCTACATCATACCCACAACAGACACGTCACACTGTTCATTTATACTTACTGGACTTTGTCCAGTTGGAGCTGAGTGCTGATCAGACTGTTGGAGAGCTGACTCGCTTCTTGCTGATGTTCACTTTGATCGTCTTTTAACTGGTTTTTCACAGACGCCAGCTCTTTGTCTGACGACTGCAGCAGCAAGCGCAGATCATGGATTTCGCTCTTCAGAACTGAATCAAGAGGAAACAGCGGTTAGGGTCAAAACAGGACATTCACTAACCAATCAGAGCCTCACCTTCTGCAGCTCGCTGTTCAGACTCAAGCTTCTCCTGCAGGCCGCTCATCTTTTCTTGGAAGTTGAGCTGATCTTTGTTTCTGTTAGCTCGTTCGGCAGAAAGCAGCTGCATCAGGTACAGACCGTTAGCAGCTAGCATAAACACACAGCATCATTACATCTGAATAAACTCTACCTCCTCTTTGTGGTCACATTCTTGGGATTTCATGGCGATCTGCTCCTCGAGTTTTGCAATCTGCTGCAGCAGCTTGCTGTTCTTCAACTCCACTTCATCTAAACGTGTTTGGACACAACTCGCTTGCTCCTGAAGAGCAAAAGCTGATGTCAATAGTTGGTTTTTTGTAGTAAAGGGACAATCCGCGCTCCATTACCTGAATTTGATGCAGCTCTTCTGTCAGGGCCATCTCAGTCATGTCAGATGGGGGCTCCTCCGACCAAATGTCAGCCTCGTCATTCCCGTTCAGATGTTGTGGACTGGAGAGCGGCACAAGGCGGGAGCGCAGGTTGTAGGATTTGGTGGGCGTAGAGAGAATCTAGTGTAACGGCAAAAAACTGCATCAACGTCTAATCGCAACAAGCAACGAATGCCTCCGAGATGAAAACGAGCTCACCTTTAGAGTTTCAACGTGAATCCTGTTCAGCTCAGAGACTTCTTGATTTTTACAAGCATGCGTGGCTTCTAAAATATTTTCCAAATGCTTGTTGGACTTTTCAAGGTATCTTTTCTCGGACGCCAGTTGGGATAACTGTTTCCTAAAACACAAGATGACAAAACAAAACTGTAGCCCAGGCTAAAGCCAGCCGTCACATTCACCATTTATCACAGACTTTGACTTTAAATAAACATTTTATCGTTACTTTGAAACTTCTTTGTACTCCTCAAAAGCCTGGAGGGCAGCCGTGAAGTCGGACTGTTTCTGAAGCAGTTTTGAATTCAGCTTTTCGATCGTAGCTGTAGAATCAGCGTCAGTTCCCAGTGCAGATGACATGGTTGTGCAAGCTGTGGAGCAGCATGCGACAGTCACACGTAAATGTAAACAATATTTAACTTTGCAAGAGTTTTTTTTCCTAATGTCATGATGATAATCTTACTTCCTGTGAGTTTTTCTGACTCCAGTGCCATCTGGAAGGCCTCCTCCAGCTCAGCGGAAACTTGGGCACAAACATCTTCAGCGTTCATCACGGATTCAAGAGAACGTAGCATACGGTTCTCCTCTCTGAGGCTGTAGTTTTCTGCTGCATATCGAGTCATCTTAGGATGATGATCAACCTTATAGTGCAGAGGAGGGAAATCGATTTCAGATGTAACTTTAATCTGAGTTAAAAAAGACTTAAGAAATTAGAAATAAATCAAAGAAAATGTTTATTTTTTACCTGATCGCTCAAGATCTTGATCTCTTTTTTCAGCTGCTCTATCAAAGCCTGAGACTCTACGTCCGACAACAAGCATTGTCCTGCCTTCAGCTTTTTCTCTAGGCGGGAAATGTGTTCTTCTCGAAACCTGATGATCATCCTGCTGGAGTGGATGAACTTGTCTTTCTGCGTCCAGGCTTCTTCCAGTTGCGCCACCTTCTTCAGCAGCATCTGAGTGCAATCACAAAGCTGTTGTGTAACTTCCTATGAATGCTAATAAAAATAAATAAATTAACCCCCTTCACCTTCTTCTCATCCTCTTGCTTCCTCCACAGACGAACGGCAGACATTAACTTTGCTTTATACGAAACATCATGTTGAAGTTCAGCTGATGGACCTGATGAGAGAATTTTAAAATAATAAACTCATAGCCAAACCTCAGCTCTAACACAGATAACATTTAACAAATGTTTGGTATAGGTAAAGTAAATAGTTACCCATGCAGGGTTCAGATCCCCCTGGTGCTGCGTCTCTATCAGAGTCCACTCGGTGAAAAGACAACGCCTGCGCAAGCTGATCTTTCAGTTTCCTCACTTCAGCTTGCAACTGCTTCACATTTCCCTGTGTGTCCTCGTTAATGACAGCCTGTAAAATAACAACAAGGTAAAACAGCAACTGCCAGAATCTTAAACCAAAACATTACATAGAGGATTTAATAAAGCACACCTTGTTTTTGATCAGCTTGGCTCTCTGAGCAAACTGCAAGGTAGACAACGTTTCTCCAAAACACTTTGAACCAGGGTGGACATTAGCTATGATGTAGGTCTTAGCATTTCCTCCGAGAGAGTCCTGACGTAACAGCAAAGCCACACTTGTTCAAATTTTCTACATAGATTCCCCAAATCTGACGAAGGACAATTTCATTTTGATCACTTACCCGGAGCAGGAAGGTGAGTTTAGAATCCCTGTAGCAAATGTGGCGGTGCTTTCCATTAGACACATCCACCAGCGCCATGATCACCTGGCCCAGGCACATGAGGGAGCGATTGATGCTGCTGGCTTCCTGCAAAAGAAGTCATTCACACAGCAACTGTTATAAGCTGAAAGAAATGATTGCAAAGACATTGCAGCAAAGCTTGAGCATTCACACATAAAACTTTACCTTGAGTCTCGATCCCTCCGTGTGTGTGTCTTTCTGTCTCTCGGATCCTGCCAGATCCACAAGATTCAGCTGAGACATTCGGATGTTCACCACCTCATTGACAGATTCTTTGGACTCCAAAGTCATGCTGAACACAGCGTGAGATCTTGAGGACTCGCGGTTCATGGAGGTGGAGGCCACACGCCGATTACGCCAGCCCATAGACAGCACCTACATGGTCGCAAATGTAAGGGTTTACTTATAATTGGGATCTGACACAATAATAATCTAATTTTACAGAGAGTAAAACATGCAGTCACTATGGATCAGTGGTGTATAGTATACCTTGTAGGCTTCAGCTGCTGAGTTCACAAACTTCTCCACAGCTCCTTCAACAAACACACCTTTCTTAATGTTCTCCCTCAGGAAAAGGCTTGCCGAAGCTGTGTCCAGAAGATCATAGATTTGTTCGTTGTAAATTTCAATAAATGAACATTTGCAAAGGAAGCTCTTGGACTTGGAAGACTATCGGGAGAAAAGGAAAGAAACACAGGATTTATTAGAAAAATCAATAAAAAAATATTGGTTTGAATATTTTTGATGAAGAAACATCACAAATCACCTTCTCCACTTCTCGGTTGATGAGAAAAAACAAGTACTCAAAACTTCGTGGAATTACCCCCCTGAATTCATCTGTGAAGTTATCAAACTCAGACGGTCCTGCAGCGAGGGTTAAAAAAAATATCACTTAACTTTATTTTTTTTGAGAAAACTCAACTTTTGATTTTTGAGAAAACTATAAAATCTCACCAAGCATTGTAAACGTTTTTCCAGAGCCTGTTTGTCCACTGCAAGAAAAAAAGTATAATCAATGCTCAACATGTAAAACAAAGCCATCAAATTGAATATTGTACATAAAAATGACACTTACTAAGCAAATATGGTACCATTATATCCATTCATGCAGGACTCAACAATATTCTTGGCCACACTGTTGAATACAGACTCCTGGAACACAAAAATTAAACATTTTTCCCCAAAAAGTTTACATCCTATGTATGTATTTAATGCAATGACGGTGTTTCAAACCTGAGATGTCTCCATGTCAGCAACATGATCGTAGGTGAAGGTTCGTGGTTCTGGTTTGGAGAGCAGACGGACGGTGTGTGGGGAGGTAACAGAGAGACACAGATTCTGATCTCCATCTGTGGTCAGCCCTGTTCCCTGGGTCAGAGGTCGCACTCGGACAAATACTTTAATTGAATCACTGTCGCCACTGTAACATCAACAGATTATTTTCATAAAAAAATAGGATTCAAATTTTAAGAAAATTGCTAACAGTTTATTAGTTGAATTCATTCCTGATAGTTGCTTATAAAGCTGGTGATTGAAAGTATAAATGCTTCAGAAAAAAATAAAAACATTTGCATGGGAGCATTGCATTAGCTGTTACTAGAAGACACAATTATCATCTACAGTTTAGTTTTATTGCTACTTTTTGCATATTTAGCAGGGACAAAGAGCCCTAAAGGTACCTTACCTTGCAGCAAGGAGGGTTGAATCTCCAAAGCCTGGTAACAAAATGTTCAAACGTTCGTTAAATGACTTTTTGTAACTGACACTAATGAAAAGACAACACATGAATTGATCGCGCATCCTATGGTGCTAAAACTTTAACCCAAGGCAAATATTCAGTAGCTAGCTAAAAAAATAAGTAAGGAAACAACGAATGTCGGTATCAAGTTTAACTGACAGCATATTTGTTGATTAACCGAACATTTCACTACCTTTTCCAGTAGTTTGCATCGTTGTCTACGAAGAATTAATCGTTAAAAATCTATTTATACGTTGTTCACGTCACAGAATCAGAGACGGACGGACAACATTGTTTATGTTGTTCTTTAAAATTGGCGGGCTAGTCGTCTTCCCCAGAAAACTACCCGGTGTTACGCTGAAATGTGTCCGCTGTAAAATAAAAAAAAATGGAACTGTGTTCCCACCTTATTTCCAATAATTCATTCCCACCAACAACATTAAAATTTTGATGTTGGAGAGGAAAAAAAATATTTACATACGCACTTCATGCAGTAATGATAAATTTCCAAGTTATTATTATTATTATTATTATTATTATTATTAATCATCATCATGCCTGTACAAAATTCAAAATCATGTTTATACACAATAGTACAATGATGTCTTAGTGATCAAAACGACACACAACCATATAGGAAACGAGAAAAAGGGGGATCTGCTTACCTAGAAGTGATAAACCTAAAGGATTTTATTAGTTTAATCGTTTTTGTTAACTTCTTATTGCCCATTTTTAATTTTCTATGGAGGCCAGATAGAGTTTAAGATCAGTTTCTTTAAAATTATCTGGAGAAATTTCCAAGTAACCAAATGTGTAATAGTATGTTTTCACCGCCCAGTTGGACATTTTTCTTTGCTACAAAACAATCGATATGTTTTCCTTTGGCAATTTTTTAAAATGCAATCACTTAAAAGAAGATTGTGCAAAAAATAATAATAAATTCAGCTCACTGGAAGCTGAATTTTAGCATCTGGCCCATGCTGGAACTGGTCTAGGTAAAAAAATAACTACAACATCCACACTCTTCAAACCTGTACTGGATTATTCTACACTAATAGTGTAAAGGATTTTATCAATATGTTTATCAATAACCCGTTTCCTGTAGTCGAAGAGAAAAAGGAGACAATGAACAGACAAGTCAAACAGTTGTAACTGTGGCACAATGCACAAGGCAAAATGGCCCGAACATCTGGTCACAGTTTATTTATACCAAGAGATAAGAAAGGAATGTAAGTGAGAGAGAGAGAGAGAGAGAGAGAGAGAGAGAGAGAGAGAGAGAGAGAGAGAGAGAGAGAGAGAGAGAGAGAGAGAGAGGTGTGTGTGTGTGGTGTGTGTGTGTGTGTGTGTGTGTGGCTTGTGTGGGTGTGTCTGAATAAGTGGGCATGCAAAGAGGCAGAGAGCAATACATATTACATTCAGTTGATTGAATCAATGGTCAAGAATTAATAAACATACAAATTTCCACAACACATAGTTTGTGATTTGTGAAACCTTTTTCTGAATTGTGATACGTCCAACCAACTTTTTTTGTGATGCAGCACAGTTACAGAACATCCACAACTTAACTCAGATTTGTTTTAAGTTTGCATGTGGGTAAGGTGTCTTCACAATAAAATTGTCTTAATTAAAAACAAGAACAAATATCCACCCTCAAACTTGTGTTGAATCATGTTCCAGATAACTTCAGAGAATTGAACATCTCCCCAGTTCTGAGTTTCATGAGAAGCTGCTCTTTTTCACTGCAACAAATAAATTCAGTTGTCACAAACCTTAACATTCCAAAAGACATACAAAACAACTTTTTGTTGCAGTTATCTTTCAGTCACTCAAATTTTCTTACCTCTCTCCTCCATCTCACCATGCTCTATGTTTTCCAATGCCTCGCTTGGGTCAATGCATTGACCTTTTCTTGTGCTTTAATTGATGCCTGTGTTACATAAAACTGTTAATTAGAAAAAACTTCTCCCAGATTTAATGTGCTTTTAAATACCATGTATTCACATAATTCAAGTGTAATTTCCAATGAAATTTTTTTTATTTCAGACTCTAGTTTTTGAGCTAGTCCAGTTCCAGTGTGGACCAGATGCTAAAAAGTTTTCACAAATCACAAACTATATTTTATGCAGTCTGCTAGTAGTGTATAATAATAATAATAATAATAATAATAATAATAATAATAATAATAATAATAATAATAATAATAATAATAATAATAATAATAATAATCCAGTACAGGTTTGAAGAGTGTGGGTGTTGTAGTTTTTGAGCAGATGGTCAGAGTAGAGAAAAACTAGGTGTAATTGCCCTTTAGCCATGTCACGAATAGCATCTAACTTCAGCCTTGTCACAAGGAGCAGATGCTGGAATAAAGTTGAACAAGGCAACAATTACTCATCATTTATGGAATAAAAAAAGTCAGGCTGCTTTTTAAAGCTAGTTATTTTCTTCATTTCAACTTTGTTCATAATTTGATAGGCTATAATGGGCATGTTTCTATTTCGCTTGTAAGCAAAAACAAAAATGAAAATTATTTATTTTCTACTGTGAAGATAAATAAAAAAAATACTTGCAGGTGTGTTTGTTTGTTAATTTAATATTTTTGTACAAAAGTGTCATGGAATATAGTAAGACGAACATTTTGATGACTTCATTAAAAGAAGAGAAATACTTTTTTAAAAGCCATATTATTTGACTAAAATGTTATAAATGTAAATGCCTAAACGCTCTCTTTTGGCTGAGATGACAGTTGCGTCATATCCGCTGTAACTTCTCATTGGCTGTTTAACGCGGAAGCGCCGTTTGTTTAAATTCGACTGTTAAATTCCAAACGGCTGTCTCACAGACGCTGGCGAGGGCTTTTCAAAAGAATTTCTGCTTTGCTCGGTTCAGTGGAAAACTTTAGCGAGAAACGGTGCAATTTCAGACAAGAATAAGTGAGTTGCAGGTAAGTAGTCCCACAGACACACGGGTAGTGCGAATGTTCTCTTTTTGGATCTTTTCCGTGTTTAAAAGTGAAGTTGAGCTTTTGTTTTCCGTCTCTGACCGTTAGCTTACCGATTGCTAACTATGCTAAACACTGGGCTCTTTCCCCTAAATTTAGCAAATAAATAATATTTATATGGCACATTTCAAGATTAGAATTACGACGTGCTTTACAATTAAACAAACAAAATAACAATGTAGGCTATAAAAACGAAGTTTATTAAATAATGGTCACGATTGGGTGCCGATTTTTGATTTAGCGCTGTAGGTAACCGTTCATAAAATAGTCTACTGGTTAACTTTTACACCAAGTAAGAACTTTATGATTAAATTGTTCTCTCTGTATAGAAATGATTTTTCTTCTACTTCTTCTGTTGAGCCACAACGCAGTTTGTCATCTCATATTCGTTGTGTGTGTGTGTGAGAGAGAGAATCATACTGGTGGTTTATATGGTATAATTGGGGAAAAGTCTGGAGGAAAACAAATTTTGAGTTTATTCCTAACTTTCCTCATGGATTGAAAATTTGACAAAATTTGCCCAGGATATGAAAAGTAGATTAAACACCTTTTTGAATTTCCATAAACCTATGTGTTTTCTACAGAGACTGTAGGAGAGTTTTTTTTCTGATTAACATTTTTGACTACAGATTAATGTGATCATCAGTGCCATCTTGTGGTCTTGTTGTGCCACTGCTTTGTTTTCAGCTGCAGTTGATTAGTTTTCAACTAAAAGTTGCCCTGATTGGGGCAAAATCTAAATATTAGACAACTTTCTGACAAAATATTTAGTTATATTAACCAAAAAATGAAAATATGTACCACAGATTTACTGACCTCAGTCCACAAGTCAGTGGAGTGCAGTCACATGTGCCTCGATTCCTGAACAAATTATGTATTTTTTTTTTCCTAAGGTCACATGAATTGCTGAACTGAGTAGAAGTCTTATCAACCGAGGACAGCTTTCAGCATGGCCCCTTCCCACCAGAGTGTAACTAATCTGTCCCTGCCCTGTAATTTTAGTTAGTTTCTCCTCTTTTACAGAATGAATTCTGTCGACATAAATGATGAGAATTGTGGGGTCATACCAGCAGGAAAGCACAACGATTCTAGTCTAGATGTATTTGCCCTGGAACAGCCAACCGGGAGGCAATCTATCCTGCGTCAGACGGAGAACCTTCCCAACAGGACTGTGCCAAAAGGGGCAAAGGTGCAAAACCTTTTAGTTCTGACAGATTCAGTCATTTATGTAACTTGATCTGTATTTACTAATTACAATGTTATGTTTAGGTTTGTTTTCAGACACCAAGAAGAGACCCGTTGACTAAAAGAATCCTGTCTCCCAGGAAATCTGTCAACATGTTAAGTGTGGATGAGAATAATAAAGCAACAGTGTCCTTGGATTTGGATAAGCCAGAGTAAATAAGTCATATACTTCCTACATGTTTTTAAGTTTCAATTGCTTGTGCTTTGAAATAACACCAGTTTTTTTTTCAGTACTTTAACACAGGAGCAGATTGAGCCACCCAGTCAAGGTAACTCATCCCATATTATTTTTTTACAGCTTGATGTAAACAATCCAACTCAAACTCTTTTAACCCTTTTCACAGAGATCTCATCCTATCCCGACGACAACATGCCGATACAAAGCAAAGGCGGCTACCAGTTGGATTTTGACAATCTTGATGCCATCAATCCATTTCAGAGTTCTAACAAGATGGCCGTGACCCCTGGGAGGCCCGCTGTTGAGACTCTTACAGATGACCCCAAGCCTCAGCAGCACACGTCACCAGAGAATATTCAAAATAAGCCAACTGACATGACACCCGCTCTAGACGACACGCTTCCATTCACGCCATCTGTGGAAAATTCTTATGCAGATGTTTCCACCAACATGAGCTCCACAGACAGCAGTGTGGTCACGGTGACCGTGAAGGTCCCAGTAGAGGAAGGTCCATGCACAGACACGCCTGATGAAAAACAGCCTGCTAGTTTGTCCGATCAAGAGAAGGCATCTGGCAGTTTTGTGGAAGATTCTCCGCTTCCAGTAAAAGGAGCTTACAACATGGATTTTGACAACCTTGATGAAATTAATCCATTCCAGACTGGAGGCTCTAAAATTCCAAATTCACCTGATTTAGAGAGAAAAGTACCAAACAGTAATCCACCTACAGAAGAAAAGATATCTATGGGCGTGTTTGAAGTTCCTATGGTAGCCCAAGAGTCACCTGCCCAGGATGTGAAGTCCATTTCTACGGTGAACCCAACACCCGCTGATGCAGCCAAGCCTCCAGCAGCTGAGTCCGAGCCTGCGGACCCTCCAGTCAATGAGCACTCCGTCAAACTTGAGTTCTCTTTCGGAGACTGCAGCGAAGTCAAACGAAAGCCACCACCCAAAAGGTTCGGCAAAAGACCTTCTGTTGTAAAACCTAAAGACGAAAAGTCGACTTCTGATGTTAAAGCATCAGCAGAAGCTCCCATGAAGCCTGTGAGTGATGTCACTGATGATCCAGTTCCTAAAGGTTCCTACTCTCTGGACTTGGATGACCCGTACTTCAATCCTTTTGGCGCTAAAGCAAGAATCACGAATTCTCCAAAGGGCAGTGGCCAACCCGCAGTTGTGCTCAAGGAAGCAGACCTTCCCGAGCAAACTGACAAAAAGGAAGATGGGTCTTCCCAGAGGTGAGTAAAACTGAGTTTCTGTCTTTATTTTTCTTCACATTCCAGCATCAAAGTTTTGATCGTAAATGTTTTTGCTCCTTGCAGCTCTGGTGAGAGCTTACCAACAGCTGAGCCCAACCATGAAGATGTAAGCTATTATTCACAGGGTATCTGCGGGTCCTTAAAGTCTTAAATTTGCTTTTCAAAATTTAAGGCCTTAAAAATCCTTAAAAATGACAAATAATCCTTTAATACAGTTTCCAAAGGTCTTAAATTACCAAAGGCCCAATAAACAAGATTCTTTTATTTCGATAAAAATTTCGTGAATTTCTAGTTAGTGTTCAGCATTTTTGTGTATAATGTTCACGTAAGCGGAACCATACACATTCAGTTGGTTGTGAAAGGGAGCTAGTTTTAGATGGGCACATTAGCTGGTTAAGCTAGTGGGAGCTTGCGCCATGGGGACGTTTAATGGTAACTGGATGGCTAATCCCACGTTCGCGATGTGGTTGGCATCGGTTCCAGGCAATAGCTGGAAATTATAGCTTAAATTTAATTTTAAAAATAGCTTAAATTTGGTCAAAGTGGCCTTAAAAAAAGGTCTTAAAAAGTCTTAAATTTGGCTCCCTTAAACCTGCAGACACCCTGTATTCAGTTTAAGTTCCTATTTAGCTCGTGTTTTTCTCACACACAAAAATATCATCCTCCTAACCGTCAGATCGCTGATCACAAGGTTACCTCCGCTCATGACCAGGAAATTCCACTTGAGAGTGACGACCCCGTGCAGAACGCTCCTGAACCGCCTCAGCCCGATCAGCAGCTACAGATGGACACCGAGTTCAGTGAGGAGTTTGTTCCTGGAACTATGTGTGAGTAAACCTGGAATTCACATCACTTTATTAGTTTGATCTGTGCTTGATTAGTTCGGTCTGATTTACATTACCAGTCGTGGCCGGTGGCTTTGACGGGCAGATCGACTACCTTGAGCAGTTTGGGTCCAGCAGTGTAAGTGCTAACGGCGCGTACGGTAACTGGATATTTTGATAGTTAGTTCATGACCTAAAGGTATTTAAATGTTTTCTTTTCAATCTACAGTTTAAGGAGTCTGCCCTTCGAAAGCAATCTTTGTACCTAAAATTTGATCCCCTCCTGAGGGAGAGCCCCAAAAAGTCTGCAGGCCCGTCCGCTCAGACGCACGTCGCTGTTCCCGCGGCCTTGGCCTCACAGTAATAACACACTTCTGTTTTCATTCACTCTGATTGCTGCTGTCCCTGAATGCTTCAGCAGATCCTTTTTGTTTGAAATATTAAAAAAAACATCACTTAAGGTTTTGTTTTCTTCAGGCTTCAGATTCCTCAGGTTACAGAGAAAGAAACAACTAAAGCTCCAATAAAGGACAGCCTCAAGCTGTTTGAGGACGCAACAGCTCCAGTGAGTCTCTATTCCCGATCAGGATTCGCTGTAACTCCTGGCGGGTTGTTTGACCATGACCATCTGTGTTTCTAGGCTCCGATCTTTGGAAGCATCATCCCTCCTTTCCCTCAGCCTGGGAACTCCGAAGACGTTATTATTGAAATGCTAAAATACAGTCAGAAGGACATGGATGCCGCTATCGCCAAAGTGCAGGCAGAGGTGCGTTCTTCACAGTTTGATCTTCTTGTCCACTAGTTTAAGTAGAGCTTCATTTTGGGACAGAATTGTTTAAAACATTTCTAAAGCTAGGTGGTTAGTCCTCATTCACCACTCACTTGTGCATCTTCTCAAACAGGGAAGAGAGAAAGAGGAACAGTGGAGTTGTAAATGTAAAAAGCTGCAGGATGACGGTCAGGAAATGAGGCGAGTGGATTAGATTTTAATTTTCTGTTTTTGTTTTAGATGATATTCATTGTTTGTTTTTTCACCCACTCAGGAAAATACTAGCTGAATATGAGCTTGTGATTGCAAAAATGATGGGTGAGTTAACGCCACCTGCTCTAAACATCCAGATTTATGACTCAGCGGTGGTTGGAAGTACTCGTTTTTGTTTCTTTTGGCATAAAATAGCCGATCAAGAGAAGGAGAAAGAGCTGGCCGAGGCAAAGCTGAAGGAGACGTTGCTGGAGAAGGAGCAGGTGTCAAACGATCTGAACTCCATGGAGAAATACTGTGCTGAGCTTTTTAAAAGACTGGAGAAATACAAGGATGTTGTGGAGGGGTACAAAAAGGTCAGTTTAGTGGAGGACAAAACGCTCCTGATGGACTTCTCAATATCTAAAGTATTTTAATGATTTCAGAAAAGCTAAAGGGATTAAAATGTCTTTTAACCAGAATGAAGAGACTCTAAAAGCCTGTGCCCAGGACTACTTGGCAAGAATCAACAAGGAAGAGCAGCGATACCAGGCCCTGAAAGCTCACGCTGAGGAGAAAATTACCAAGTAGGACAAGAAAAACTGTAAATTAATTTAGTTTTTACTCATGTGAAGGCTTTGTACTCGAGGCGAATAATTGTATTTCTCACCTCCAGGGCGAACACAGAAATAGCAGAGGTACGGTTTAATTACAAAGCTGAGCTGTCGGTGCTTCAAGCTAAGCTGCGCCGGGAACAACTGAAGCTTCAGTCTGTGGAGAGGAGCCTGGAGCAGAAGGTGAGTGGACATTTTTAAATAAGTCATCAAATGTGCTACTGTGTGCAGGTATTTATTTTTTTCTTGTGTTTTAGGAAAAAGAGGCTGAAGAGCTCACCAAACTGTGTGATGAGCTGATATCGAAAGTCCAGAGGGGCTGATTTTATTGCTTGTGTCCAGATCATCTTTTTGTGTAATGTTTGTCATTGTTTCTTTAACACTGTAAAAAAAATAAAGATAGTTTTAAAAGTTTTTGCTTTATTTTCATGTCATCAACCACTAGGGGGCAGTGTTTGGTTTTATGGGGATTGATCTGTGTTGAGATGGGATTAATACCGCTGTGATTCTTTAACATGTGTTTCTGTGTTGCTTATTCGATATTCAGACACGACAGGCTTCTGTCTGGAGCCGGAGCTCTTCTTCGTGCTTACAGTGAAACGAGCTCATCTGACACAAAGCCCCTCTTCTTTTCTGAGCAATCACAGGGTCCTGTCACATCGCTCCCAGAGTGGGACAATGCGCTTCCTAAATGGTGAAAGGAAATCCTGCCTAGATTGGAGCTGAATGAAACGACGGTAGAGAGGGATTGGGGGGGACGATTCTCTTAACTGGGGAAAAGATGCTGGTCATTTGGTGTAGACTGGCTGGGGACATCAGTCATCTAAAAAGCAACAGTGAGACTGTTCTTGTGTCTGTTCGGTATCTATTCAGGCTTTTGTCCCGGCCACTTGTGTCCCTCTGCTGGTTGCCCTCTGTGTCACCCTCAGACACTCCAACCTGCTCGGAGAGAAGAAAGCGCTCCTGTGTGGAGGTGGTGGGGGGTGTAGGCCTTTTGTTTCAGGATGGCTCACCTCTCGAATCATCTTCTGTCTGCACTCAGAAACACATGAGCCAAACACAATGTCCAACTGTTGATCCTATCAATCTTATTTCAGGTCATTTAATCAAACTTCTTTTTAAACAAAATACAAGATTGTCAAATTACATAACGAAACATGAAGTAAATGCAAACAAACTGGTGGACAAAAGAAAAATTACAGAAATTTTAAATGCCTGAAAAATAAACCTTTTGATACTTTTTTTATGAAAATAAATTAAATATTCTGACTACAACTTCATTAATGGTCAAAAAGACTGCTTTCTGCTGGTTTGCCTCGAGACGGTAAAAACTAGTGATGAGAACTGATCTGAAGAAGAAAAAAAAACAATCCTTCCATCCCTTGCAGTCTTTGGCAAGGTTTGCACGCCATGAACAAGTTACAAGTCTATTTTATATCACCTGTAAAAAGGAACATACGTGTGGGATGGAAAAATAACATAGTGGTCAGCATTACCAGAAAAATGCTTTAAACATGAGGAAAACCTGAGTAGGAGCATAAAAACAGCCCTTTGATCGACCTCTAGTACCGTTTTTTATTTATTTGATCTCGTCCTCTCCGCTCTGATCCGTTTGAACTCACATCCTGAACGAATAAACCGTAACAAGTGCACGAAAAGGATGAATGGGTTTTAGTGGTGTGAACTTTCAACAAGTTTTCTTGTTTTTTTTAAAAAAAGCACCAAACATGGAAGTTTTTATGAAAAAAGACACTGGCCACTGTCCGTTGCACGCACGCACACACACACACACACATTTTCCCCGCAACAGTTTCTGGAGATCGGTTCCACATGAACGTCCCTCAGAATCAACGTCCATCCGAGACGCTAACACTGAAAATGAATGTGTTGATGCTGGTGTACTTTCCCATCCACGTGTGAGTGTGTGTGTGTGTGTATGTCCGTGTAGATTTTGGGGTATATTTTAGGCAGGGCTGATGGTCCTCCCTTGCTAAGGAGGAGCTGCTGCTGGGCCAGGTACTCCTCATAGTTCATGGAGCTCATGCAGTCTTTCTCCGGGCTGGAGGAGCCGGTCGACGCCGCAGCGAGGGCCCTGTCCCGCTCTCGGAGCCGGTGGGAGCTTTGTGCAGCCGGGGTGCTGGGAGGTGGGCAATGCTTTCTGTTCTGGCAGAACCACAGCAGCACGGTGGCGAAGATGAAGACGATTCCAGCGGGAACGCCGATGATGACCGGCCAGGGCAGGGAGCTGGAGGTCGCTGGGAACATGGAGGTGATGGGGGGCTTTGTGTCTGCAACAGAAGGGAACAAATAAACCCAGATTCCAATAAAACCCAAACATTTTGTTACCTCTAAGCAAACAGGATGTTTTTCTGAACAGAATGAGAAACTGTTACTTTATGTAGAAACGTGCATGTGGGAGAAAACTCCCACAGCTCCCACATCATGGTAGGTGGCGGTCTGAAGGTATTTTTTGACTAGTTTTTATTTATATAGAGAATTAAACAAGAGTAGCCACATTTAAAACTAATGCTAAACAGATGTCAGCAAAACATTTAGAGGTTTTTATTACGCTGGTGCTCCAGGTCCAGAAGACAAACACACAACAACACATTACGCTGGGTGAGTTCTGCAAACGTTCTGATGATGCTATCGGGTTAGACGTACAAAACAGACTCCAAACCAAAATAAAAATTCCCGATTCTCACCTGGAAGCACAGTCAGGAACGCACTGCGGAAGCTGTAGCCCATGGTGTTGGCGCCCAAGCAGATGTACATGCCAGCGTCCTCCTCCTTGGCGCGGGTAATGAGCAGCTTGTTGAGGTAGGAGCCATCGGGCCTGGACCACACCTCCCCCGTGGGCAGCACCACGAACCGGTGGTCCCCCACCTCGATGGTGGAGTTGTAGCGGCTCTCCTCGTTGGGCTCCACACGTTTGAGCCACTGAATGACGGGTTTGACGTCGCTTCGCACCTTGCACTGGAAGGACGTGGTGCCCCCGTAGCCCACCGTCGTGTTGAGCGGGTGTGTTCCTGTCAGAACCGGTTTGGAGTTTGTCCTCTCTGCAGAGACATAAAACACACATCAAGGGTCCTCTTTGGGAAACAGAAAGTTGGGTTGTTATCCATCCTGGCCCAAGGCTAACAGGAATACCACATGTAACACAAGAAGTATGTGTGATTAGTTTCCTCTCTTTGGTCGCTCCTGGTTGTACAGCACGCTTTCCTCATGGGAAGGAGGTGGTGGGGGCCTGGCAGACAGCTGGGCCTTAATCAGCTCCAGATTGGGTGAATGGTCTCTGAGCTAAACGGCACAAGCCCTCACTTTCAGGCCTGCTTCCTCAACGTGCTTCTCGTGTACATGTTTACATTCATCCACCATCCCGACTGGCTGATCATAATCAGACCAGAGCTGCTAAAGGTGATCTCTCTCTCTTTTCTGCAGCTATGTGCAAAACGATACTCACGAATGACTTCGACTTTGTAAGTGGCGTTGATCTCCCCCGCTCGATTAGACACCCTGCAGGTGTATCTGCCGCTGTGGTCGGGCATCACGTTCTTCAGACTCAGAGTCCACCGTTTCTTACGACCTTCGCCGACTTCCTGCTCCGTCAGAGGCCGGTCGTCCTTCAGCCACGCGATGTCCGGTCGAGGGTTCCCGTTGGCGGAGCATTTTAGACGAACCGTGCTGCCCACGGGACAAGCGATCACCCTCTTCCTCATCTTTTCAGGTTGAGAGAAGCGAGGGCGCACTTTGGGTAAAAAGTATGCATGGAAACATCCGCATATTAGTATCAGCGGACAATCGGGCGATTTACAAAGTGTTTACAAACGTATGCATGGGCTCTTACCAAGTTTATCACTGTCCGGCTCAGATTCTGGTCCGTTAACTCTTCTGGGTTGACCAGAACTTGAGTCATCTGTTAACACAAAAGAGCAAAGGTCAGCTAGCACGTAGCCAAATGAAAGAGAAAAGCGTTCATTGGTGTAAATAAGGAAGAACAACGTTTCTGTTCATCGCCCGATCCCAAACCAGTCCTGAGTCTGTCTGTAGGTTCTGCTGCAAACGCTGCATGTCCAGGTCGTGCTCTCCATCATTTAGATGTAATACGATCAGTTTCTTTTTTCTGAGCCCAGCTCCAGGAGACAGCTGTGGAGTTTATGTCACCGGCTGACATCATGCAGCCCAGCTAACGCTGGGCTTAGAGAAATTATAATGAGGGAAACCTAATCGAAGTTTTGTGATGCGCAACGACTTTTCGAGTTAAGCGGTGATGAATTAACAGAGCGGATCGGATTCCTTATAGTGATAGCTGCCAATCTGCACAGAGACACCGAGCTGGTGATTACAGAGCTTTATGCGAGACCTGGGATTTTGTTGTCAGCATTTCAAACTAAAATTTGTACAATTTGAAGAAGGGGGGGACCAGAAAATGTGTGCAATTTCAAACAAACAATGATCTAATTATGAGAAGAGTTGGAAGAGAATGAAATATTTGCACCTCTGTTTAAGCACAACCTTTTACAACAACCAGGCAGCTTTTTGTTTCCGTGACTCACGTTGATTCCTGGCTTTAAAGCAGCCTCAGGATGGAGTTTTCTAGATGCTGCTTGGCACACTCCATTCCCTCTCACGGTTTGATTGGGCCAGGTAAAGAGGCCAGATGTGACTCCTAACCCCCCTTGTTCTGCCTCCCTCCGAGAACCCCTCAAACCGTCAAGGCTCTCTTGGGTTCTCTGGGTACAAACCCTCCTTTGTTTGTCCCCTGCAGCACCGAGTCCAGCCATGATGTCATGGCTATTTAAGGGAGTTAACTGGCCAACAATAATAATCCATTCCTTTAAAAAAAAAAAAAAACAGCCTTCACTGGAAGAAATATTTCTCTGTTGCTCACTGGGGCTCTCCAAATTCCTGCCGGTTCCTGAACCTCCCAATCCAAACAGATTGTGGTCCCGCACTGCCGGGGTTTTCGCTCCAACCTTTTTTTTTCCCCCTCTTTGAATTTATTTCTTCTCTACTTTTTGGCAATTCTACGGAACAAAAGCACCTTTTATGCATCTGAGACGTTAAAGCTATTCCTTACCACTATTGTCTTGGCTCTGAAAACTTCAGAAGAGCCAGAGCATCTTTAAGCTGCCACATAATGGTTGTTTTTAAAGGAACTAACCAGTAAATGAGATGTGTTTAAGAGTCCTGCGTTTGAAATATGAGCTAATATTGTAAATACAGATGAAATGAATGTTGTATGTCTGAAAATATAGTTTTTTTTAAAGGTAATGGGCTCTTCCCTTACAGTGTTAGCGGTCTGACACTGTCTCCTCCCATTTCATTCACAAATCCAGCCACAGGAAACAGGTCACTATGCACATGCTTTCTGCTGGCCTCCCCGTGCCAGCTGAATCACAGGAAAAGGCCCGAGGATTTGGGGTCGCAATGAGCTCCAGATGTTGTTGGGGACATTGCGATGTCCAAGGGGAAAGTTGTGCACAGTATCATCTCCAAGCCGCTACCACATGCGGTCAGCCAGACACGGGGCAGTTTATCCACCAGTTGGCCTGACGATGTCCCCAGAGACAAATAAAAGAATGAATAAAATGCGCTACGAGAGCCAGGGTTCTCATGCAGACTAAAGAGCTCTGCCCGGCCCGTGATAGCAGAGGAACGTGTTGTCGGTGCAGATGTAAACCCGGGCGCGTAAACGTTAACGTGAAAAACTTATAATGCAAATATGAAAGCTGCTGGAGCTCGTGCATGCATGCAGGAGGAAGTTGCAGTCCTGCAGGAGGAGAGGAGGGTGAGGGGGTGATCGGGCCAGTTGTCAGGACACCACCCCAAACAGGGCCCAAACAGCCAGCTGGAGGGATTGAAGAGGCGCCATGTTGCACTGACGGACCAGATTCTTCAGATAGCTCTGGGGAGGACAGGCTGTCTGCTGGCAGACAGGAAGAGGGAAGCCTCTTCAGCCATGGTGGACCCCCCAAATCAACCTGTTCTGCTTCAACATCAAGGCCGACTGTGTTTTATTCCTCCTTCAGATCCAGTAAAAATAACAAGCCAACATGATGGATGCTACAGATTTAACTGTGCTGGAACCCTGCTACCCCTCATTTAAACAATTTCACATAAATAAACCCGTTTTCTGATCCTTTCCAGCAGCATTCTAGCAGCCAGGCGAAGGCAAGCAGCTAAATTAATTATCTGATGCAACGCTAATGGAAAGGTTTGCTCATGATCATTTCAATCCTGGCTCCCTCGTCTGGATGAAAAGCACCCCTGTTGGAACAATTACCTATAAAACAAGCGCCGTGGTGATAGTCTGCCAGCACCTTTGGGATGCTGCAGCCAAAGAGAGACGAAACACAGAAGCGCGTGCTCTTGTGAAAGGCTGAACGATCACTGAGTTTTTCTCAACACAAGATTAAGAGTCAGGTCGGGACGAAACTCGAAAAAGGGCAAATAAATCTGATAAAAATCGCAAGAAACTTTCCTTCTCAGACTCGTGAATAAATATTCGATGGTGTTCCTTCCAAACACAATCACAGGGCAGGAGCAGAGCCACGCATGCAGCTGAGTAAAACTGATCTCACCATCTTCGTCTCAGCAGTTTCATCTGTTTTTGTTCTACGCTCTCACCGAGCCGCCACTGCAACTGAAATCAAAGCCCCCATCAGAGCTCACGCAGCTTGTTGCGCTTCTTCTTTCTTCGACTTGCAAAAATAAGCAAGAAGAGATGCAAATAAATACTTAAAGAAAATGCTTCAGATCTCATCTAAAAGCCTAAGCATTCAGCATTTTTTTATAATCGGTTGTCAAATTCAGCTAGGAAGGTTTTCTATTTTGAAAATGCTCGGATCGCCCTGTAAGTGCAACGCAGACACATTTAGAGCCACGTCTGATTTTGATACCACACAACACAACCCTGCGTTACAGAAGGCTCCACGCCGAGATCTTCAACCTTTAATTTGAACACAATCAGCCGACACCCTGCCTTTGAACGTCGTAAAGAAGGAAACTCAAAAATAAACCTCGGTTTGCCCATTCATAAACGTGCAACAAGTGCTTTTTTTCCCCCGTGCTTTCCGCCTCCGCCTGATTATGGCTCTTCTTTTGAGGCATAGCTGTCACACGATCGTGCCACGGCCCCTCCTGCGAGATGCAGCACAGACTCTGGCCCAAATTAGGCATCTTAGAGTAATTAGACTAAACACAGCCTTCGCGCTCGGCTCCGCTCATTCATCATGTCAAGCCCCAGCGCAGAGGAAATGCACTGTACGCACAAAGGAATTACACATTTGGTCAGGCTGCTCTTAATCCTGCAGGGTCTGTGGTAAAACCGGCGCTTTTACACTGAATGTGTTTCTGCTTCAGCGCTGCAGACCTTCTGCCTCCGCTGAGTGTAGCCTCGGGAGAAGGAAGAGCTGGAGATCCAACTGAGTCACAGAGGATGAAGTAGAATGAAACAATATCCCGGGACGTTGTTGACTTTGGGCGGAGAGAGGCCGGGGATGTAGCAAACACTAAAGATGAGAGGATCAGCCGCTAAACCTCCACAAATCTGGGTGATGCTGTCTCTTACGAGAGGTGCGGTGAGACTTTCGGTTTGCAAAGTGCTACATCCTCACTGATGAACGGCTGACTGCAACAAAACGGGATTAAACCATCCTGCTAAACTCAATCTGCACTCACCAATAACAATGAGAGTGTAGTTGACGTTCACACTTCCAAATCCATTAGTTGCTTGGCAGTTGTAGGTCCCCGTGTCGTCCGCCTCCACGTCTTTGATTTTCAGGGCCATGCGGAGGACACGGAAGCGGATCCAGCCGTTGTGGACGGTGCGTCCGTCTTTGGTCCACCTGGTGAGCGGTGGGGGGTCTCCTTCCACCGGGCACGGCAGCTTGATGGCACTTCCTAACCGGGCCGTCTGTCTGTGAGAGATTTTCTCAGAAACCCGCGGAGGTCCTGATGACAAAAAACAAACAGGTGATACATTTGTAATGATGCTGATCAATTAATGGCAGACTGCTTTTAATGTTGAAAATGATAAAAAAGCAGCAAATATTCAGAGTTTTGTTCCTGTCATGACAGAAAGGATAGTATGACATTACCAAGGCGAGGTGTTTTCTTTTCTTAAAGCTTTAACGCTTTAAATACCAATATTTGATACATTTGTTGTTCTCTTTCTAAATTTTATTGCTGTCCTTTTGTATTCTCTCTTATTTTGAAAGGACAAATCATCCAGATCATATTGAAGCAATAAAAAAAAATCTGCAAAGTGTCTAAGGTAAAAGGTTTTTATGTTTCTGCAGGCTACCTGAGACACGAAAGGTATTCTTTTATTTTTCCGCTTCCGGTCGGTAACAAGATGGCGCCTGTGCTTGGCTTAGCCGCAGTCACCGGCCACGTTTTCAAACTTTTCTCCAATAACCTCCTCTTTTCCACCTTGCTTCTGTCTGCGATCCTCTTCAGTAGTGTCCCTGCTACCATCTCTAATGATCGCCAAACTCTTTTGTCCTTTCATTCGTTCACGATCGCCCAAGATGCACCAAGGACGTACCTCCCTGTTTGTTTATCGGAGTGGCGCACTGGCCCGGAGCCAAACGACGATTCCAACCAGGACGCCTCCAGCGATGTTTGTCCGGTCCCGGCAAAACGTCGGAGGAAAAGAGGTAAATGAGCAGGAATCCAGGTGAGAATAAGACTTCTCTTAAAGCGTGGTTTATCTAGTAAACATCGGCGTGATCTTCTAGCTTCTTGTCCTTTGTTTGGCGACTTGAGCGCCACTTCCGCATTCCTGCCAGACCGTTTCTCCGTCCAAGTTTTTTAAGGTCGGTTTATCCTCATTTCTCAGTGGTTTCTCCTCCTGTTCCCTCCATAAGTGGTTTTTATAAACACCGTGGATCTAACCCTCTAATTTATGTCCACTAACTCCAGCAGTTTCTGATTCCTCCACCTCACTCAGCATGGCTCTATTAAATACCCGCTCTGTTAATAAGTCCTTCCTGCTCAATGATCTAATTCTCTCTAAAAACCTGGATTTTCTGTTTCTGACTGAAGTTGGATCACAGCATTGTCTCTCCTGCCTCTCCTACAGCCTCCATCCACTCTGTTGCAGACTGTGAGAACTTTCTGTCTTTCTTTGTGGACAAAGTATATAAGGTTAGATCTAGCATCTCTCCTTCAGCCTTATCGCCGCCTCTCCCGACTCCAACCAGGCCTGTCATCCTAGATAGCCTTGCTCCTGTTTCTTTGCCTGAGTTAACCAAACTAGTTAACTCTATGAAGACCTCTGCATGCCCCCTCAACATCTTACCCTCATCTTTGTTTAAAAGTGCTTTTCAGTCCATCGGTCCCAGCGTGCTCTCTATAATTAATGCTTCTCTGGTTTCTGGTCAGGTCCCTGCTTACTTTAAGAACACTGTAATCCACCCGTCTTGACCGCTCTCTCCATAGCAGCTTCAGACCCATCTCTAAACTTCCGTTCATCTCCAAGATCTTGGAAAAGGTTGTGGCTAAACAACTCACAGCTGCTCTTGACGAACATAACATCTATGATAGCTTCCAGTCAGGTTTTCGTAGTGCTCATTCTACTGAAACAGCTCTTCTTAGGGTCTCCAATGTCCTTCTGACTCACAGTGATGCAGGGGACTGTTCTGTTCTGGTCCTGCTGGACCTGACTGCAGCCTTTGACACTGTTGACCATCACCTGAGACTGGAGAGGCTGAGAGACTGGGTAGGCCTATCAGGATCTGCTCTGGAGTGGTTCTCCTCCTATCTTTCTGAGCGTTCCTTTTCTGTGGCCGTCTCCAAGTTTAGGTCCTCCACCACCTCCCTTACCTATGGTGTCCCACAAGGTTCTGGGCTGGGGCCTCTGCTCTTCCTCCTCTATCTGCTTCCTCTTCAGCACATCCTGAGCTCCTTCAAAGGAATCTCCTACTAGGCTTGGGCGGTATTAAGGTATTACCGTATACACGCGGTATTACAAAATAGCGATGGTGTCAGTTCCAATACCGTCATGAAAAACAGCTGTGCGACTGACCAGTTCCTCTATCCTCCCCATACTCCAGCTCTGCAGGGAGAGCGTGTTGGCTGTGTCAGAAAACTACCTCCAGCTTACAAAGTCAATAAAAACCACAATTCTAAAAAAGCTGGAGGCCAAGTATGAATCTGATTCAGTGCGCAAATTTATGCGAAAATGCCCTTTCCTCGACCCTCGTTACCGTGGCAGACATGAGCTTGATGACAGCGCACTGGCTGAAATCAAAGCTGAATTACAGGCTGAGATCGTGAGCTTAGAGGGGCAAACAGCACCAGAAGCATCCGAACCATAGAGGAACGATCACAACCTGAACCCCCACGCAAAAAGATGTCTCTGTGAGCTCTCCTGCAAAAACGAGCCGCTGCGCTGACGCGCTGCGCCGGAGGGTCCCGTCAGCCGCGCAGAGCAGCGAGCTGGAGCTGAAATAACAGCGTACTGTTTGGAACCTGTTATTCAAGGGGACAAAGACCCTCTTCTCTGGTGGAAATATGCTGGCAGTCACGACTGGCCCTCACCATCGGAGCGGGTTTTCAGCACGCAGGTAAAGTTGTTGGTCCACAACGTGCAAACTTGAACCCAGAAAAAGTAAACATTCTGGTTTTTCTGGCGAGAAATCTTAACTAGATTTGCTGCAACATGCCGTAATGTGTCCTGTGTGTGTGTGTGTGTGTGTGCGCGCGCGCGTGTGGCCGTGTGACGGAGTTTTCTTTTTATAATTTTAATGCAGTTGTTTTGGTTGCAATAATTTTTATAATTTCGATGTTTATGGTTATTCAACTCTTGTTGACTGTTACAGCTTATTTGCACTGTTTCATGCTGCTCGTTGATAAGTTGTTCACTTGATTTGCGCACAACAGCGGTCCTGGGTTTTTACGTTGATTTATTGCAGTTGGACTGTTGACTCTTTGCACTTGTTTATAAGCCGCGTTTTTGTGTTAATAAATGTTGTTAATAGTATGTGAGTTGCATTGCTATTTTTTAGTAATTGTTTGGTATTCGGATTCAGAAAGGTGAAGGTCCACTTGAGGCTTACGTCATACTTTTTAAGTATTCACGGTAATACCGTATACCAGGGTAAAATTAAGTGGAAGTTAGACGGTATTCAAATTTGGATACTGCCCAAGCCTGTCTCCTACCATCTTTACGCAGATGACATCCAACTGTACATCTCCTTTAAGCCCCTTGAGATGTCTAAGCTGCAGCTGTTACACTCCTGCTTTGCCTCTATCAAAACCTGGATGGCTGGGAGCTTTCTTCAGCTGAATGAAGATAAGACTGAGATCCTCATCTGTGCCCCAGACAAGCTGGTTCCCAAAGTCAGAGACTCTCTTGGTCAGCTTGCTTCTCACACCAAACCTTCCGTCAGGAATCTTGGTGTGACCTTTGACCCAGCTCTTACCCTGGATTCTCATGTCAGTTATCTTGTTCGCTCTTCCTTCTTCCATCTCAGGAACATTGCTAAGCTGAGTCCCATTCTGTCCCGCTCTGAACTTGAGACAGTTCTCCACACCTTCATCTCCTCACGCTTTGACTACTGTAACTCTCTTTTCACGTGTCTGAGCAGAAACTCCCTGAACCGTCTACAGGTGGTTCAGAAGGCCTGTGCTCGGCTTCTGACCAAGTCCTCCAAACACACCCACATCACCCCGCTTCTCCTCCAGCTTCACTGGCTGCCAGTCAACTTCAGGGTTCATTTCAAGATCCTGGTTCTGGTCTATAGGGCCTTACATGGACAAGCACCATCTTACATTGGTGATCTTCTTAGTCCCTACACCCCCAGCAGGCCCCTGAGGTCCAGTGATCAAAGCCTACTGGTTGTGCAGCACCAGGCTAAAGACCAAAGGTGACAGATATTTGCTGCTGTGGCCCCCAGACTCTGGAACTCTCTCCCCCTGAGCCTGAGATCAGTGGACTCAGTGGTCTCCTTTAAAAAGCAGCTGAAAAAGTTTCTTTTTCAGTTTACAATCAGTTTTCAGCCTTTTAAAGCATATTGGCAAAGAAAAATCTAAAGATTTATGGACAAATCTCACCAATAAAAATGAAAATAATTAAAGTTTTGCTTCTCTTTTTTATTTTAAAGCAAAAATGACAGCCCTGCTCACATAAATCCATCGAAACAATGTTGATTTTCCAGCCTTGAAACATGGTTCAGAAACGAGATCTGGGCAATTTGTCATATTTGCTGATTAACCAGAAGCCCTGCAGCCAGATTGTAATAATTGGGCGAGTCCTGTCGTTCACTGCCTGCACAGAGAGGGTGAGTTGTTCTGGCTCTGGGTTTTGCGTAGCGTGCAAAGAGATCAAAGCGATGAGGAGGGGGGTGGGGGGGTCGCAGCGAGACGGACAGCAGCCTGTTCTCCTGGCTCTTAATTGGCTCAGGTCTGCTCCCTCAGATCCGGTGAAGTGGAGCGGTCCGAAGCACCCTGAGATGGTGTTGGGGGGCCCGTGCCGCCGCTCGAGCAACACCAAGCCTTTAACAAACCCCCTCCCACTTCTACTGAAACCTAAACAAAACCGTGAACTACTGAGCAGACCAGACGCCGAGGAGAAACAGGAGCTGGGGGGGTTAAGCTGAGCCTATAGCTGCATCTGCCCACAGAAAGCACACACAGCCCGGTCTGTGCCTCAGAACAAATGGCCAGTCTGGTAGCAGTAAAAACAATGGGGAGGGTAAGTACACAAGGCCTCTCCCAACATATTCACAAAAAACACACATGCTCCAACACACACAGCCACATTCCTTTGGTGCATTTGACGCGTACGGTAAACAAGACGGTCATTATCCTGATGGAGCTGCAGCCAAGGAGCTGACACAGGTAACCATCTGGCTGTTTCCTTCACCACACCGCCGACAGATGTATCTCAGCTGCAGGTACAACATCTGGGGAGTTGCACTCATGGCTCCTTAAAAAGATCACCTCGC